TAGGGATCATTTTACTCCTTTACCTATAGTGACCGCTCTGGGTTTGTCAAGTAGCTCTTGATATCTATTTTTGCATTTTCAAGTAATTTAATCAGAGTCGTTTAAAATTAGGTAAAACAGTACAAAAAGGCTGGGTTCGAAAGTTTATTGGAAGTCATGCCAAAAGACAGACTTCCACTTTTAGAAAAAATCGAGAGCTTTTCGGTGTCAGAAAAGTTCTTTCGGCGTTTATGGACCCTGCTCCTCGACTTGTCCCTTTGCACCGTTCTTCTTGATATCCTCTTCCGAGACCGACTTCAAATTCGACGGAATCGATACTTTGCTTTTGGAGCCCTCTGAAACTCGTCACGTCAGCCTCACTTTACGGCTCTCCACTCTACCTTCAGAGCTTTTTTTCTTCTTTCCCTTCGAGCTAGACTTCACAGGCGTGTTTTTTTTGTTCTGCAATGCACTGGTAGATTTCAACTTTTGAAGTGGTCAATTGAGAGATAAAAAATCTTTTTTTACCTTTCCCAGCAAAAACACGGCGATGACTGCGATGATAAGGATTACAATGAGGACGCTCTCGAAGCCGACCAAGGCTAAAGACGTCGTCTTCGACATGACTAAATAAAATCATTTCATGAAGAATGATTTTAGAGCCTACAGCATTTAGACTCATCGCTACTCTCCATGGCACCAGCTGTGTTGTTTCCTGGGCAGTTGTTACCATTCCCATTCGGATTTTGTCCTTTCACTGCTTGACACTCTTTTATCGCCTGAATCAAAATCTGGATAATAGCAGCGGAGAAAGCCTCTCACCTGCTGTTCGAGCTCCGTCAACTTGGCGAGAACGGTTGGATCCGGTGTCCCAACGACTTTGAAAACACTGCCGGGCGAGCAGAACTCTTGCGGTTCAGCGAAGTCGATCCTTTTCAGATTCATAAAGGACCTATCGTCTGTTTTCACATTGTTCAATATTATCGCGGGCCCTAAGACGCGATTTCAGACAGCTAGCAAAACCCTATAGGGGATATAAGAACCTTTCCGTTTGTGATGGAGCTTTTTCAATTCCAGACATCGACACCATAGACGAAAAAAATCTTCTAAGTGAAGGGTGGCGGCTGATTTGAGATTTGTCAGGAACGCGAATATTTCGGATGATTTATCAGGCTTCGCGGCGTAAATCATCTCTTCTGTGCAGCCCGCTTTCTCACAAGGCTGCGGGATAACGGTCGACTTTTCTCTAGCCAGAATCGGGAGAGCGCAGCAGCCACCTGAAACCAAAAATTCATAAGAACTGAACAACTATTCAATTTAGCCGATTCAGGGCTAGCTTGAGACATGAAGACGCGTCTGCGTTTTCCACCAATCAGGCACTCTTTTTTCTTCGTGTCAGAACCCTTTTTCGATGGCTCAAGCCTTCCGTGAATCAAATATACGCTAAGAAAACGAAGTGAATGAGAAAATCACTATTTGCTGCAACTGCCGAAGGAAAGTCGTGGCACATCAGGACGGTGAGGGCAATCAGCCATGCCGGCGCTGAATCAAGCAAGTTGATGGACTATTTCTCATTTTGTCACAAATTCAAAATCTTTGCAGTTCAATAAAAAAAGAATAGCCAAAAATTATGTGAGAAAAGAACGTTGCTGCTTTTGCTTCTTGACTCTTGACAAGCTAGTGCGAAGCTTTTTTCGATAATTTCAAGTGGAGATCCGAAAAAATACCTTTCGAATTCATTTCCAGCGGTCGACGATCCCAGTCGGCGGTAGATTTTGGATATGAGCTCTCGCATTCGTGTCAAATCACGTTAGTTTCATTGAACGTGAGTTTATTTCTCCTTTTTATGAAAATAATGACGTGTTAGAAGTGATTCCGCGAAATTCAGAAGAGCCGTCAGATAGTGAAAATGATAACTACTTTTTGGAGAGTCAGAGATAATTTTGCAAGTTGCCTTCAAAGAAGATCCCCTCCTGAATCATGGAATAATGGAAGACTTTTTTGGCGGTTTGCGAAACTGGCGTCGACCAAGAACGACGGGTAGATCGTCACGTCCTTCAGTATTGGAAGACTTTAGAGAATTCCGACGTTCAGCTGCGTCTCCATGTGGGAACAGTACGGCGCTCAGTTGGTCCAGAACATGGATTATCGAGTTCTAACAAGTTTTTTCCATTTTTTATCTTCTTTCAATCTACCTACAGATTCTCTAGATTCCCCCTCTGATGAAAATGATAAGGTCATTTCCAGATACTGTTCTCCAGGTTTTGATTCAGGCGATAAAAGAGTGTGAAGAGCTCAAAAGGAAAAGTGTTCCGAACGAGAATAATCACTGCTGTCCAATTTGCAACTTAATTTTTTTTCTTTGCTCTGGATAAGTATTTTTTGGAAGTCTTGAAAAATTAAAGAAGTAGAATTCAATAAAACAGGTTTTCTTTTAGGGAAAAACAGTACAAAGAGGCTGGGATCAAAAGTTTATTGATAGTCATGTCGAAATACCGACTTTTCGAAAAAAAAAAAGGATAGCTTTTCGCTAGAGGCTGAGGGAATTTTGAAGACTTCTCGGGGTGCCTTGATGGATCTGTTGCCTTTTACGATCCCTGCATTTCTTTCCGTAATTTTTCATATCTTTCCTGCAACGCATTATTAGAAGTTTTGAAGTGATTGATTAAAAAGAAAGAGAAAAAATAAATATTTTTCACTTGGCTGAGCAAAAACAAGGCGATGACTGCGATGATCAGGACTATTATGATCACGCTCTCGACCCCGAGCAACATCAATGACAACTTTCTCGACATGACTGAAAAAAAATCGAGTCATGAATAAGGACTATGGAGCCTACAGCCTTCAGATTCCTCGTTTTTAGCTTGCCCTCTGGCACCAGCTGAGCTGTAGCTATTAGAGTTTTGAATATTCTCATTCGGACAGTTTGAGTTGCAAATTGGACAGCTTTGATTATTCTCGTTCGGAACATGTTTCCCTTTGAGTTCTTCACACTCTTTTATCGCCTGAATCAAAATCTGGAGAACAGTATTTGAAAAGCCTCTCACCTGCTTTTCGAGCGCCGTCAACTTGGCGAGAACGGTTGGATCCGGTGTTCCAACGACTTTGAAAACACTGCCGGGCGAGCAGAACTCTTGCGGTTCAGCGAAGTCGATCCTTTTCAGATTCATAAAGGACCTATCGTCTGTTTTCACATTGTTCAATATTATCGCGGGCCCTAAGACGCGATTTCAGACAGCTAGCAAAACCCTATAGGGGATATAAGAACCTTTCCGTTTGTGATGGAGCTTTTCAATTCCAGACATCGACACCATAGACGAAAAATCTTCTAAGTGAAGGGTGGCGGCTGATTTGAGATTTGTCAGGAACGCGAATATTTCGGATGATTTATCAGGCTTCGCGGCGTAAATCATCTCTTCTGTGCAGCCCGCTTTCTCACAAGGCTGCGGGATAACGGTCGACTTTTCTCTAGCCAGAATCGGGAGAGCGCAGCAGCCACCTGAAACCAAAAATTCATAAGAACTGAACAACTATACAGTATAGCCGATTCAGGACTAGCTTGGGACGTGAAGACCCCTGCGTTTTCCACCAATCAGGCACTCTTTTTTCTTTGTGACAGAACCCTTTTTCGATGGCTCAAGCCTTCCGTGAATCAACTATACGCTAAGAAAACGAAGTGAAAAAGAAAATCACCGTTTGCTGCAACTGCGGAAGGAAAGACGTGGCACATCAGGACGGCGAGGGCAATCAGCCATGCCGGCGCTGAATCAACAAAGTTGATGGACTCGATTATTTCGCATTTTGTCAGAAATTCAAAAAAATTGCAGTCCACAAAAAAAAATAGCCAAAAAGTATGTGAAAAAAGAACATTGCTGCTTTTGCTTCTTGACTCTTGACAAGCTAGTGCGAAGCTTTTTTTCGATAATTTCAAGTGGAGATCCGAAAAAAATACCTTTCGAATTCATTTCCAGCGGTCGACGATCCCAGTCGGCGGTAGATGTTGGTTATGAGCTCTCGCATTCGTGTCAAATCACGTTAGTTTCATTGAACGTGAGTTTATTTCTCCTTTTTATGAAAATAATGACGTGTTAGAAGTGATTCCGCGAAATTCAGAAGAACCGTCAGAAAATGGAAAAGATAACTACTTTTGGAGAGTCAGAGATAATTTTGCGACATAAACCATCGAATTTCAACAAGTTCACGATTAGTTTCAAGTTTTTCATCGTTTTTCAATCAACCTACAGGTTCCCTAGTATATTCTTCCGGTCATAAATATCAGGCGGTCAAGAACTCCTTGTACTCTGTACATTTATATTCTTACTTTCATTGAATTTGCTCTTGCAAAAGATCAAAAACTGTACGAAGCTTGGCCTTTCTCTGAACGTCAAGCTAACACATCAATTTGAAGTCAGACAATCAACAGGCTTATCTAACCCGAAAAGAAAAGAAAGTGATAATGAGGGAGATTGACGGGTCGACGAGCCCCTGAAAAACTCTTTGTCCCCCTCTTTGGAGTCAGAAGCACTACATTTTTCGATGACGACGTGGACGGCGGCGGCGTCGATCTTCTGGCTGACGATGACGTTCATCTCCAACGGCGTCGTTTCTTCTCCGAAGCCGTCTGAACATATTCGGCGCCAGAAAGTGAGCGATTTTGAGACTAAACGTGGAGACTTAGACGGATTTCACTGTGCTTTTTTTAAAGAGAGTTAATAGAAACATTTTCCGAAGTTTGAAACGACAGAGTGGTCCCTAGAAGGGCAACCTTACGGGAACTCAGAGGTATCTCCGTAGGGACCACCTTACTCTCCCCTATAGGGGGAACAAAAGCTTGTAAAAGTGGCCACTCAAGGGGTATTAGTTAGTTGCCATTCTCGGGGTACTGTCATTTATCGTTAAAATCTTATGAGAAGAAGCATTGTCATGCTAGAAACTTCCTAAAAATTAAAACAACCCTGTAGGGACCACTAGGGCTTAGAGTCTGACCCTAACCACCTATAGAAACCATCTTTTACCACTCTGAGGAGTATGGGGGCTGTTTTTCGCAGGAACCATTCAGGAAATCCTAAAAGTCTTTAATCAGAAAAATATATTTCCAAGCTGTGAACTTTTCGAACAATTTTTCTGACTTGTCTGCTCTCTCTCTCTCTTCTTCTACAGTGAGGAGGTTATAAAAATATGAAAAAGTGGCTGAGAGAGAAGAGGATGTAGAGAAACCAGGCTTTTCAAAGTTATGGGAGCGTGGTAAACATGAAAACTCATCAAGAATTTGATCATTATAAAAGCTGTTCAGGACCGGATTCTGGACGGTTTGAAGCTGCAGAACCGGTCTCACGTCGTCAGGACCTACGAATCGCTGATTTTCGCCGACGACGACCCCGTTCAAGTTGAGAACTTCCTCCTCAACATCAATCCGATCCGTGGGACTCCCTTTCTTATAACGTATATTCAAGTATCTTCAGAATCACTGTGCGAAACGCCCCAAATGCTGGTCAAAGACTGCTTCCGATTTGTCGTCGACCAACGGAAGAAATTGGTTTCGGCAGAGTTGCTCCTAACGTAGGTTTTCTGAAGAATTTGGACAATAAGAAACAAAAAAAAAAGTGAAAACAACAAGATACTGGAATAAAATCTGCTTGTGACTTACAATTAAGCATTTAGCGATGGCGCGTAAGCCGTTTCAGGTCTGGCGCTGAATTATATACCTTTATATGACCTTCAGAAAGCCACGCGTAATGGGTTAATTATATATGCGAGTTTTTGTTTTTTTCCTCGAAATATAGTCCGTTTTTCGTTACTTGAAAGGGACTTCTCTGGGCCCTCCTAATCTCTCCACTACCCTCTCAGGTTAACGTGCTTTCATCTTTCTCTGACCTTGCTGATGATGGAAAGAGAGACGCAGACACTCGAAAACATTCCAGTCGCCGCGAACCGGTTATACTAAAAAAAAACTTATAGTAAAGTTCAGAATCCGACCCGAGATCCGTGGAGAAAACGTGACCATCACCCTCTTCGAGGTACACGAGTTCTTCGGCGACCTGACGTTCATCCATCGATTCGACGTCTCTCAAAATTCTGAAGACCCGGTTCGAGTTTACGTCGACGTCTTCGACGACTTCAGCGATCATCCGACGAGACGGCCGAAAATTTGTCTTTTCAAGGTACTGATATATTTGATTCGTCAGCACCCGAAAAAGTCTGAGTTTAATATAAATTGGCTTTTTCTTGACCTTTAGAAAGGGTCAAAGTTTGTTTTCTTATAGATCATCTAACACGGGAGATCCTTTCCGTTTTCGGCCTTGAAATTGCAGAAAATACGCTCAAATACGCTCTGAAGGTATAGAAGATCCCTCGGACGTTGGTTACGAAAACCAGAATCGCTCCGGACGTTTCTGAGCAATTCTAGGGATCACTCAAGTGCTGACGCTTTTAAAGTGGTCGCTAGAAATGCCCCGACTCGTCCGATTCGTGTTACCAAGGCCCGGGCCCTAAGAAATAGACCTAACAAGGAGGTAATTTTACCTTGCGGCTTGGAATTTGCTGAAAATTCGCTCAAACGGACTCTGAAGGTTTAAACGAAGGTCCATCATAGTCGGTACCAGGTCCAACTTCTAGTATTTAAGATAAATTTTTTAATTCGGAAAACATAGCTTAAAAATCCATACTTCCAAAGTTTGAAAAAAATCATGTCTCTGAAACCAGAATTTGGACTAGGTACAGACTTTGACGGATCTCCATCTAGACCTTCAGAGAGTGTTTGAGCGACTTTGTAGAAAATCCCAAGCCGCAAAGTGAATGACCTCCCTTGTAAAGAAAGGACTGGAAATCCTGGAACTGATTTCAGCTCGAAGTGACCATCGACGATGAAAGAGTCTCTCTGAACCGAGTGCTCGCCGAATTTCCAACCTTACACCTGACAGCCGCGGTGAACAACGAAGATCCGGTCCATGGAAATCAGCCGATTTGTGATCCGAAGTTGGAGTGTTGCGTCGTCCCTTTCTACGTCAACTTCACAGAACTCGGTGAGAAATATTTTGTCCAAAAGTTCAAATTTTTATCTGATTGAAACGTTCTCTGCTCTTATCAAGTAGAAAGGCTATTAGTGATAACAAAACTTTAATCAGTAGTGTTCCAAATAGAGCCCAACTAGGCCTGGAGAGACCCCATAGAAGCTATGTTTTTCTACCTTTCGAGACAGTGTGGAAAAACAAGAGGTTCAGACGCCTATGTTTCTAATTATGTTCCAAGCTAGGGATTTCTTTCTATAAAAGCCGAGGTCTTCGACTTTTTGGGATATTTTGTCTTAAGCTAGCAGTGAATGAACTATAAATCGAAATTCACAGGCTGGGACGACTGGATCATCTCGCCGCCGGGCTTCTACGCCAACTACTGCGCAGGGCCGTGCAAGCGGGACATCGACGACATCTACCAGCGGATTATGGGTGACGCCTACAGTAACCACTCGGCGATACAAATCCCGAAGCCGAAGTGTGCCCCCGCCGAGTATGGGAGCCTGGAGATCGTCTACGCGGTCAGCGACCGCGACATCCGAAAGACGCGGCTTCACGGAATGCGAGTACTGTCGTGCAGCTGCTCATCGTAGGGTGATCGAGTGATAAGGGAACGGCTGTACAAACAAAGTGGTCATCTATCTTATTAACATTCATTTTCTGTGATAAACTCCAACAATTAACGAGAGCAAACAATTAACAATAAAACAGTAACAATAAAACAAGATCTATTTGTTTTTCCTTCCCACCTTCCTCTTGGCTTTCAGCACTTTGCGGACATTCTGAAAAGGTGAAATTGAGAAAATCAAGTAACTTTTTGGATATTTACCTGTCTGGCAGCTTTGTCTCGAAGAGGAACATAGGCGTAGGGCTGAAGTGCAGCTCCGGTCTTTTTCTGCGGCTTTTTGTCGTGACTTCGCTTCTTGTACGACCTGACCGTCGAGCCGACTTGGGAGGCCGAAGTGTCGCGGTAGATTCCTTTGCCTCCGAATGTTCTGGAGGTCGTCGCTCGGCTCACTGTTGTCTTTTTCTCGTCATCGTCCTGAAAAAGGGATAAAAGTCCGCAAAAATTGAAAAAGGAACAAGATATCGATATCACAGACAAGAAAGGCCTTTTTTGAAAATTGACAAATGTTACTTGATTTTTAAAATGGTTGTAATAGTGCATTACTTGAACTTTATTCTTCATTTATTTCTTTTTGAATTTTATTCTTTATTTTGTTTATATAAAAAAACTCAAATTTAAAAATCAATATACATTGAATTTACCTATAGAGGCTAGTTGAACTGCTAAAACTTCCGATTTCCCTTTTTGTAAATAAATTAGAAACCTTTTTTCTAATCTAAAAATTTTTTTGAGTTCACTTAGCTACTTTTTATTCAAAAGTTTGACAATCGAATCGAATTTTTAAAAAATTACTGAATCTTTTTAAGACCAATAAAAATACGAACCAATCCATCAATATCATCATCGTCGTCGTTGCTGTCGAAATCGCTGCCTTCCCTTTGTCTTTTCCCTTTTTTCGGCATTTCATCGTCGTCCAGCTCGTCGAGGCCGTTCTTCCGCTTCCGGTTATTCTTCTTCTCTTCCATTTCTGAAAAAATTTGAACACTGTGGAGAAAAGTTCTGAACGGAATTAAACCATCATCAAGGATGATAAGTTTTCCGTCTTTGGTGAACTTGAACCCGCTCTCGTTCTTCGCCTTGCGCTCTTGCATCTTCTTCTTTTTCTTCTCAAGCAGGGCAGGATCCGTTGTGGTGACCTGAAATGAAGTTATTTTCAGAAAACGAGTTGCAAAAAGCGGAAAGACGGTCTTTACTCTTTCCAAATATGGATGAGAAGTTTTTTTTCTATCAAGGACTTCAAAAAATACCCATTAAGGCCACGGAAGTGGTGTCTGACTTCTTTATGGAACAAAAATCATTTTAAATAATCCTAAAAGTTGCAAAAAGCTTCGTAATATAAATGTGAGCCAATAAATCTTCTTTTTCTTTCGAGAAAGAAAAAAAAATACTACTTTAGAAAGTTTTTTTGGCTTCTATATGTGGACCATTTTAACCCCAACCTTTCTCAATATTACGAAAAGGCCCGGAATTCAACTATTCTTTTTAAAATCATGAGGTTCCTTTTTAAATTTATCACTCAGTTTTTCCTGTACCTTATTGATGAGGTGGGAGGAATCGAGGAGATCCATCACGTCGCCCTCCATGTCATCACGTAGCCACACCGACCCGACCCGACTTCTCTGCATCAACTTTTCCTCGGCGTCGCTCTCGTTCTCGTCGTCGCTGTCCTCCAGAAGCTCCAAAATCGTGTCGGCTCCAGCCGTCCGGCCACTGATATGCGATCCGCTGATCATGCTTTGATCATCTAGAAATTCTCATATTGTTTTTAAAATGCATGAAATTTCCTAGGAGAGCTCTTTGATATTGTCAAGTTGATTTGGAAAGTTCTTAAGATTTAAAACTAAGTTTTCCTTATTTTTCCCCAAACTCACCTTCATCAGAGTCCTTCTCGTTGTTCCCAGCAGCCTTTCGTTCCTTCCTTCGACGCATCTTGTCGATATTCTTGATTTGCTTTATCCAATCGGGTTTTTTCGTATATTTCTCCAAGATATTGACGCCAAACTTCTCGACGAGCACTTCGAGCAACAGTCGGTTCGCTTTCCTCACCTGTAAACAAGGCGAAAATGGGAAAATCATTTACAACTGGAAAATCGTTTTTTTAAAGTGTTCGATTAGTTTTTAACATTTTTCCGTGATCTACTTTTTGGTTGATTGGTCAATATCAATTTACCAGCTATTTTTGCGAACTCTTTTGACCAATTTGAACTTTTCTCTACTTTGGATTCCGAAAAATAAAGGCCATAATGAACAAATTTCCCGTTTCAAGCTCTTTTTCAAAATTATTTTTTTACAATCAAAAATCAAATTCTTTTTCATAATCCTTACCTTAACAGTAATGTCACAAGTGAGCTGTCCCTCGAAAACGGTCGTCAAAATCTGCTCGCGGTACTGATGGAGGGCGTATTCGGGAAGTTTCTGGACGAGAACGCGCATCAGACGAATCGCCAGGATTCTGACGGGGGCCCGGCCGTCGGAGATCCACGCGCTGGCGTGAGAAACGACGCGTGACGTCAGGGTAGCGTTGAGAACCTTCAAGATCAAGATATGAATACAGAGCAACGTTTGAATAAATTGAATAAAAACCCTGTTTAAACATTTTTGAAGTGATACCACACCCGAGAAAAGCAAATTTAAGAGTTCTAAGTGAACTTTCAGAAATTTTTTTTTCCTCGGCTCCCTCACGCACCTTGATTTGCTTCTGAGTCAAAATGTTCAAGGCGACCAGAGCCGACCGGGCAACGTTCAGTTCAATCGACCCGTGGTTTTTTCCCTCCTTCGGATTGGTCATCTCGAAAATGTGCGAGAAAATGATGTTCAGCACGTTCGATGGCGATTCCCTTAAAAAAACCTCATTTGAAAGATGCAAAGACCCTTAAGTGAGTTACTGAACAAATTTTTGCGCTTTTTTACTTTTAGTCATAATTTTCCTTTTTGAGGTGAATTAAAGATAGAGGCCATACTGACTGGGAATCCAAAAGCGGAGTGATTTTTTCTTAGAACAGTTTTTTGCCTCTCCGAGGTATTCTGAGAGTTTTTTCAACTTTTGAAACTCACGAGTCTTCAGCTCCCAGTTCGATCATCTTGGCGGAAAGAAACTGAAGGCATTTGCTTGCGTTTTGCCTCGTGTGAGTGTTGTTTTCCTGGATTTCAGAGTATTTTCTGATCTTCTACGAATAAAACCTTGTCAAGAAGAAGGATCACGGAGTCGATGATTTTCTCCGCAAAACTTCTCAAACCAGACAGATTTTCGAATTTGTCGCACAACATATGGATACAGGAGCACTGGAAAAGGGAGAATAAGTGATAATTACCATTTTTGATAAAAAAATTTTTTTGGTTAATTATTGTTTATTACATTCTTTTTGGGCGTTAGTGAAGCTTAATATCAATGGAGAAGAGCTGCGAAGTAGTTTGTTTTTGAATTGAGAAGGTTTCATTTAAGAAAATTTTTTCCATTCGATCTTGAACCTTCGATCTATTTGAAGTTTGGATCCTTCTTTTCCTTCTAAGATTGTCCCTGTATCAACTTCTTCCCATAAGGGATGACTAAAATATTTACATAAGAGGCTCTGGAGGGCGGATTAACGGCGTTGAGCGGCTTCATGACGACGTTTTCAATGTAATCTTGCCGGGATTCGATGAGGACCTCGATTTCCGACGAAGATCTTTAGAAAGGTAAGGATTGGTTCATGAAAATGCTAGGTTCAAAGACCTTCTCTGAAGGATCTCTTCGAGAATTCTATAGGCCTTTTTCTGGTATCCATTCGTGTCCGTTGAGTCGAACCATTGTCGGATTGCGTCCAGGATTTTACTTATCGCTTGGGTGTCCACACTACGCGTTAACGCGCACAGAATATCAAGAACGCGGTTCTAAAAACATAAAATTAAATATGACCCTTTGAAACATTTACAAACTTGTTTCTGAGCGGTTTCCGGGGTCGACTCTCCGTTTTCCTGAGATTTCAAAATGGCGCTGTCGACAAAACTGTCCAATAAATCTTGAGGGGCCACTTCAGCGTAAACTCGGATCGTTTCAAGGACAGACAATCTGAAGAGAGAAGATTGAATATGGGCTCTCAAACTTTTTTTTGTAAGTGGGAAGCTTTATGTTAGTGGGAGCACAGGGAAACAGATAAATGAAGACTATCTCGTTTCACTGGCATCTCTTCTTTGCGCTTGTTCTATTCAGAATCATTACCGGCCAAGTTCATGATTACAAAAGAAAAAGGTGACTGAAGAGACGCCATACAACGAAAACGTTCCCATTTTGGTATCCCTTCAGATAACATTGATCTACCACTTTCACAAATTTTTCATCTCTACTTTGCGCCTAATCTTTTTTTAATATTTTTTCTCGATGTTTTCCAAGTTCTCGAGATATTCAAAAGATGAAATTAGCTAAAGAGACGTCAGACAACGGAATCTCTCCGACTTCTCTGTTGTCTCTTCATATACCACTGATCTACCATATCCGCACATGTTTGAACTGCTTTTTTAAAGTTTTCCGCAGTACCTGACGCCTTTATCATCATACTCCTCAGCTTGACTGCCGGCCGTGTACATATTGAACAGCATGGGCATGTAGTTCTTGGCAAATCTGCCCATAACCTGGAAAACTCCTTATTTTCTACGGGAAATCGCGGAAAATCTCACTTCACTGCGCTCCGGGGGAGCGTCCGGCTGAATGGAGAATCTCAAAGCTCTTCTTATTGAAGCCAAGACGGTCATTCGCAAATCCTTGCGTTCCCGAAGAGCTGCTCCAAGGATCTGTAATTTAGAAAAAGGGTGAGATTGCAGTTTTATCGGTGAAAACCGGGGCAATATCGGGGAAAGAAGTTTCCAGGTCGCTCGGTGATTCACAGAAAGACTGCAAAAGTTCCCAAAGCTGGAATTGGAAGGTCGTGTAGACGCGTTGCAGCGGACCGTGCAGTGTGTTCAACCTCCTAAAAATCGAAAACTCCAAGTTTTTTTTTTTGTCATTTTTGCGTTTCAAAGCTTGTTGTGTATACCTAGAAGCTGAAAATCGCTCATTCTTTATTTCACTATAAAAATTTATAAAAAAACGCTCCTTTAAACACCTGAAGAGACTTTTGAAGAGATTCTATTCTTTGTAAACTATAAGACCGATTATTAAACAAAATAAAAAAAAGTAATACCGACTTGTAAATCTTGACAGCGACCGGCAAAAACGTCGAAATGAACAACGACAACGGGGCGTTGTGGATATTGACGCGAAGAATGGGCAGAAGCCAGGATCGTGAGAATTCCGACGAAAGAACGGCGGCGTCGGCGTCGACTTCCAGCGGAATCGCGTTCAGTACCGGGCCGACTCCCACGTGACGAACGGCCGAGCCGATTGTCTTGAAAATGCGAAACATTAACAGTTTTTAAAAAAAATAATCGTCGGTCCCGAGGGTCCCACGGTTTTTGAAGTTAAATGATTAAAATTTGGTCATAAGAATTTTTTTCAATAACTTGATCCTCGATTCAGAATTTTTTTAAACAATTTTTTTGACGGCTTGACTCGGCTTACATGCAGCTCTGGTTTTAAATTTTTTTTAATTTAATGGAAAAGTTTGGCCAACAAAAAAGTGGTGAAAAAAAAAATCTCTGATAAAAAGAGGTCGAAAAAATAATGATAAACTCACAAAATCGAGCTCCGGACGGCAGAAACACTCGTCACTCTGCCTCAACTGAGCCAAAGAGACCATCGATTTGGTGAACTCGGGCCCTTGCAGTGCTTCTCCGCAAACTTCGTACAACTTCATTTGAGTTCTATAAAATTCCTTGTGCAAAATCTTCAGCAATTGGTGAAAACCTGAGGATGAATTTCCAAACAGCCGCCGATTTCATTGTGATTGAGGCGTCCAAGAGGCTAAGAAGGTACTTCCCGCAGTCGCCATCGTCCTTCACACAGTTTTCAACAATTCTTGTCAGAACCTTGATTTTGAATTGAGGACTAAAATCTTGAAAATGCTCAACTTGATAAGTAATCTGGGCCAATTGATCATTTCCGCTGTCGAACAGCTTGACGATGAGGCTGAGGGAGCTGTTCAGCATCTGTGTTGACCTGAAAACAGATCTAGACGTTTTTTTTTTCGAAGATTTTTTTTTTAAGCTCCTTCGGAGCACATTTTATGTTAAAACTAGTTTTTCATCTCCTAAATCCTTCTAGATAAACTCACAGCTCGATTATATAAAAGGCTCCATACGATTTAAAAGTTACAAGTGTACTTTTAAGCTAATTTTATTTTAATTTCGTTTAATTGATTATCTGAATCCTCACAAAATGTTTAATCTTAGTTAATATTTAATCAATACTTCAAGGTAGTTGTTCAACTATAAAACACTTTTTGAAGCTAATTTTTCTATGTTGCAGCCATTTTTTAATATTTATTCAATTCAAAGTCAGCTGGATGGCTATAAACGTCACTGCGACCAAAAATTAATGAATTTTACCTAGCAGAATCCTTGGCAGTCAGGCAGACATGAGCTTCGGAGAGAGTTTGAAGCCAATAAGCCGTGATTGTGACGTCAGCGGCCGATGGACAGAACTTTCGAAGCGCCGAAATCAAGAGAACATTGGCTTCGGTCCGGAGAGCCGAATCGCAAGGCTGTCTTTGGAAAGACCGGTAGAGACACTGCATCGCAGAGCATTTCACCTAAAACATATTTTGCTTCATAACTCATTTTTTCCGTTCTACCATAGGATCAGACTGCGCGAAACACTCAAGCAGCTGCTCGGCGAGCTTCTCGAAAAGGGAGGACGGCATTTTGTGCATGATACCTTCCAGAAGGCAGAAATAGCGAACTATCATCGTGTTGTCTCCTTTTTGGCCTTGAGTTTTTGATTGGAGTCAGGTTTTAACATTCCATGTTTTACTTGTATAAGTGCGAACGTGTTGAAGGATGAAGTTGCCGACGACGCCAGAAGCTGGATGAAGACCATCGTCGGTGGCTGTGACTGGGTCTGTGAGAACCGCCCGAAGAACACGACGAGCCATCGTTCTCACCCACGGCTTCTCATGGGCGCTCAGAGCCGCTACCGACACGAGAATATTCCTCAAAATCTTATTTTTCCTGTAATTCCGATCAGGTTCACTCAAACTGGAACGGAAAAGAAGTTCAACATTTCTTATATTTACAGCATTGAAATTTTCTGGTTTTCAAAAAGTGTTCAGTGTGGTTGGACCGTAAATGAATTGAAAAAAATGGAATATGAAACAGGATAGTCACTCAGAAAAATGAAAACTTTATAAACTTCTTCCGAAGTCCAAATTAAGGCTATGCAAGGCTCCAAAAGCAATAAGAGAAAAGAAAAAAATGTCTTCAAACGAAAAATTTTTTTCAAAAATTAAATGAGCTTGTGTTTAAGTTGACTGTCAACTCGGCAAAAACAAGTATGAGCTGGAAGTTTTTTTAATCTCTGAAAAAAATTGAAAAAACCTGGTATTGGCACCGTTCCAGACGGCAGAAGGCTGAGCTCGCAAAATGATCCCAAGCACAGAAATCAGATTTTTCAGTGCCGAACCTTCGGAACTGTCAACGTTTTCCAACAATTTCGTGTACAAAGTCTACAACTTTTTTCTAGAATTTCAAAAAAATATATGAAAACCTGAACGGCTCGGGTGAACTGCGATTGGAGGACCTCTTTGGGTACCTTCCTCACGATCAGGTGAAGCAAATAGGCAATGGCAGCCGTTCTACGAACATTCCCAAGAGAAGCCCCTTCCAAGGCGGTCAACAGGGCGGAAAAATACTCAACATCTGATTCCTTACCTGAAAATTAAGCTCTAAATTAATGAATCCAGGTGGTCTATACCATCTTTCTCCTTTATAAGCTCAGCAATTGCTGCCAAAACAGAGACAACCTCCGACTGAATAGAGGATCCAGATCTGAACAAGTCAGTCTAGCTCGTGTTTTGTTAGGAAAAATAGTATTTAATATATAAATGAGAAAGGAAACCAACTTCCAGATACGATTGACGGGATCAAAAGCTGGGTTCGTGCAGGCCGTGAACTCAGAGATTTGCGAAATTCCTCCCTCCGAAATCATACTCTTCGAGGAGGAACCGCCAATATCCATAGCACTCTGTGATTTACAACTTTGAATATACAAAAGTTTCGAATTTCAACAATTGGAAGTGCCGAGAGCATATCATCCGCTGCATTTGGAGCTCGATCATCGACCGCTACCATCGATGAACCGCCAGACGAGGCTTGACGAGCGCTTTGCGCTGCGATTCTGTGACGATTTTTTGTCGGGTTGCTCGAGCATCTTGAAAAATCATCAAATTAAAACGATTTTTGAGGAAGATGAGAATTATAAGAAAAAAAAAACTGAAATTTCGACTTACGCGAAGCCTTTTGGAACCCGTGTTGCACCTTTGGTATGGACCCGTTTGCGAAACTTTCCACCACTCATTGCACTGCAAAAATAATCGTAAAAACACAAATCAAAATAACCCGCGTCGTGATTTTTATCTGATTCTTGAATAGCTATTATTAATAGGCTTGCCTGATAAAGTAATAAGGTGCTAGATGAAAAAAATTAGTCAATCAAACCCTAAAGCCGTAGATGTTCTGAAAAAGTTTAGATAACGCCATTCGAAAAATTATAAAAACTAAATAAACAAATAAAAAAACACATAAAAAGGGAAAGTATTTGAGAAATAAAAATAAAAGAGCCCAAATTTGTGTTAATTCGACGCAGAAACAGCTGATCGCGGCCTAACCATTTCTGAGCAGCCTGCGTGCGCCTTCAAAAATTTTCTTTTGCCGTTACAAGATCTTCATTCTTCTGTCTTTTTCTGATGAGATTCACAATGTTCAGTGATAATATAAACAGGAAATCAACTTTTCAAGATTCATCTTGCTCTAATAATGGCTTGTAGTTATAAAAAAAAAACCATCAAATGTGTTTTTGATGTGATTAACAAAAAACAAAATCAGATGAACACAAGTTTATGTCAAAACCATAACAATAAACAATGAAGAACAACAAGAAGAAAAATAGTGCAAATATTCGGTTTCAGTTTCTCATCGACGCCCATTTAGCTCTGTGAAGTTGCGATGAGACGTCTATAAAAAATTTTTTTGTTCCAAAATGAAAGAAAGATATTATCACTTTTAACACGAGAGTTGGCGGTTCTGTTTCTTAGAAGATCCTCGCGGAAATTATTTACAGGCTCGAGAGAATGTTGAATACCTTCTTTCAAGGTCACCACTTGAAATTCGGCTTTGCTGGAATACGAAGTAATAGTTTTGAAAATTTAATGGACTACAAACTTTTGTCTCAATTGAAAAACTCCTTTGGCGATTCGTTTAGCTTTCCTTCGAGACTTCTCCTTAGCTCTCTTGCCTTCAGCACGGGCTTCCTCGGCTTGTCTTTTCAACTTCACCTGAAAAATTAACTTAATGAGCATGAAAAAAGCTTAATCAAACTAGCCTGTTCATAAATACTTTGGGTAGGTTCTTCAGTTTTAACTAGGGGAATCTCTGGCTTTGAACTTAAATGGACATCGTTTTTCTTCGATGGAACTTCTTCTGGCATATCGTCATCGCTGTCTGATACAGTATCGGAAGCTCCCTCATCATTTTCAATGATGTTCTAAAATTTTAGAGAGAATTAAGTAAGATTTTTGAGTGTAGAACCTCCATTTTATCTGTTGATGCTCTGCGAGTTGACCTTCCAGTCCGAGTAAGAACTGAAAATGATAAAATAAAACGCGTCTAAGAAAAAGGTTTTCGACGCAAAAAACCCTGATTTTTCCGTTTGTCCGCCACGTTTTGATATGAAATATGGAAAAAAAAACAGACCCATTTTAGATTAAAAGCAGCCGCTCAGAAACTTTGAGGAACAAGCTGGAAACTTTGAAGCTCTGCAATCTAAATCTCATAATAATGAAATAAAAAGATTCAAAAAGATTTTTAAAAAAAGAAATAGAAAAAAATAAAAGTTTTACAAAAGTTGTTGCGGTTGTGTTGCAAAAACCGCGTCCGATATGCTGACAGCACGCCCTTTTTTCAAATCGTGCTATTCCCGCGAGACAATTTTTCTTTCTTGATTTCTTATTTATTTCTTTTGTTTTTTTAAAGTTTTTTTGCGTGTTTTTTAGTGAGTCCTAAAACTTTCAGCCAGCTGTGATAAGCGCCTACGAAAAACTTGATAGTTTTCTGAATAATTTTAGGAATTTAAAAATCTTAGTATCTTCCATGTCAAGAGTTCTTCTCATTACCCTTGCTTTCTATAGCTTTCGAATAAGCCTTGGTAGCAGTTGAACAAATAATTACTCATTCGAACAGTTAGCGCCTTTCTCTTCTCCTAATAGCCGTCGTATGTGTACTCAGTACCGCAATATTAACGATTGTAATCTCCAAGTAGTGCCGTCGGTAACTTGAGCTGACCCTCTGGGACAATACGCTCGTGACCTCTGCGGCGTACGCGAAAACGGCAAAAAGTAGTCGATATATACGACTAATGCGCATCAATTCCATTGAGCAACGAACCAAATGTACTCGTAAACAATTCCTTTTCGACATTTTTCTTTTTGTTTACATGTTTTTCTTCGCCGCGTAGTGTTTTTCTGCGCCATTCTCACGTTTCAAAGTACATAAACCTTTCGAAATTCTAGTTCATAGAAACGTCATCCATATTGTTTTTCCGTATTCTTTCTCAGAGCTAGGAATTTGTGCCTTTCTCGAAACTTTTTCTATTATTTCTCTCTTCAAGTTTCTGTAATTTTCATCTCCATTTTAAACTCAGATAGGAGGGATTAAATGCTAATCTTTTTTCTGTACGATAACATCGAGATGTTATGGAGTTTCTTTTGGAGTTTTTTTGAAACTGAGAACTTCACTGTTTTTTTTTGTTGTATCACTTTTTCTTCATTTTCAGGCATTTAAAAAAGCTTGAGTATGTTTTTCAGAGCCAAAAAAGAAACATTTTTCTCCACGTCAATTGTTTTTCTCGGATATCTCTATATCTAATGAAAACTTCATATTTCATGTAGATGATAATGGCGAACGACGATGAAAAAGGCCGGGTGGCGGTGAGTACAGCGACGCCTGGATACATGAAGAGCAACGAAGCTGGGGAACGTCTTCTGTCTCAGAAGCTGAGCGATGAACGACAGGCCGCCCAGATCTTCAATCCTTCCCCTCGCCAAGCCACGGTTAGTATAGAAAACTTCCCAATGATCCTGAAAATTTCTCTAGCTATTCAAAAATGGTTTCTTTATGTTTGCATCCTTTCCAAGGTAATTTTATTATCATTTCTACATATTTTCAAGCCTTTCAACTACTAGCAAGAAAAAAAAATAGATAGAAGGTCCGGTAAAGTCCTCAAAGCGACCTTTTCGTGACTTTTTTGGCGCTTTGCAGCGTATGAACTCAATGGGTAGAAATAAAAACGCAAAAATAATCAAAAAGAAGTTTCCCACTTGTAAACATTCCCGCAAGCTGTACTGAATACGGGATAAACAACGAAAAAAGAGCATTGCGAAAGGCGGCCGCATGATGCAAACAAATCCACACGCAGTAGAGTTCTCCAGTTCTTTTTCTCCCTCGAATTGCGGGAGAAATGTTCGTCTTCCCACTTGTTTTTGTTATTTTGCATCTCTATCGAATTTCGAGTACCTCAGTTTCAAGGTCAGGTGCAGAGTATTGCATATTCGCCTCATACTTTTCTATTAATTGACTTTTATTTCATTTCTCTTATTGTTTTTTTTGTGTTTTCAAATTTTGTCTTCAAGTTGCAAAAATTATATTGTTATTCTGAGTCCTTTAGAGTATCTAGTAACTTGGCTTCAAGGTCTTAGGAAACGAAAACTACATTATTAATTACTTAATTTTTATTTTGTTTCCTTGGTAAGTTTTGGCGATAAATTTTTTGCCTCTGGAGCCTTAAAGCCATTTTTCCATTTACTTACCTCAGAAACCCCTTGAATTCCAGAATTTTTCGCCTTTTGTACTCTTAATCTTTGAAAATTTAGATTCCTGTTAAAATTTAGCAATGTTCTTCTGCCTACTGTGCCGCCTGAATTTTCGGCTTTTCGCTCCTTTTCGAATGATCTAGCTGATTTTTTAGGTGATGGCAAACTAACGTTCTAAAAAACACCTGTCCGGGTGTCTTCAAAAAATGATTGATAATCGAAATCGGGCTTAAATTTGGAATATTGCTCTTGAATCGATCTCTTGCCGCATTCTTTTCCGTTCACCCCTTGATAAACATGTACCTTGTCACTTATTAAGCCGAAAACAACACATTGAAAGCGTCTTAACGGCTTGAAGCTGTCAGTGTTTCTTTTGCTCCATTATCGAAGTTGTGAAAAGAGGGAAAAATTTGTGACTTTCTTTTTTTGCCGAACAAATAGGAAAATGGCCTTTTTCTCGTTGTCGTAATGGAACCACGTGGGCTTCCGCTCAACAGTAAAACCGTTTTTTGTTTCCACGTTTTGAATAGGATGCGGGAGGAAAAAAATGGGAGGAGGTTTAAACAAACGGCGTGTGGGGCGTGCCAACCAAAATTGACTGATCACACTCTTTTCTCTCTTCAAAAAAAGAAAAAAAAAGATGCGACAGCCGGCCTCCCGTCGCACGTTGTTTCTCCTTCCATACTTTGTTATCTATCGCCTTGTTTTTGGTCTTTCCCCTGTTATGGTCTCAAGAAAACGAGCTCTTTCGTTGAAACCTCACAAGGGAGGTTATTCCAGTTCGAAGTTTTGGATTGTATGGAAATTTGTGGAAACACTCCGTGAAGCTCTAGATGAAGTTTTTCGGATAGTTGCTGTTTGCTAAAGTGTTTAATTTTAGATATAATTTTTTGTATGAATTTTCTGAGTATTGATTGCAGGGTCATATCCTATACAAAGGGCAAAAATTAGAAAATGAGGATCTCTGAAAATACGAATTTCCTTAGTCAGCGACTGTGATAGAATTTAACCTAGACCTTCAGAAACTTATTGGGTTTCACAAAATTTTGAGATTCGTTTCAAAATTACCTCCCTTGTTAGGTCCTTTTACTCGGAACTTGAATTTTTTTAATATGGCTTAAGTTAGCTCCACAATTGTCGCTCTTCTGTATATTTTCACATATTCCGCGAAACAACAAGATTCATAAATTCTTTTAAATTTGAGCGATGGCGAAAACCGAGTACGAGGTGAATGTGCCACTGCAAAGGCGTCCACCCAACGAGGTATCTTTCCCCTGAAAATATCTTCCTAAACCTAGAAAACAAGAAAAATGAAGAGAGAAAATGCGTGAAAGATCGTTTGATCATTTTATCGTTCGAGTGGCGTTATGAGTGGGGAGTCAAGCTCGAAATCAACAAATAAATCTCTCACCGAGACGACTATCGGCTCTGTTGGGGCCGACGAGTTGAGCTTGTTGGAGTTCGAGGTATTGGATTTGGCTGGGCCTTAATTCGGAGGAACAGGGGGATTTCGTGGTCTTCGTTCAAACTTTCTATGAAAGAACCAGCTTGTTGGATATTTTAGTGAACTCACAACGTATTTTTCTATGCTTTAAGTCAGCAGTTTTTTATTTCGCTATAAAAATTCGAAGAGGCTTCATTCTATCAGTAAAAAGAGCAATAATTCTACTATTTCTTTGAAGTTCGAAATATTCAAGCTGAATTAAGGATTTTAGGGTCGTCTTACGGGTCCATTGGCCTTCGCCGTTTTTGCCGTCACCCTCGCGTCTTTCCAGTTTGGCTACCATATCGGATGCGTCAACGCTCCTGGAGGGGTTTTTTGGGACCTCGAATCTGAAAAAAACAATTTAATTTCTTTACAGCTTGTCACGGAATGGATCGTCGAGTCGCACCAAGGGCTCTTCAATTCGACTTTGACCAAGGAGGATGCCGATTTTGCCTGGTACGGTTCTTAGGAATCAAAAATAGCACTTCTTTAAATTTGTTACTGTATAAATTTTTGTCTTCTCAGCCTTTTATTTCTTGTCATATTAGCTCGAAAAATGCATTAAAAATATATAAGATTTTATCATAGAGCGTGATTTCTTTTAGTAAGATTGTATTAAAAACGGGGAAAGTTTTTTTTTCGCAGTGTCTGGTCTCTTAGCCTTCAATTTTTCCTTGAAATGCTCCGAATCTTATCAAAAACGTCGTTCACAAGGTTATAATCAAGGAAAGGAACAAAAGGTTTTTGACAGGTCCGTGGCCGTGTCGGTTTTCGCCGTCGGTGGCATGGCTGGGGGTCTGCTTTCTGGTTGGCTCGCTGATAAGGTGATTTTTGAAGAGTTCCATGATTGGGAAATGAAACTGGAAGTCAAAATCTTGAAGAAACGCATAAAAAGAGTAGTAAAAATCCTTCTTCAAATAACCCAATTTTTAATATTTTTTAAGACGTGTTTTATAGAAAAACCCGAGAATTCTCGAAAATTGGCTGAAAAAGCCTTGAATTCTTTTTTTTTACGAATCCTTAAGAAATTCCCCAGACCGCAAAGTGAAATTACATTCTTGTTAGAAGCCTTGAAACCCTCTTATTTTCATCACAAACTCGTTGAACCTTTAAAATTTTACTGGTCAATCTACATTTACACGAGATCCTCTTATCAAATGATGTATATATTTATACTGTATTCTCCTAAATTACAGATCCAAGTGAACTCGTTAGGGTTCACGCTGATCTGTCAATAAGTTATTATTATGTCAAACTCAGGTCGGACGCCGTGGAGCGCTTCTGTACAATAACTTGATCGCCCTCGGAGCCGCCGCCCTGATGGCTCTGGCCAAATCCGTCGGCGTGTACCCGATGATTGTCCTCGGCCGTCTTCTCATCGGTTTCAACTGCGGTAAATCGAAGAAAAGTCGGAAAACGGATCGAAAATCGAGGTTTTCAGGCCTCTCGTCTGGACTCGTGCCCATGTACCTGACGGAAGTGTCGCCGATCAATCTTCGCGGAATGCTCGGCTCCCTCCATCAGCTCCTCGTCACCATTGCTATCCTCGTCTCGCAGGTCGGAAAGTTGAACTCTTTTGGGGGAGTAAAATCAGTGACGCAAGCCAATCGAAGAAGGTCTTGACACGATTGAAATTATCGTATGATTGTGGCAAATGCAGAAATTTTACTATTTTTTCGTGTCTTAAGCCAATCGTGAATGGACTATAACGTCTCTAGTTGAGGAAATGCTAAAAAAATGTTTTTCTGGATATTTTGACCTCCAAATTGGTCACGCTAGTTCTGAAAATTCTCTTCTCGGAGCTTCACTCAGTACATTATGCCTTGTTCAAAGTAATTTCGGCGATTTCGAATTCGACGTGTTATCCGTTCCAAAAAATATCGGAATTTAGGCAAAATTAGACTCTTTGATTCCGAACAGCGACGAATAAAAATCTACTATTTTAAATCAGGGTGCTCTTAATTAAGTTTGAGACAGGCTTCAATGGATATCAAGAATTTTTTTGTTTTGAAAAGACCTTTTTCAAAGCGGTTTTTTTTCTTTCCAAACCTTCCCTTCTAATTGTGAATTGTATGAAGAAGAAGAAGAACATCTTTAGGTCCTCGGACTTCCTTCCCTCCTGGGAACTAATGAACGCTGGCCCCTGATTTTCGCCTTCACGATCGTGCCGGCCATTCTTCAGCTGATCACCCTGCCAATGTGCCCCGAATCTCCCAAATACACGCTGGCCGTTCGTGGACAACACGATCGGGCTGAAGCCGACTTGAAGAAGCTCCGTGGAACCGGAGATGTGAGTTTGGAGTAGAACTTCTCCTCGAAGAACGATCTTCCTTATATCGCTTCAAAAGTGATTGGAAAATAAGCTGAACAATTTTATGAACGGACAAAAGCATTCAACTAGAAAAGACAAACAAGAAAAAACGTTTTGAAACTCTTGATTTCAAGGTGTCGGGAGAGATGGCGGCCATGCAGGACGAAGTCGCCTCGGCTCGTGCTCAACAGAAGCCGACGATGGGATCCATGTTCACGGGAGCTCTCCGTTGGCCCATGACCATCGCCATCATGATGATGCTCAGCCAGCAGCTTTCTGGTCAGTTCTGTGGAAAAAAAGAGTATTAGAAGGATCAGGAATTTAAAAGTGTCAACTTCGGCTTGTTGATCTGAATATACCCCAATTTCGAATTTTCAACTTGGTTCTCATGGCTTATAATGCCTTGTTCAAATTGATTGCAAATATCAGAGAAGCCGTCAGCGAGTGAAAAGGCCTCAACGCTTTAAGTTAGGAACTTTAGGATTAAAAAAACGAGAAGTTAAAAGCTCAAAATTTGCCTTAATTTCTAGCTATAGCGAGAGTCGTTTTGAGGTCAGACTCATCTTCTCAGTAACTGCAAAGTGTATAGGCATTCCTATGCGGCCTGAAGGCTTTTTTCCAGATTCTTTTTAACGAATTTATATCGGAATAGGTTCGTCTATGTTATACAAATTTTCAAGAGTTAGAGATGATTTTGAAGTTTCCGGAAATAACTAGATCACATCATAATATATAAAATTTCTACCGGCTCTAGGATTTGATATTGCCTTTCCCTATCCCTTTTGATGGTTTTTCTTCTTGCTTGCTTGTCAAACTTACAAGAAAATCAGCTTTGCAGCCTCGAGACTCTTTTTTTGCTCAAATTTGTTTCATGTTATAAAGTCCTACACTCAAGGTATCAACGTGGCCATGTTCTACTCGACGGTCATTTTCCGTGGCGCCGGCCTGACGGTCAGCCAAGCCGTCTACGCCACCATCGGAATGGGCGCCGTCAACGTTCTGATGACGATTGTCAGTGTCTGGCTCGTCGACCATCCCAAATTCGGACGTCGGTCCCTTCTCTTGATGGGAATGGGTGGCATGTGCGTCTCCACCGTCCTCATCGTCATCGCCCTCGGTCTCAGCGGAGATTATCAGGTATCAGTGTCTTGGCCTGAATCAGTGCAATTTTGTACTGGTATCTGTGAGCAAATCTGAAAAAAATAATAGTATTTTAGTCTTCTGAATCTCTCGAAATGGCTTTAGATTTTGTTGAAAATATATTTAAGGTCTCTGAACCATTTTCCAAAGCTCTTGTCAGTATTAGTGATGAATGAGATGACCTAATAAAACACTGGATACTATCGGGATAATATTTCGTTGTCAAATTGCTTTCTGGGAAATCCGATTCAAAAATGGAATTTTTAGACAAAAGTTAGCAGTTTTTCTTCACACAATGAAGATCTTTGATTCTTTCGAAAATCCTTTTTTTTTCAAAGTACAGCTTCCATTAAAAATATTTGTTTTTTAAAAAACCTTCCTCAGTTCTTTGAAATGCGGCACCTTCAAAAAGAAACCTTTTTAAAGGTCTGATGGATCCATTTCGAAGGTCCACGTGCTTTTTTATCAGATAAATCCTTTCAGAAGATTTTTAAAGATGAATCACAAAGAATCGGTGCCGCTTCCTTTGAAAAAAAGTTTAAGAATCAAAAATCGACTTTATTGAGAAGGATAAAAAATAAGAAAGAGAGATTTGAGTAATCATGGGAATTCACTGGGAATGCGCATTTTACATGCCGTTAAAGTTATTACCTTTTTTATTTATCCTAAGGCGATATTTTCAGTTTTTCAGCTTTAAAAAGGAACGAGAGTTTAGTTTCAAAGGCCTTACGGATTAATCTGTTACTTTTTTGTACACTGTGTTCTGATCTTGTGTGAACTATGATTCTTAACGAAGTCCTAGAAATTTCAGAATTAAAAGTTTTGTTAATTTTACTTTATCTTTTTATGAACTCGACCATTTTCAGTGGGCCAGCTATGCCGCTATCGCGTTCGTCCTGCTGTTTGTGATCTCCTTCGCCACCGGCCCCGGAACCATCCCCTGGTTCTTTGTCTCGGAGATCTTCGACTCGTCGGCCCGCGGAAACGCGAACTCGATCGCCGTTATGGTCAACTGGATGGCCAACTTGTTCGTCGGCCTCACTTTCTTGCCAATCAATGTGAGTTGATCGCAAAAATGAGCAGAAATAAATTTGTCTAGCAAGAGAGGCTGGCTTACGAATTTTCACCAAAATTTTTAATGAAAATGATGTCTAAGATCAGGGAGGAAGTGTTGGCAACAATGAATAGAAGTTCCAACCTTAGGGAGGTAGTGGCGACCTTATTTAAAAAAAAGGGGGAAAAAGAATTGTTTAAAAATGGTCCATTTATTTTTGACTGACATACAAGAGTTTTTTCTTTCATTTGAAAGATCATTTTAGAGTCCTCCTGAGTTTGAGAGAAGGGAGAATTTTTCCACATCTTGAAAAACTTTGAAAGACTTTTTTTCTTCTTTTTAAGTTAAGTCTTTTTAAGGGAATTTTTATTTTCTACTCTATCAGAATTTTTTTTAGGGATTTAGTTCGAACCAATTGGAAAATCATACTCTGTGAATTTTTCAAGAACTTCATGTTTCAGAACCTGCTGCACCAGTACTCCTTCCTGATCTTCACCTTCTTCCTCGCCTTCTTCATGGTCTTCACCTGGCGATGTGTCCCCGAAACGAAAGGCAAGACGATCGAGGAGATCCAGGCCGAATTCGAGAAACGTCGTTGATTCCTTTGTCCAACCGCAATATATGTATGTACCTCACTCTAGTATTCAGACACTAAAACAAATTTTAACCCATATAGACTCTATTCAAAAAGTATTCAAACTAATAACTTTAGAAATTCCTTGAAATATTGACGTGCTTCTTGTTTTATGAGCTTTAATTTCATTTTTTTTTCCATCTTCATTCTTCTTCTTCGCTACAGGGCATTCGTATATTTTAACCAATTTATTACTTTTATCACTTTTTCTTCCTTATTCACATAAAGCTGATAATTTAATGGTAAATGCATGCGAAAATGTGCCCGATGGAACCCGTAAGATGGTGAATATAACAAGATAAGAGTTCAAAAAGGTTTGGAAAGGTCTAGGTATCGTTGATGAATGTGGTTTTGGAGAGAGCCGGCGGTAGGTCTGCGTTGGACTGACGTCGGCGTCCGGCGCTTTTTATTCTTTTGGCTTCGCGCCAACACCTGATCGTCACCTGGAAAAGCTCAATTTGATTACAAGAATCTGATATAGCCGCTCAAAAATTAGACTAGGAATTGCCTTTTTGATCCAAAATCTCGGGCCTGACGCAAAGCGGACTCGTTCTTCTGAGCATTTATAGGGATTGCTTTAGCTGTGTCAGCACTCCTAAATGATCCCTAATGCCTAGAGCATTCCTAGTCATCAGTTTAGCGGCGTCAGCACTCTTAAGTGAGCTCTAGAAAGGCTCAGAAACGTCCGATTTGTGTAACCGAGGTCTGAGATAACAGCTGAAAAAACTCGATCGAGTTCTTTTTTAATTTTTCTAAGAAGTTAACCCTGGTGGATTAAATGGTTTCAAAGTTTTTCTATTACTTCAAGTGCCACAGCGCCCGCGATCGTCTCGAAGAGGCCGTAGATGCTCGCGTAGAAGTAGGTTTTGATAAGAGTTGGCGAGAACAGAATCACGAATGAAGCTGGAATTTTTAAATATGGAATAGTCTAACAAGTTGAGCTCCAAAAGTTCAAATTTTTTTAAATTAAAACTTCTATGAGAGCAGATGAAACCGTAGGAAGGTTCTGAACTTATGATTGAACAATGAAGAGTCTTTAACACGACTAAAGTGACCACTAAATGGCCTAGAGTTCGCCGAAAGAACATCTGCTATTGGAAAAATGTATATACAATTCCTACCTTTTTCGTCTTCTGAAAATATCAGGAGACTCACTGAGCGCTAGGGTCAAGACGCGGAAGCCTTTGAAGAAGGCGTAGGGCAGGAAATAACTCGGACGGATGTGCTTCAACGCTACCGTGTGCGCCAGGTACAGCGAAACCGTCAGGCCGAGTCCCGAGGTGAAGAAAAAACCAAATATGACGCCCGAGAAGAGTAGCGAATCTGAAATAAAATTGCTTGCTAAAACTTTCAAGCGAAAAGGCCTTACCAAAGGAAAATCGACGTATGCAGGCGTGAAGAAATACGTTGGCGCTGATAAGCAAAGGTGCACAGATCCACGCGAGCTCCTGGAATCAATTTTGATGAACTTGAATCCAGAAGAAATAAAAAAAATTCAGAAAGCGCTCCTGTTTTTAATCGAAAAATGGCAAGTTAAAAAATAGTGTTTCGAGCATATTTTGCTTGTAAGAAGACGAAAAAAATGAATATAAAATATAAATTATGTGATTTTTCAGAATTATATTTATGAAGCAAAAAAATGCCAATGAGTATTGATTGGCGTCTTGGTCGTGCACTGGCGCTTTCTCAGATCGATTTATTTATTAATTTTTTTAACTTTTTTTAATTTTTCCGCCTTTATTATTGTTCCATATCCTGCTTTGCGATTTGAATAAAAGGTTTGCGCTAACTATTAAATGTATTACTTCTCGAAAACCTATTGTTCAAATTTTAGCGTCAAAAAAATCAAAATGTTTCGTTAAGCTTTGAAGAGATTTTTTTAAATTAAAAAAACTATAATAAATATGATAAGCTGATCTAAAAATCCTTGAACTAAAAAAATAAAAAAATAAATTTTTTTATAATAAATGTTTTTTTGAAACTTGGTCGATCCATTTTATTTCATTATTTTTTTCCCGGTTTTTTTGCTATTCATAGACCTTCAAAACTGTTTAGATGATTTATTTTTTTGCTAACATATGAAGTCCGTTTGTAGAGGTTTCTGAATAAAAAGACTCGAGCTGGCTTACAATCAATCAGAGCTTTATTTAGGACGAAAAAGTTTTACATTTTGTTTCGAATCTTCATCCTCTAGTTTTTTTTTTTGAGACCTATGTATATACATTGAAAAACCTGCAGGTAGACGATAATAAAAAGAGTGTGGAGTGTGGAAATAGCCTGCTCGTTGGTCGCCATTTCAGCCGCGGAGCCGCCCGACGTCAGACGCGCATCAAAAAAACCGTGATGTCGACCGTCAGGTGGAAAACCTGCAGTACGTTTTTTAATTTAACAAAAAAAAAAATGAAGGATCGAGCAGATTAGTAAAGCTACAAAACGATTTCATAAATAATCAATTTCGAAATCGAAATTTTCATGAGAATGGGAGTTCACAAAATATGTTAAAGTAATTGCTTCAAAATGTTCGAACACACTGGTTGCACTAAGGCGATCCTGGTCTCTTAAGGGATTACTAAAAAAGCCGAAAATACCACTTAAGTGGTCACTAAACTGCTTGTCCAAAAAGAAACCTGACGCTAAGATTTTTTAAGGCTTTTAGCAATAAAAAACGCGAAAATATCAATAACTCGGCCTTCCAGTTAATTCATTCTAATTTATGTCGCCGCACCTTTCTCCGAATCGGATATTTCATAATTTCTTGTTTTTGAGTTAAGGTGTGTTCCAAAATTGTCGCTGAATTTTTTAAAGGAGCAGATGCAAATTTCGTAAAGGTCTCGAGGCGAAGAATCTTTTTCTGTTCTCCTTTTGGTGGTGCGCACTCTTGAGATCGCCGAAAACGGTTTTCAAACAGACTATGAGGTTAAAAACTTATACAGCTCCATTAGGAAGGTTTCATGGAATTTTCAAAGGCGCACCAGTCTTGCCTGAGCTGAAATAATTCTAGAAGACGTCTCGAGAAATTTTTGTTAAGTTGCCCATGCTCCTTTAAAGGGCTTTAGGAAGTACTGTAATCGAGCTAATAAACTTCCGTGTCTTCAATAAATCAAATAAACAGGACTTAATTGAATTTGGAGACGAGGAAAAATGAACCAAGTGCAATATTTTGTTAGCAATTTGCTTTGACTGTACCAAATCATCAATCAAAAAAAGGCAGCCGACCTGAACTGGACAACTGCCTTTGAGCCAAATGTTTTCCCGTTTCTTGTTATCAATCAATCGGAAAGAACGAAGATTGAATACAGGGCGGAATGAGCGATTGAACTAAGAAATTGGATTTCTCTCTTTGAAAAAAAACATTTTGCTCAGGCTTTAATGCTATCAATTGCATATGCACTGAATTTTGTTCAAATCTTCGACAAAGAAAAAATGCAAAAATTTAATTTTTTCTCTTTTTCCCAGAAAAAAACTGTTTTTGGTTTTTTTTTCAGAAGTTCATTTTCTAGATCTTTTTAGACTTTTTTTCCGCTCTTAGCTCTATAAAAAAATGAAGGATCGTTAATTTTTTTCGAAGGAAATGTATTCAAAGGAAACGAAAGATTTTTCAGTAGGAAAATTTTCTTTCGAAACAAACTGAAGATCAAGAAAAAAAGAATACTCCCAATTTTTTTGAAAATTTTTTTCCAATAACCTTCCAAAAAAATCTCATGAGGAGACAATTTTTGGAGAATTTCGCGTTTTGTGGTTTCATTTTTTTAGCTATATTAGCTCTTTTATTGTTTTGATTGGAGGAATAAATTTTTTTATTTTTTTCCTTGAATTTTCTGAGTTTTTCGAGTGAAACTTTTTATGAAAAATTTCTAATTTAGACTGACGAAATTTTTTTAAACAATGACAACTGTGTGAATATTTTTTTGAATAAAAAAATATTTCCACATGGACAGACAGCCGCTTAGGGCACTCTGAAAAAATTTTTTTGTTCTTTGCATCCGATTATGCAAAAGTAATCTAGCGGTCACAGAAAAAATCACTTTTGTAAAAAAAATTTGAATGTATTGAGTTGAATAGTTGAGCAAAAACTAGAAAAAAAAACAAAAATCAAAAAAGCAATGAAGTCCTTGGAAAAAATGAAATGGCAAGAGGAAAACTAGCTGGCGGACGTCGAAGAGGACATGAAATATTCAAAAATTCGGCCACCTTCCGCCCAACCAATAATGCATTTCTTTTTTTTTCTACTCCTTTTTCTCGTCCGTTCGAATGTGTTTTTGGTGATACACAATGGCGAATTTCGTGGGAGTATTCTCACAGACAGGAGATGAGTAAATTTTCCTTGAAAGTGGGTGAAAACCCGAATCTAGCAAGGTTTTCAGTTCTGTAGTCTTTTCTTTTTTTTTCGAAAAAATGGGAATCTTTTGGGACTTTTTATTTTTCGAGACTCTTTCCAATTAAAAAAATATACGATAGTCTATTTTACTATTATAGACTATTTTTTAAATCTCTCCTTTTTCCCCGCCAAAATACCGCTACAGTAGCACCACGGCGTTTTTGAAACGATATGGCTGTTCTCAGCGATTCAATTTTTTTAAAGTTGAAAACGGTCTTTAAGCGGAAACTCTTGATATTTACTCTTCTAAAAGTTAAAAAGGAGTTTGAAAAAGGAAAATAATTTGATATGCTGTGTTCTTGAAGAACTGGTGAATCAAAAAAATTCCAAAATAAGTCTCCGAGGCATTTTTTTCTTTTTCAAAAATTGCTTCCTTAAAATTTAATAAAAAGAAATTAATTTTTAAAAGTATATCTGGAAATTTCTACTTTTTTTCCGTCCCTTCTTTTTTTCAAAATTGTTTCTTCAACGTCATGCTTGTCAAATTTTGCACCCCTAAAAAAATTAAAATTAAAGGAGGAGGTATTATTAAAATAAAAAAATTTAATTATCTGTTTTTAATTGCTTTCCAAACTTGCTTTAGGCGCAGGCGTGGCCTGCGCCCTATTTAGGGATAGTGATTAAAGACAGGATAAAAAATTTCGATTTTTTTTTCAATTATCCATAGAACGCGAAGTCTTATCTTTTTCTGTTATGGTGCTTTTTTTGATGAATAACACAACAATTTTTTTATTCAAGCATGAAAAACATGATAATGTACAAATAACTCCGTTTACTAAGTATTTGAGAAGGCTTTCAAAGTGTTAAGCATTTATGAAGGTGTTTAATTCACTAAAAAAGAAGGAGAACTCGGAGAAAAAGTGGGTTGGTCCAAAGATAAAAATAGATGTTGAAGATGATAAATGTTGAAATTTTTATTTTAATTTCAAGTTTTTTGATAGGTAACCGCTTGGTACCTGTGTGACTTCAGTTATTACCGGTTGGGAAGTTCTTTTTTTTGAGTGGCTTGTTAGGATGTTAAACTCAATTTTCGACAGATGTTAAAAGGAAATCGGCAAGATAAAAGATGAAGAAGAGACGAAAAGAATGCTAAAGTTTTTGAAGGAGCGTGGGCAAATTTTATACGGATTTCGAAGCGAAGAGCCTTTTTTATTTTATTTTGGGTCATCCAAACTTCTGCGCTTTCAAATCTACATTAATTGTGAATGAACTATCCTAGAATTTTGGCTATCAATGTGAAGGGACAGCTAAATTTTCTAACTTACTGATGAGGAAGGTGTTTGGGACAAAAAAAAGACGTTGGAAAGTTAGAGTTCATTAATTTTCATAATTAATTTACCTGAAGAATAGTTTTTAAGAATAAGCTTGAGGAGGGAAGGTTACTGTGTTTCTTACCATACTACCGTACGCGTGTGAAAAAGATATTAAAAAAACGCTGTTAGAAACTGTGATTTGTACTAGAAAGGAGACTGGAGACTCAGAGTCTATTTGAAGTTCAAAAAAGAAGCGGAAGTGAAAGGGTAATTTATTTCGTGAGTCTTTTTTGATAGAAGAAATGGTACGGTTTATAATCTGACAAAGAAGACAGAAAAACAGTATAAATCTATTAACAAAGGTGTTTTACTCAAAACCAGTTCATTCACATGGAAAATAAGAGAAATCAGCTTAATATTTTTTTAGGTTCGATAAAAACCTTGAAACGAGCTCAGGGGATGGCCTGTTTCACTATCTCTCAACGGTTTTCACAGAGAAATTTTCCGAGTTAAAAGAAGAGAGAACTGAAATTGTAACAATGAAAAGGTACTGTAGATGAAGACGACATGAGAAGAACGGTACGAAAAAATGGGAGGTGGCGGGAAACGATTAAAGAGACGTGGGGGGAGCAGCCAAAAGGGCTGGAAATCAGTGCGGAGGCGTCGTCGTCGCCGTTGAAATTGGCGCCGTTTTGTCGTCTCGGATGGCAGCCATTTATTGTGCCCCTTCACCATTTGGGACAGAGCTTGTGCCACATGGCCACCGGAGCCTCGGGGTGCGTCAGGAACTCGTCCCAGTGTCGGGTTCCGTGTTCGCTGCCCAACTTGCCGACGATCACGTGCCCGATCTCGTCGTTGCTACCGATCACGTCGTAGTCCATCACCTGGAAATCTCACTTAATAATAATGAGAATAACCCAGTTCATTCACAAAAAAAACTGTCTTGCGCAAGTCAATTATTTGAGAACAAGAATTTACAAGGAAGGTATTTTTTTGTGGTTGCGACTCACCTCAAACTGGGCCTTAACAATCCTAAATGCATCAGAAAAATTGTGAGAGTTTCAAATTGCCTAATTTTTAGTTTTCGAGAAAAAAAAACGAGATTTTGCTACTTTTAATTATGGCGAATGGTAGTTTTGGCAATTTTCAGAAAATTTTTGAAAATGTATGAAGTTGAATGAAAGAAGTTCTCTTTAAGAATGCCCTTCTAGGCTTGAAAAAATCTTAATTTCTTTCCCTCAAATAGTTTTTTTTTTCTTGATGCTCGTAAAAACTTTTGGATTTGGTTTAGTACATTTTGAAGGGCTTCGAAAGGTGTTAACAAATGTCGGGATCAACTTTTGATTTATGAGAAAAGGGTCTCTTTGTCTTACGTGCGGATGATGTTAATCCTCGTCTTCATCATTTTTTTATTTGAGATAAGAGTATATATGGATCATTGTTTTTAGTCCTTTTTTGTTGTTGAAAATAGTAAGTGACAAGAAAAAGTTGACAGAAATAGAAGATAAGCTATTTCATTTTTTAGAAAAGTCACAAATCCGTATAAACTTTTTATGCAAAAGAAGTCGGATCTATGAAATAAACTCCGAAAGCGAGTTTTAAGAGAAAAGAACTTTTAACGTTCAGATTTTTAAAGGAAAAAAAAGCCGATCCACAAAGTTTTCAAAGTAATATGATTATTGGTATTCAAACTAGTAAGTTAAAAAAAACCTCGAGTATCCATGAAACTGTAAAATTGAGAGATCCGCTCCCCCCGACTTGAAACAGTCTGGTATTTCTGCGTCTTTTTCACCTCATCGGCGAAGTCGTACGCTTATCGTGATTATATAACTCCAACACGAGAAAAAAAGAGATCGCAGAAAAGAGATACTAACGAAATACTGTGAATCATTCGAAAATGAAACTCACAGTCAATACAAGATTGACGTCGTTTTGAAGGATGGCTTTGGTGGGAACAGTGAAGGCGAATGACTCGTTGAAGACGGGCGAGGTGTGCGGCTTGACGGCCGTCTTCCGCTTCTCCAGCTTGTTTCCCTGCTGGACCAGCCACATCTTCACGTATGTATCTGCAAAAGCCTTCTTCTTATTACACAGTGATTATTAAGGTACCGTAATGCCGGTGTTTGTCCTTCATCCGCAGGTCGCGCGCCTTGATCACGCTGACGGTGATCTTGTTGACGTTAGGCAGGTAGCAAAGCGAGATCATCACCTCGCCGCAGCTGTCCTGAACTTTACCGTTAGATTTGTTTTGTGATCTTCAAAATGATTATTTGGATCAATTTTTACCAAATAGTGTTCTAAACTTTTTTAAATTTCGAAAATAGAGTTTATTACGCCAACTCTTCGTATTTAACTCTTTATTTTTTGTCCCCACCTTGGACACTGTCGGTCTCTGTAGATGCTTCCAATAAACTGGACTGTTGTCGAACTTGACGCTCTTCATGGGCAAAAGGATCTCGCCGATCGGATCGTCCGACGAGAATCGATCGTAGTCCATCACCTGTAGCACTAGCGTCATCTCGTGGAGCTTCTTCAGCGAGTGTCCTGAAGATAATCTCCAACCCTGCTGGAACTGTTCAAGCAGAAAGTACCTGGGAACGAAAGAACCTCGTTGAAGTTCGGATTCAAGTTGCGACGGTGGACTTTGCTGGTCTCGCAGCGCTGCGGGTCTTGTAGGATGAAGACGCGGACGTAGGGATCCGATGAGCCTTCATAATATTAGAACTTGATTATTTTAACAATATTTTTTTGGTCTTTGGGGGGAGCAAATATTTTCATTTATATTAAGATTGGAATTCAAGATTTTTGAAACTGAAAAGTTGTGATATAACATTATGAATTTTTTTGCCTAGAAATAAAAGTTTTTTTCATATTTATCCTTCCATATTTTTCGCAAAATTTCCTTATTTTTTTGTGTTATTACAGAGAGCTTGCCAAGCGATCTCATTTTAAGCTTGGAAAGAATCATTTCACCTGTAAAATCTTTGACGGGCAAGTCGACGGCTTCAATGAGGTGAACAAGCAACGTAGAGCACTCTTTTTCGAAGGCGACGGCAAAGTTGAGTTTGCCACGAAACTCGCTGACGACTTCAGGCTTCAGAGAGTCGATAATCTGTTTGATAGACAAAATGTTGAGTTATGTATAAGGTTTTTCCCTTGATTATGATAGTTCTAGCCTTGAGACCAGTTTGTGGTGAAGCATGAAAGGAATATTATTAAAAACTCGGTTCGGAGCTATGATCGATTTCGGGATTTCTGGCAGTTGGAAATGACCTCATTGCCTACTTTAACATTGTAAGTTTGCTCCACTGATCCGAGATACTCACTCGCGTGAACTGTTTTGAGTCGGGCGCGCCCAAAGTTTTTTCCAAGTGCCGCGGAATGAGTATAATTGAAAATGATCATGTAAGATAGGTCCCTTCTATTCACTGGCCGTTTTTGAAATGACTTGTTAAATTTTTAAGAAAGTTGATCTTTCTGTGCTGTAATCTATAGTTTTCTGCGAGAAATTTTCTTACCGAAGTCTTCCACGGAATCGAATTTGAAAGACGAGTTTTTAGCGATGGCTGTACCGCCCTTGACTCGGTGTCCACGATGAGTTGTGGTGCCAATACCTCAGGACTAAAATTATTTTTAAATCAGTACTTGTCATTTGGTGGCTCCGTTTTGAGAGAGTGGATACTAAGGAAAAAAGTTAGAGCGTAGTTTCCATATGTAGAAAGCTTCTTTTTTCCACCCCATGTTTCAGGATTTTCTCATGAATTTTAAACCATTTTCTAAATTCAACACGGCCATGTATAGTTAAACAAAAAGCTTGTTTCGATGACGCTTCAAATGTGCTCCCTAAATCTCCCAAAGCCGCTTTTTTTCCCCAAATTTCCAGTACCACCCTCTATTTTTGATGAAAAAAAAAGAAGAAAGATGGATATTTTGACCAGAAAGCATCAACGAACAAATTCGTAAAAGAGAAAAGTTTGATCGATGAAGTTTTCAATATTTTTTTATCGTGAAAATGACGCTCGCAAGCTCATTTAGCATGAGGATAAGATTGCAAATTCTGGTTCTGAGAAGAAGAAAAAAACAAGAAACGTTACCGGAACAGACGAGCTTGTTGTTCGCATTCCAGTTGGTCGACGTCGACTTTTCGCATTCTGAATATTTTTGGAATCAAAGAAATAAATGTTTTAAAGAGCTTTTTAGCTTTAATGGATTATGTCTTTTTGTTTGGATTTGCAAAAAATGCCCATTTATGTTCTATGAAAAGAGCTAATTTGGAAAAGAAACTAGAATTCGTGATTAAAATAGTTACACAAAAATTTTTTTACAAGTGATTTAACATATCGATATTATTCATAAGCTCTAGATGTTTCGAAAAATATTTTCTGAAAAGGATTACAAACTTGAAAACAGCGGCGACGAGTAGAAAAACGGCCATCATGGCGCCTCCCATGATGTACAGTACCTCTACGGGTATCGTAATCTCTGTACCCATTTGTTTGAACTTTCTGAAAGATTTTTTTCTGTTAAACTAATTGGAGGATACTGTAGAAGTAGTAATGAGAAGACAAAAGCTGTTAAGGATATTAAATTTCATTTTTGAGGAAACAGGAAATTCAAGGGACGAGCTTGTCACAAAAGTTGAACGATGAAGGAGCTTCAAAAAATGATTGAATAATGATCAAATTTATCAAATGAGCTCGAAAGGAATATTTTCGTTTTTTTATAATAAATAAGGAAAATAACATTTTTCATTCTAAACAGTTTTGTATTGGGAAATCAAAATTTTATTTAATATGTAGAAGATGGTATACTGTAAAGAATTATTCTGCTAGTTTTCGCTTTTGGTGACTTCATGACCTTGAGATTTAAAATCTTTACTAAGCTGATTTCCCATCTTTTTCTCACGGAGAACTCACTTCCTTCGAAAATTGATCGGATAAACCATATGACTAATGTTAAGATTTTTCTCTCTGTAAGTTCTTAATCCAATAAACAGAGCCAGACACGACTGAACGAAGAAAAAATCGTCAAATTACGGGAGCAAGAAGAACACAAATGAAGAAACATATTTCCAGAAGGCGGAAGCGGCGTTTCCGATGAATATTTTAGAAGATTAGGGGCCCGGCCTGTGAGGCTTCATCTCTGTAATTTTTGCACGGAGGAGGAACGGCAAAGTTGAAAAATGTGATAAAAAGAAAGGTCGAGGAATTCAAGATTTTTCGGTGAAAAACCGAAAAACAAAAAGTCTAATCGGCGGAGTATGCGGAAAATATTTTGAAGCGCAGGGTTCTGATCAAAAATTCATGAGCAAGAGCTCAGATTTTCGTTTATTGCGGGGTAAATTGAGCAATATGAAATAACTTTAAAGCCGTTTTTGTGAAGAGTTGAGCTTTTGGGAATAATGTGATAATTTTTAAGACCTACGGATTTAGTGACTTATTCATCATACCATAGGCGAATCAGGCATGATGTTAATAAAACAAAAAAACTAATTCCGCCTTTATGATTACACCAAATTTTGAAGGAAAAGTTTTGAGTATTGCTCACAGTTTTATAACATTCTTTGGGAGCCTTTTATTGCCTTGACCTCAACACAAAAACTAGAACAAAGATTTTGGAAACAATTTTTTTGAATATACCCTAAACAGCCCACGAATTGTATAATTTGACATGCCTGTGCTGTCCACACTCTCCCTGGCTTACAAAAATTTGAAGACATGATGAATTATACTGTTTAAAAACGCTGGAATTGGAGCATAGATTACTGTAAAGGAAGTTTTTCCTATTTTTAATCAAAAATTCTGATTTTTCCGCCCATTTAAGATTAGAATGTGCAAATGATCTAATTGTTGACTTGGTTCTTTTTTTTTGAATAACTTTGAGAGGGGAAAAATGTAAATGATTCATGGTTGTTTTGAGGCGAGACACCACTAAAATGAAAATCCTTTTTCCCGAATGAGACAAAAAAAAGTAGACAAGGAGGAGGAAATGTAATTTCGCTGCAGATATAGTACAAAAAAAGATTCGGTAGTACGGCGGAGACGGGGCGCGATAACAAATCCCTCCAAAAAAAAGAAGGAGGGAAAAGCTTAGAAAGATTATCCGCCACAGGGCGGCAAATCTTCTCGGAAGAATTTTTCGGCTCCTCGGTGTGTCTGTGTGTTGACGGAGAGCCCACGGCCGAATAGCCTTTTTTCGTCTTCTTCTTCTCCTTCTTCATCGGCAGCAATAAAAACACGACTTTGGATGCATAAGCAGTTTGTCGGCCAAATGTGATGCACACAGGATAAGAGCCGTGCGCAATTCTCGGGCTGTTTTGTGTTCGTGTGACGTGACCGGGTTAAGGCAACTCAGTCTGGTCTCGTCTGTACTGTGGTTCTTGGTTTTACCTTTTCTGAAAGTTGAAATTCACGCATTCCGAGAAGGTCTTCATCATGGAATAAGTGAGAAGTTGTTTATCAGTTCACGAAACTGTCTTCTTCTACTTCGGCTTTTGCCTCGCTTGGTCGCGGAGTCGGCTTCACGAAACTGTCGCTGATCAAGAACTAGAACATCAAGTAGAACATTTCGCCCTACTTGTGAAAGTATCAGACAAGTTTCGAGCATTCCGACGACCAACGGCTTCTGTTAAGTTTGGAAAAAGATAATTCCTCTGAGGTATCGGAGAAATTATGAGCCTAATGGTCAGTAATAAGTTTCGCCCTTCAAGGAACACATTTGAAAAAGATCAGTTTATTCTATTTTTATTTATATAAGGTTAACTTTTGATAGTATTAATATAAAAACAATCGAAAAACACTAGAAAAACCAACAATCAACATTGGAGTAAGAGAATTCAGGCCAAGAATCTTCCCTGTTTAGAAGGCGGGCTTTTTTTACTATTATTTCAAAAAAATTACTTTCAACGATTCAAAAAAAATTGTCAGAACTAAAGAACTTTGATTGCTGAGCTGGGAAACAACCAGTAGAATAATAATATTAAAGATTTGATGTTGAAGCAAATAAAGCAGGCAATTTTTTGAAGGAATTGCTTTTCGAAACTGAAATTTCACGTTTTCTGTCGTTTTTGAAGTACACAAAGTCTTTGTCGAAATTCAATCCAATTCATTCTTTTTCGAAAAAAATTTTTCGATTCATGTTCATTCAGCTGGAAAAATAATAAAAATTTGATTTTTTCAACTTCCCAACTTTTCAAATGTTTTTGGTTGAAGGATCAGAATAAGACCATTTTTTTCAAATTGATAGATTCAATAATAACAAGCTGAATGGTTATTACAGTAGGCGTAAAGCTTTTTGAATGGTTCGAGAAATCATATTATTATTATTTTGATCTTTGAATGACGTGCTATTATTGCTATTAAGATTAATAAAAGAAGACTACTAAAGGATGATGAAAAAGGAAGGCTTTTCAGTAGTTATCGTAAGTTTTTTAGTTGATTATGATTTCATGAAAAGTTCAAATCTATGTTAGAAGAAAAATTTTAAACTTAAAAACTCAAAAATCGAGTTCTCGAACTGCTTGTTCATTGCTCTCGCATCATTGCCTTTTTTAGGTCTTCATCTAGTAAATATCCTGGGAAGAATTTTGTTGGATCTTATCTGGAAGCCAGACTTATTACATCATTTATCCGTCAAATACTGAATTATCTGAGAAAAATTGGAACAAATATAGCTTGAAAAGCTTGGTAATAAAGAAAAACTCGAAAAGGAAAAAGAAGTATTTGAAAAAAAGTCAGGTTTATGATTTTTTTAAATGTAAGTCAGGGTCCTGAAACGACTGGAGAGGTAGTATTGGAAAACAAGAGGGTTCTGCAGTAAGCTAGAGACAATATGAAATTGACTGAAGCTATAGTTTGGAAGTGAGCAGAAGTACGAAGTACGTTTAAAACTTGGCGCGAAATTCGAAACTTTCGAACAAACATGAAGCTCAAAAGGTCATTCCCTAGATTATTATCGACGAAACTCTACATGTTTTCTGGGGAAGTCTAGTGATGACCTAAGTGGTGGCTCTAGTAATTACTAGAATAGGACTGTGGAGGGACAACTTGAGCGTTTTTGGCTTCATTAGCCGACGATCTCACAGGTCGTCAATTAATTTTTAAGTCTATGAAGTTCAAAGGATCTAAAGTTTTCACTTGTCGTTTCCTTGAAGAGGTCACTAAACAATCAAAAGCTTCTAGAAGTTACTGAAATATATCATAGTTCAGTGCAGATATTTTTCAACAAGATATGGTCATTAAAATGGGGAGAAGCTCGGTTTCTTGGAGAGAAATGTGCGATTTTGAGTGACGAATTGCATTCCCATAACTATCGGTTGGTCGTGAGACTAATTAGACTGAAAAGGGTCGAAAAAATCGAGCTCATTTGAACTCCCGGACTTTTTGAAAAGAAGAAAAAGAAAACTTTTGACTCCAGGATGTGGGAAAATGTGCGAAAGTTCAATTGTCATTGAGAAAGTCAGTTTTTTTTAAAGCGATTCCATTTGATCGTATACTGGCAAAAAAAATTCTACAAAATCTGGAGACGAAAGATCACGATTTTGATGAATTCTCCGCGAAAAAGAGCACAGAAAAGGGGGCGGAGGACGACGTGGTTGCCAATCCGAAATGCATTTTTCGATTCCGACAAAGTCTGACAACACAAGAGCAGAACAAGCAAAAAAAAGGAACATTTTGAAATCTCTTGCGTTTCCATCAAGAATGAATAATTCATTGTCGAAAATGATGGAAGTTTAATGAGGACCTTCGTGGCGACGGAAAAGCGTCGTTAAAATGCACCATTTCTGAGTGATTGGTAACGGCCTTGTCCTTGTTCTTTTTTTTTTGTTTTGGGAAAAAAAGGACGTTTGACGGAAACAATAAAGACCACACAACACCAAAATGGTTGGGGAAATTAAAAAAGAGAAAAAAATATTGCCATGAAAAAATGACCGTAGCTTTATGTTACCTGTTGAAACTCTGAAAACGGCTTTTCGTGTAGGAAAGTTTGCTCTGCTGCTTTTAAAAAAATTCGAAAACAAAAAAATTTTTTTGATCCATCGTAGAAAGGTCCAAGGAGAAAATGACCAACCTAGTCACTCTTTTTTTGATTCAAAGAAAATTTAAAAAAATTATTATATAAACATTATAAAAATTGATTCAAAAATTTTTAGCCCCGGAGCAAAAATTGTCAATACGTTCTCGCTACATCGAAAATTTTTGAAAACCTTAGTATTTTATTCAATTTTGAAAGAAACAGTTAGAAACGGGACGAAAAATGTTTCTCAAGCCATTAAAGGCATAGGGGCAGTAAAAAACGGTGTTTCAGTTCAAAGCAGTATTTTGTAGAGCTTTTCATTGCAAATCGAACGGTAAACTTGAAAACGTACCGAATTTTTTAATTTCGGAGAAAAAATAATTCAAAGTCGAAGAAAGGAAATCTTGAGTTCCCGCGAAAAGGGCGCTTTGCAGTAAAGTTGCTCTATGGACAACAGGCTTCGCCATCTTCCGGATTTTCGCTTTTTCTTCGTTTCTTTCAAATCTCAATTTTTTCTGTTAACACCAAAGTTCTTTTCGTCACAAAAACTTTCTATCAATGTATAATTTGCAAACTTTGATCGCAAAAATGCTTCTTTGGTGAAAAATGATGATTTTACACAGGTTTCGATTGGGATAGCGATACTTTGTGTTTTCTTTATTATCAATGTGTGTTTTTTGTTTGATTAAATGTTTTTTCAGAGAAGAAACCTTTAATTTGAAGCAGATATCCGGTTATTTCTCACAAAATGCGAGTCTAATGAGACGTCCGCAACATCGCGTGTACGGCTACTGTAATCAGTTGTCTGAGCACCGATCCAAAGCTTTTTTCAAAAATAAAAGCGGGAAAGTAAAATCGCTTTTTTCTTCTAAAGTTGTCACATCTTTAATTTTTTTGAGTACACCATTCGATTCGCAAAGAAAAACTATATAAGATACTGCTTTCACCTGAAACCCCATTTTTTACTGCCCCTATGCCTTTAAATAAAGACATCTTTTCAGAATTTCTTGTCAGCTTATTCTAAATTAGTTCTACAACTTATGATAAAAAGCAAAAAAATTGTATAAGCCACAGATTTGAAAGAAAAAAATAATCTACAATTTTTTAAAACTTCTCAATGAGATTAAAACTCGCATTTCGAAACTAATGATACAAAAAAACTGAAAGGAAATGACGAATTTTTCACTTCCTCATGCGTGAAAAAAATAATTATTATAGGAGAGAAAAAAGAGCTCTCGTTTTTGAAAATCTTGCCGAATCTCATCGAATTAAGCGCTTCTTGGAAATGAGCGGCAAAATATTTTAAAAAAAGTGACGAAAAAAATGAAGATCATCGATTTTTTAATATCGCTTTGAAAAAAAAGTGGATAGCAAAGAGTGTTTTTCAGGCCTCAGTTATTTCTTTTTGTAGCGATTCCTCAATCACTCCCACCTAATTCTATATAAAGCGCAATCAGAATAAATTACAGCGGGGAGGAAAATATTCATTTTCGGGATATGAATGGAAATGATATGAAAATTGTGAATCTTTTGAACAAGATATACTTCCCTCTTCGGCCTGCAAGAAGCTGTCAACTAAATTGGTTTCGAAACAAAGAGGCGGAAAAGTGTGTAATTGGCTTGGAAATGCCGGGGTGGCTTTGCTCGGTGCTTTCTACTCAGATTTATACTTTTTTTTGTATTTTTTAGCTTTCCCAGTATATTTGAAGTCGAAACACTAGGTTTATGATTTTGAAAATAATCATGATTTGATTACTGTAGCCGTGGGTTTCAGTTTCACATTCGTTCTGCTAAAAAACTCCATCAAGGGAAAATTATGAAATTTGAAATTTCCTTTGTGAAGTTTAAACTGAGAAGTTTTAATTTCGAGCCCTTTAAAAATATTTTGATGAATAAAAAAGGCTCCTCAATCATAAAGCTACAGTTAGGATAGGCCTCGGAGCTTATTTTGATAATTCAAAAGGACTTTTTCTCTTTCAACCCGCAAAGGAAACAGCTCTTCATTTATTGAACTCGTGAACTGTTTTTCAAGCGATATTCAAGTTTTCAACTTCTAAGTTCACTTCGAACAAGCAAAAAACTTTCAAGTTCAAGTGTTACTGAGAAATTTACGATTTCGACTTGAACCTTCCAATTCCGAAAAATATTCGAATCTGCGCTTCGTTTTCAGCAAATAGGGTAGAAAAAAAGTTCTGCGAATTCTGAACTGTAACTATGAATTACAATCCAACTTTGACGTTGCGACTTCAACTTCAGAAAAAGGAAAAAAGCCAGAAGACACATTTCTGTTTGGAAGTGCACGAGATAGATTGGATATCTGTGATTTCAAGTGTTCCAGACTTCTTGAAAGTTTGAATGCGGTTGTTTGAAAACGAAGAAGTCTGGCATAACCTGAAAGAAAAATCCTAAACTGAGAATAGCTCTTCGTCTTGAGACCTTTCCTAATTTTTTGAACATATTTGCAACTTTTTGTTGCAATCTCGACCCATAAGCTCTCAAAAAAGCCGTAAACAACTGAAAAAAGTTTTTTTTTCTCCCGCTCCTGCTTGGAAGCCTACGAGATTGGCCGACGATAAATCCAATGAAAAATGCGAAGTTCCGGAGCGGCCAGGAGACAAATGCTCGACGTCAGAGTCGTCAACGTCTCACGGTGGCCGGCCGGCAGACGACGTCGTCTCCGGAGACGTCGGCGGCAATTAGAGCCGCGGCTCCTGTCTTATCCATTCGCCAAATCAACCCGCCGCAACGTTTTTTTTTCCACTCCTGCTCGTTGCTATTTTTTCCTTCGAGTGGTCTCAAAGCGAAATTTATACAAAACAAATCGTTTCGTAAGAAAATGTCAGGAGAAAAATCTGGTCATTATTTTTTTTTTGCTTTGATTTTTCATGCCTTTTTGAAAATCTCAGCTACCTGTAACCCTTGCATGACCTGGAATCTCGACTAATAAAGAAATCGCCTCGAGACCTTTCTCTAAAAGAAAAGTCCCCTGCTCTGAAAATCTTGTATTCATTTTAATTGGAACACAGATTTTAGGTATAGGTTCATATTTCAAGCCTCATTCCATAACCAGCTGGTTTTGAACTTTAGGAACCGGTTGAGTTTGAAGGTAACGGTCCTGGAACCGGACGGAGTCTAAAGTAACCTAAAAACCTTCTCGGAATTGAATACAAAACGTTTCTCATCAAAGTTGGTATGAAACTGTAAGCGGGGATCGAACATTTTTCGATGAAATAAATCTCAAAGATATTTAGGAAAATTTCTGCACGTCATTGATCGAAAAGTTTGTCTGCTTCAGATCAAAGTTTTGACCTGGCGCCATTTCTTGGACTACACAACAACTCCATAATAAGAATGATAATTTTCCTCTTTTCCCGTTTAGTTTTCCGTTATTTTTTCATTCATTCGAGTTACATTCTTTCAAAACTTGTTTCAAATGTGTTATGTTTGCCAGTTTGGTGGCGCTTTCCACAAGGAAACGAGTTCTAGGCTTTCAGTTTGGTAGATTTACAGTTTTCAAGTTTTTATACGTTTCTAATATTTTAAAGCCTCCTTTTTTTACTGAGAACGTTTTTCTTTCAAAGGTGTGGAGTTATGTGAGAATATCAAGTTCATGAAGTTCATAAAGTTCAATTCTTGATAATTGCAGAAGAAGTTAGGTTCACTCGATATTTCCACAGAAATTCCTTTCAGAGAGAAAATTTTTATCTCGAGGTTTTTTGAAATTGGCCATTGCGAGCCAGAAAACTTCATAAACGGCAGGAAGAGCGTCATTGGCTCTCTTCAAAAACGTATTTTGAGAGCTTGATAGTTTTTTGTTTTGTTCTGAATCGCTTTTTTTTCGTTTTCAGTCATCATTTTCGAAATAATTATTGAGGTCTGAAAGGTTTGAACTTGAGGAAGTCAGAAGGAGTTTTCAAATATTCAGTTTAATTACAAGAAAACTGAAAACAATCGCAAGTTAACCTTCGAACACCTTTTCGCTTCTTCAAAAATAACCTCTCCAGATAAAGTTTTCGAAAATACTCTTGAAGGCCTTTTTTCCAAAAAAAAAAAACAGACATTCTGGAAATTTTAAAAACAGCGAAAGTTCAAAAAGAAAATATATCATTTCATTTCAACTATAAAATATGAAAATTGAAATTCTATATTCCCAGCCATATTTATAAACATTTTCAGCCTATTGTTTACTACCTGCATTTTCGTCTCTGCGAAATTCGTGAATCGGAAAGCTCCCTTGGAGTTGTCAAACCCATGCATTTCAAAAAATAAGCATTTCCATCAACCGTCGCCTTTTTTCACGCCGTGATGCTTTGAAATCCAAAATCCACGCCTTTTATGCGTTTTTATTCATACGTCATTTATTTTAGAACAAAAACAGTTATGACTTCTAAACCTCCATTTTGTCGCATTATTTCGCTAGGCCCTCAATGTCAGAAATTAACAAGCTTCATTTCGAATTGGATAGAATGAAAGAAGCTTTTAACAGCCAATAAATGTGTAAACCCTCAAAAAACAAGGCTCTCGTTTTTTATTATGTACATTCCAGAGAGGAAACAAAGGAAGGAAAAAGGTCCTGGTTGCTAATTTTTCCTTTTTCCGCCTATTTTCAAAACTTCACACTTGCCAGACTTGCAACTTCTATTCATGGACGAGAAAATTGTTTGGAAAATTCTTTTTTTTTTTCGAATTGCTCGAACTATTTCGTAGTTTCGGAAGTTTTTGAGGAAGTTATGAGTTTGAAAAAAGTAATTGTTTTGGCGATAGAGCGCCTTTTTACACCTGCTTTTTGACTTTCTTAGATCGCTTATTCGTTTTACGAATTTCACGCTTCTTTTCTTGGCTAATGATTCAAATTTTATCAAGATTCGGCGGAGGAGATGGAAAAAATTAGAAAATTTAAAAAGCAAAAACTTTTTATTAATAAGATAATGATTTTTGTGGAGCTACGATCATTGAGAAAATTAAAAATACTCATTTTTCTCCATACAAAAATTTCGAACCTTGCTTTTTACCTCTAGAAATTTTCTAATTCCACCTATTCATCCTCTTCTTCCCCTTCCCATGGAGCTCTTCCCAAGCTTCTCTTTTCAAATTACAGCCCGAGGACAGATTTATGTTTGAAATGAGAAAAAACCTGAAGAGGAGCCCACGCCGCCATTATATATCTCTGCTCGTAAAAAAGCTCTCAGCTACATTTTCTTTTTCTTTGTCGCTTCCATTTTCGTGTTCGGTTCGAATAAGGAGTTTCATTCAGAGATGGAGCATTTCCTGGCGTTGTGCTGTTTCGGCGGCCAGCCTTTTGCCGATTTTCACATTCAAGATACGCCGATCGACCCCACAGACTGGTCTGCTGAGCTTCTACAAGGTTTGTTTGAGAATTTCAAAGCTTTGACTGACTGAAATACTTCTTTAGTGTTCACTTGGAAGATAAGAATCATGTATTCATTGGTTTTTTTGTAGAGAGTTGAATCAGAAGCCGTGCTTTCATAAAATAAATATCTCTAGGTTGATCCCAAGCCTTTTAGCGGCCCCTAAAAGGATTTTTCAGTCTTAATTTGAGACGAGTGATCCATCTTGGTGCTCCTATTTTGACACTTCGGCTCAGAGACGGTATTCTCCGAAACCGAATATTAAGTTTAGGTCGATTTTAAGCGGTTTAGCGATCCCTTAAGTTGGTCGCTCAATTTTCGGAGCGTTTTAGTGATCACTCAAGTGGTATGATTGATTCTTTTTTCGGATAGTTGAAGCTGTTTCTCATAGGCGCGGCTCTTATAAAGCTTGGGTCAAGGTCTATGTCAAATTTAAGCCTTCTAGGGGACCCTGAAGGGATTTTTCAGTCAGTTGAGGTAATATATTGGTTTTTGAGCTCGATTTTTTCTCAGCGTTTGAGTGATCACTCAAGTAGTTTCAGCGATTCTTCAGTGTTCACTCAAATGACTAGTCCGTATTTTTTCAGGACTACGGGACAAAAAAATCGCAAAACGAGGCTAAATTTTTTTTGGCGTTTTTTAGGCATTTGAACTTGCAGATTTTTATGGAAAGCAGCTTTATCGCATAAAATTTGCACGAATTGTTAGGATTTTCTTATCTTTGATTTTTTTCTTTTTTTAATTTAAAATCAGAGTAATCAAGATTATTTGCCAATATTAATCTCAAAAAAACCTAGTATTAATCTCAAAAAAACCTAGCATTAATCTCAAAAAAATAATAATAATAAATTTTTTCCAGTTCCGCCATCCAACTCGTCGGTCTGGCTCAATGTTTCGATGCCCCTGGCCGTCGAACCGCTCCTCGAGTTCTGCCAACTCTTCAACATAACTTTCACGAGTGTCGCTGACCAGTCGCTCTACGATGACTATAAAGCCGAGTTCTCTTGTCGGTAAGAAGAAAAAAAAACCTTTTTGAGCCTGAAGTTTGAATGTTTTGAGTCTTTGAAGAACCGGATGTACTCTTCTTCCACCAGGATAATGAAAAAAGAAGAAAAAGAACGAGTTCTCAAATTCTTAGAGTTCACCACAAAAATTAACTAGCATTTCCTCTATAGGGGTCACTTTTGCAAACTTTAGTGGCCTCTTCAGGGGGAGGTAGAGTGGTCCTTAGAGGGCAGTTTTCAAGGACCCCTAAGGGTACCCTTATAGAGATCACTCTGGAGATACTATGAATGTAGTATTCTTATGCACTCCCAAAAGCACAAAATCAGAAAATTCCAGATTTTGGTCTGTTTCGAAAAGGCAAAGCTTTTTTCACATTACCCTGGAAAGTCGTTTATCATGTATCTTTTATACTAGAATAACAGTTTTATTAGTAATACCCAGCTGTATCTTCCATTATGCGTATTTTCTTTCATCACAATGCAAAGGAGATCTGTGCCGCAGAGGTGGAGAAATGGCGCCCCTAAGCGTTTTCAAACGTTTACATTTTTAAACCGACGTAGGCCGCCATGGCCATTTCTTAATAAGCCGCTGCCCAGGGCGCCCGGGGCCAAAACCGCGATGGCAAAAAAACGCCATTGGAAGAAAAAGAACGCGCAAAAATCGGAATCTTCTAAAATCTTGTAAAATCGTTGTTTTCGAAGCTTTAAAAAAAGGTTTTTTGAATTTCCAATTTGGTGACGACGGAAATTTATTCTCTCACTAGTCAGCGGGTTCGTAACCATAAATCTGGAACATTTCGCCTAAAGAAAAGAACAAATATAACCATACTTCACATAAAAAAATTCAACTGGACATCATATCCACTGAAAAATTGAAAAAAACTATTGAAAAAATTGCGAAATCCACGATTTAATGAAAAAAGAACAAAAATGACCATTTTCGCCCTACTTTTGCAACGTGGTATTATATTCCAAATACTACGAAACGATCACACAGCTTATAGCTGTTTGCCCTTATGGTCTGAACTTTAAATTCGGCGTATACGTGATCTATCAGATCGCGTGAGCCGATCTCACGAGCTTTGCGTAGTGAGACTCATTCCCAGCTGTTCAAAGCTCTTCGGTCGACGCGACTGATCATCAGATCGGTCGGGGTCCTGTCGGAGTCAGACAGGATCCTGGTGAGAACCAGGAGATCTCGTTCACCTGGTTCGAACCAAAAATCGGATCCAACATGGAACCGAGGTCAGAGGCCCTGTGATACACAACCCACAGGGACCGCGCTTAAACCAACGGAGACTGATATCCGTAAATTAAGCGAAAGTGGATCCGTGAAGGAACCAAGGCCCGGGGTCTCACTGACAGTCAGAGTCACTACCCGGACCAGAGCAACAAGAAACTGTTGATCCCAAATAGGACCAATCCTGGAACTCCGAAGTAAATTTCGTCGAGATCCGGGTCCTCGGGAACGAATCAGGCAAGGACAAAGAAGTTTGTCAACCTGAGGAAAACCAGTTGAGGTTTCCAGTAACAAACTGAAGCCGTTGGTTATGCCTATATCAGACACGAGGCGATTGGCGAACAGGAAGTGCAATCCTGAACTAGCCAGATGCATGTCACCTTGAGAAACCAGGGTTCGACTAGAATCCTATGAAAGAATGCAGATTATTCAATCCATAAATCCGCAAGGATTCTACGCACTTTGATCATAGTGCCCCAGAAGCTGAAATTTCTGGAAACATGATTCTGTCTGACGGTGTAGTACTTCTCGGAGAAGAGAAGGCGTCAGAGGAGTTTCATTGCGATCCTCGCTGAGTGAGAAGCGGTCATCAGAACCCACATTCCATGAGGAAAGAGGATAACATACAAGGCAGAAGTATCCGCAATGAAGCACAGAGGTATGCTGGAAAGCAGTAAAATATGCTGATGATAAGCCAGGTTCATAACTGGGCTGCCAACTCCCAGGAGATACATACGCGCTCGCAACAAAGAGAGCGGTATCTCCAGTTCCTGAACAGAAGGATGATGCCGACTGATTTTTAGTCGATTTGGAGATAATCCAAAATGAGACATAGAGGAGAGTATGGCATAAGCTCTATAACCGAGAGAATCACGACGCGGTTCGTCGTCAAAGACGATAGATTCCTTGAACCTGGCGAACACAGTAGCGGAAAGAGAAGCTACTTTGCCAGTTCCTAGAGCAGGAGGAAGATACGATATCTATCGAATTTCTGAAAGCTCCGTTTGTTTTTCTAAACGTTCTTCATTAGAAGATAGGAGCGAAATACCTCAGAGAAGTCAATCATTTCAATACGATCCATAAGAAAGGATTTTTTCTCGAACAAGAGAAACGGAGCGTGTTGACAGGAAATCGCACTAAAGCAGAGTCGCGACGCACGAGAAAGCTTCGAGCACTCGACCTCGCCAAGAGGAAAAAATTTTCCTAATTGTGGAAATAAAGCCAACATCGAATAGATTGAATCGAACTATTCCGAGATATTGAAGTTCAGGACGGAGGAAAAGACCTTTTCCCTGAACGTCAGTCGGTACATCACCACTGACAGACCTCAAACGTCTCGATAGGGAACAAGTTAGTTCCAATTGAATAGTCAACGAAATCGCTGTCGATTCCAGTCTTCTATCGATTAAATTGGCAATACAAGGAACTCCTGGCCAGAAGGAGATCCATTATCCTTTGGGACAGATGAAATGTCCCAAAGCAAAGGACTCCCAAAGTTCAGCATCGTGAACGCCTATTCACGAGGCCGGGCAAACGCAAAGACTAAAGCTCCCGAGCCATTAGAGGAAGAACGAGTTACCCTCCGTCCTGGTCAACTATTTGATGCGAGCACGAACCCTGATGGTTTCTCGATTATCACGAGTGTTCACAACCTCTCGAAAGCAACTCGACCTCCTCCATGAGCTCATGTCGACGAACTGTAAAGAAATCCGAGCTATAATGGTTCTGGATCACAGAACGGTGGATTTCATAGACAATCATTGAGATCAATGATTAAAGGCCTCGAAAGCCGACCGCCAGTAGAGAAGTGATTCTCGTCCATGGCTAGTCAACAGTTCGACATCTTGCCAGTTTCGCAAGCTCCGAAAGCTAGAAATGCGACAGGAGAAAATCCAAGGCGAGATAGCTCAGAAATAGCTGAGAAGACATCAGAAGGACCAGAAACAGCGAATACCTGTTCGAGAAAATTCCAATACAGAAAGCTGGAAAGCCTCGAATATCTGGCGGATGTACACCTTCCCGGCGATGGCATCAGATCGATGGTGATACCTCAGATCACCGTCATTCAAGCCTGATTCGATGCTTGGCATCGGAGAGGTAGACGGAAAACCGATTCGAGAGGCCGCTACACAGCGAAGAAAATTATCACTTTCATATGAAGGATCTAAGCCGCAGTCCATTCCAGTTCCTACAAAGCGAATTCACCCGGTTAATGATGAGGCTCAATCTGTCAATGATCGACAATCGCCCTCAGGAACGAGAGGTATTGGACTCTCAGCTCCAGAAAATCTGGAAACCAGGCTATGAGAAAGGAACTGTGGCTCAACTCTGTATGCGAGCAAGCAAGAACCCGAAACTCAAGGAAAGAAAATGAGAGGGAAAAAGAGTTGTACACAGAGCTGTTCCACTCAGCCGACTAAAAATGGAGGCTTCGTGGATCTGAATCAAAGAACAACTAGCAAAGTTGGAACTTGATCCTTCGGCAAGATTCAAAGACGTCAAGTCGGAATAGATCTAGCATGCCAAAGTTACCTCATCACTGACAAGGTGACACAGACGCTCATAGAGACGTCCAGGGATAAAGCCAGGAGATCGATCTCAATCACTCATAGATGGCTAGACCAACCGGTTACTGCATTACAAGAGTAAATGATGGTTTGGTATGTCCTTTTCTCCGCAAATGTTGAAGTTTAGTCAACGGAAGGAGACAGCCTCAGCCTCATCTACATGAGCCAGGAAAGCTTGAGCTCACAAGTATAGCTGACGTATCAGCGATCTGGACAAGAAGAGGTTAGCAGAGAACAATCAGAGTTCCGAGAGTGCACAGGCCAGAATACTGACAGACAGTATGAAGATGCCTTGAGAAACAAGTTTGCCTACATAAAATAATGAGGATCTACTCATTAGGTAGAAAGAGTCAAAATGCGCAAACTTACGCTCGGATCTGATTCGGATCACCAGCTCTCCACGATGAATAAGTAATGATCATCGCGACGTGGCATAATACATGCGTAGAGAGCGGGTCGTAGTCCACTCTGGCAGAGAGACAGTGTTAAAAAGTTCCAAAGATCTTTTCGAAACCCAACAATTTGCATCAAATTGTATACTCCCTCGGAATCCGAACCATGGTGTGGTTCATGGGTTGAATGAGGTATCGAAAAACAGCAGCTTCCAGGAAAAGGAGCGATGATGCTGTATACGCTAGAAAGGCGTGAAGGATCGTGGGAGCCATTCCAAGGAAGCTAGACCACCTCATGACCAAAGAAGAGGGTTGAGTCGCTGCCAGCTTCAGAAATGGAAGTTAGGTAAAAGTTGGAGGTATACAACTGAAGGCAATCTCCGAACGAAAAGGTTCAAAGAAGAGAAAAAGCTTTACCTAAAATCACTGGTCTCGAAAACGTACAATTTCTGCTTAACCAGGAGCAGTTCTCATGGAGAAGGAAAATTTCCGCAGTTCATACCCAACGAGTCCAAAGACAGGACTCATCAACAAATACACATGTACGTTGCTCGAGGCAGAGGGTATAAGCGGATAAGCCAGTAAAAGGCTTTATACACGTCGATAGCTAGTACTGACGGATGATCTCCGAACCATGGAGATGAGAATCGCGACAAGGAAGGGTTTTCTAAACAAGATCTTCAATGGTGGATAAATCCTCGGTCCGATCGATGCTCGCGAGCACATCTGTCGAAGCTTTAAGAGCCACAGCCTCAATGTTGCTTTAAACTAGCTATGTGATCGTTTCGTAGTATTTGGAATATAATGTTATATTTTTGCTAGACAACGTAGTTGTTGAAGTAAAAATATTTATTATATCCTAATACGTAGAAACGATCAGATATCCCACCCAGTGACCTTCGAAAGATACAGCTTAAAAGGTTCACTTGATCCCGCCCGGACATTGAGGCTTAGAAGTGGGTCAGCTCGAGCGATCCTCAGCCATACATCGGCTTGGAGCAGGCATTAAATTGCCACTGAAATCGTTCGAAATGGGTTCCAAGAGTTTGAACGCCAGGAACAAAGGCTCAAGGTTCAAGGAAAAGGGATACAGTACCGGTCACACCACGAGAGAAAAAGTGGGCAGGCGCACTTTCATAAATTCTCATAACTGAGAAAAGTTTGAAAACATCTCCTTTGCGCTAGACAGGCAAACCGCAATGGTTTACCAAGGTGACGGGAACCCGGCTAGTTCATTAAGTATATCTGGTAAAGAGTACGCGTAAGGAACGAAGAGCTTTGAACAGCTGGGAATGAGTCTCACTACGCAAAGCTCGTGAGATCGGCTCACGCGATCTGATAGATCACGTATACGCCGAATTTAAAGTTCAGACCATAAGGGCAAACAGCTATAAGCTATCTGATCGTTTCTACGTATTAGGATATAATAAATATTTTACTTCAACAACTACGTTGTCTAGCAAAATATAACATTATACGCCATCGACACATAATGACGCGGCTCATTTCTTCTCAGAGGCCTGTTGGCTGAGGCGGGCATGTTGCGCCCGGGAGGGCCCCTCATTTCTTCCACCTCTGATAATTCGTAAGACTCATCAACGCAATTAGTTTGGTCGAAACGCGGCAAAAGTTACACAAGTCTTACCTTGCGAGAGAACACCACCACCGCGACAACAACAACAGAAGCAACTGCTCTCGGCGTAACTTTGCCTAACATTTTACGGCGGTTTTGTGTGTGAGCCCAGAAGAGAGCAAGAGAACTATGCATCTCGATCGAAATCGCCCGTGGAAGAGGAAGAAGGAGTCATTACAGCCCCGGTGTGCAGGAACGAACCTTCGGGGCATTACGCCGCCCGGATTAAACGCGATAACGGAGCCCCGTGTTCGCCGCGCTATCACTTTCCCGCTCTGCCCCGCTTGTTTCGTTTGCTTTTATGGACAGGAGTTGTTGTTTTTGTATATTTTCGGAGTTTCTTTTTTTAATTTATTGAAATTTTTTTAAAGCTCACTTCGCCGAAATTTGAAATACGGATGGATGAATAAAAAAGTCAAGAAGAGCAAGGTTTTCAAGAGCTGAAACTATAAGTTCACAAAGAAGGCGGTTGGAATTGGCCGGAACACTCCTTGATGTACCAAAAAAGGTCCGGAAAGGTTCAACTTGTCTGAATTCTATTTTTTGAGAAAAGGCCCAAGTAGAGAAACCCTGTTGAAATGAGCTCTTTCGAAGTTTTGAGCTCTTCTTTCTCGGAAACGAAGAAGTTGTGATGGTCGAGACTTACAGGATCTTCTTTAAGGTCATCAAAGAATTTTCTAGTCAACTTTCAGAGATTTCCCAATCAAAAAGTAAAATGACCTACCGTGTCATTTGAAAGTCAGCTTTTTTGGATACTTTTGGATTTTTCGAAAGATTTGTGTTTTTTTTTTGAAATGAGGCTCTCATTTTCCAGAAATTTTTCTTCTAGGATGATAAAGAAACATTTGAACAAACATCGTGAAAAATCAATGAGAGGAAGAAATAACCCAGCTACAAATCCTTCTCCTCCACTTTATACGTCTTCAAAATTATATTCAAGCCGATTCCAAACCCAAAAGCCGTCAAAAATAAAGTGATTAATGACTTCTTATCTTCTAGTTCTCTGCTTTCTTCTTTATTTTCAGCGATGAACTATCTATTCATTCAAGTTTTACTGTATAGCTGTTATTTGTTTCTTATCTAATCCGATTAGCAACTGATAAGCTATCACTGATATATATTTTAAAAGCTCCCGTGATATAAAAACTTATGGCCACTATGAAGAAAATGGCAGAATTGTAACTGGATTTATAATTTCAGCTTTTGAAAGCCCCTTTTATTGTGTCAGCTCAAAAATTTGCCAATCTTTTTTTCGGGAAAATGAGAGTATCCTCGTTTTCAATAGGATATTTGAACAGAAGCGATGCGATTTCGATTCTTCTCATTTTTTGGATTGTTCATTTCAAAATGTTTACTTTCACTATTTTCTGTCAAAATTCTATTTTCCCAACTTTCCCGAAGTTTTATTTAGAAGTAAATTATCTTTTTGTTTGTTTCGAAGGCTTCTTTCAGCTTCAAATAGGGTCTAGAAGCCTGGCAGAAGCTCAAAAAACATCTGAAATTTCCGAAAACACATGTGGTTTCATGGGTTTTGAAAAAATAGCCTCGAAATGGGGCGGAGTCGGGAGCACACATGTGCTCGCCACACTGGAGAAAAATCAATTCGAAATGGCGGGCTCATTTTTTTCCTTCGGTTGTACGGCTTACTTGGTTCGAGGATATGTGTATAGTTAGGGACCGCAAAGCCACGCCCCTTTTCGCGATAGAAAAAGTGGCTTTTTTTTGGTTTTCAACTTTCATTTTGTTTTAGTTGCAAAATATATGGAACTGAATAATAAATTTTGACACACATGTACAGAAAAGCTTCCTCTTTCGTTTAAAAACTATTTCACGCTTTTTTGATGCGTTCTCGCGGAATTTCGTACAAAAACGTGAATGCAACTAAAAAACTTTGTCATTTTTTGCTTTTTCATGTGTTTTTGAGGTCGAACGCACTCTTTCTTTTTTTAAATAATGATTTTTGATTCAAGTAACGGTAATTTTAAAACAATAAAATAAAAAAATTCGTCTTTGCCAAAAATTTACGGAGCCGTAATAATAATAATAATTTATTCACAGATCAGTGTGAACCCCAACGAGTTCACTTCGATCTACAATTTAAATGAGGAAAGAAAAAAAGTTGAAGTAAAAAAACAAAAAAATTGAGATCAGTAAAGTCTTGGTGGAATAGAGGTAAAAAAATTCGTTGCGAGGTAAAAACGACCAATAATTTTTTTCAAAGAATTAGGTGGAAGTGTGAACTGATATTTGGATGTAAGTTTATTCCAAATAGGAATCGTTTTGAAAAAAAGTTGTTAGAAAACTGACCTTGAGAACGTAGCCGAAGTGGATTTCGCCTTAAATTGGATCTGAGGGCAAAATTTTTCGAATTGAGGAAAGTGATCATGACCAGAAACAATTTTTTTGGAGAGTGAGGAGATCAGAAATAACTCGTCTAATGTACAGTGGGGTTTGTTGAAATTGCTCTAGACGATCTGAATAGGAATCAAAGGATAGGTTCGACCTAATGCAAACTTTGCGGGAAAAAAATTCTGAGTGGGGATTCAAGCTTGTAGCAAAGGTCAGAGTTAATAGGTGGGTTAAAAAAACTTCAGAACAATATTCCAATATAGGTCTGACGTAGGTGTTGAAAAATTTGAAACAGAAGAGCCGGAGATTTTTGTACGAAAAACAATGCAGAATTTGGTTGGATCTAAGCGTTGCAAGAGATACAATATTATTAATGTGCGGAGCAAGAGTGAGTTTCTCATCGATTAGAACACCAAGATCACGTACAACAGATTTATGAGGGATGGGAACTCCATTAATCAAATAAATAGTTTTAGGATTGCGAGGGCCCAGGTGAATAGCAAATGTTTTTGTTAGCGGCAAGGGGCAAGCCCCAGGTAGATGACCATTCAAAAATAGAGTTTATACTATGTTGGAGAGATTCTGGGTTAGAACCGTAAATTTTAATGTCATCCGCAAATAGTGAGATGGAGGTTTCAGGGTCTATCAAGTTAACAATGTCGTTGATAAATATCAAGAAAAGCAAAGGCCCAGATACAGTTTTAATGCAGCGATCGTTAAACGAGGCAAAAAGCGCTAAAAAAAAACAGTTTTTTCGAAGTGAATTTCCACGGGAAGTTTGAGTAAAGATTTGCGAACATATTCTGATAAAAATAGCTAAATTACTTCAAACTTTTCTTTTTGAAATAGGCAATCTGTGCTATCTAAACGGCTCAAGGGTAAGGCGGATGGAAGCTCCCCTTGCTAGACCTAGCAGCTTGGCGCAGCGCGTGCGCTGCGATTTTTCATTTTGAGGTCGCGAGTTCGATACCCGCAAGCGGCAGTATATTGTTTTCTGGAAAATACCGACTTTTTCGGCAAACTAGCAAATTTTCATTCTTTTAGCACTCTATTATGATTTCTTACATCATAATAGACCAGTATCAAAACTTGTTCTGGAAGAAAAAAATCGAGAAAAAAATGTCAAAAAAATGGATAATACCAAAATTTCAGTACTAAAAATGGTGCGCGGCGCGCCACATTTTTCCGTCATAACTTTTTTTCATCCTCAATCTTTTTTTGAAAAAAACTAAACGGTTCTGAGTTTTTGAATCGAAACAGCTATCAAACCATACAAAGCTCAATGCTGAAAAAAAATTTTTTTGAAAAATTCGTCTGCGGTCCCTATGTATAGTTTTTTTCTCCTTTTGCTTCGGATTTTTCAGCTATACAGAAAAAAATTTTTATTTCATTAATTAAAATTATTTTTAAAAAACTGGCTCTCCAATGATGCAGAGATTTTCGAATTCCTAAGTTTTTTTTTTCTGTGTGCGGCTTTGTTTAATTATGTGATCATTCTAATTTTATTTAATTTTTTATCTCCTTTTGGCGATTTGAAATATCTGACCTGTCTGCGCTCTCTTTTCCCTCTTATCTCAGGCCAAAGAAGTTTGAGAATATAATAAAGACACGAGAGCGATTAGAGAACAAAAAAGATGGCGCAGAAGAACCAGACTGTTTCAAATTTTAGCGAATTAGGTGATTTAGATTTGAGGTTTTATGGTTACTTTTTGAAGATTAATATTTTCAACGATTTGAGGCTTTCAGAACCAAGAAATTTAGACAAAATCCCATTTAGTACTGTAGTTTTTCCTAAGAATGAGTTTTTTCGCGTCAGAGCTTATTCACATCAAAAAAATTGTGCTCAAAACAAACAAAGCTCACGTTTAGAGAATCAAAAAAATTACGTCAACATTCCTTATTTTGGATATTCATTATTCGCAGTTTTTTTCTTCCTAGCTCTCATCAAAATTTCAAAAACAATTACTCTTCTTCCCAGAGACTTTCCTGACAACTGAGTGGCACAAAACCGAGTATAATCTACACTAATCTACATTTTTTTTATCTCGAAAATGTCTCTTCAATCTCATGGATTTCAAAATATATTATATGACGCATTTTTTCTATAGAAACTGGGCGGAGTCATCTCTACGACCTTCCTCAGTTTATGCGGAACAAAATCAAACAAACACGCCACATGAATTCATCATTTTGCTGTTTTTTGGAGGTTTATGTCAACTCTTTTTTCGATGCTTCATCATTAGATGGGGATTTTTTTTAAAACTTGTTACCTCAAAAATGTTTCATTGCGGCTCAAACTTGCCACTTTCATCGCTCCACTGATGAAATGACTTGCAGGTGCCCAGCCGGTAGAAGCGGTACTCATTGTGAAGTCGCGCCGCCGTCAGCACTCGCGCTCGTCTCTAAGCAAGAGTCGCAGGATCGGATCAAGCACTTTTTCGCGGTCATGATCATCGTCGTCGCCGCGGTCCTCCTCGCCTTGTTCTGCGCCTTTTGCATGGTTCATCTTTATCTTTTTGGGGGCTCGCAAAAAGGGACAAAATAGCGTTACAGAGAAACTCTTTCAGAGCTTCCAATTGGAGTATTGATGGAACTTTGCATAGATTTTCTTCAGATTTCCTAACGCCAGAAAATTTCATCTTGTTTCCGAGTTACATGACCTTCAAATTCCACAATCTACACAAACCATGGAAAAAAAGTGTTATCTGAAAATTTTGAAGCTTCATCACTCAAAAACACGTTCTGTGGCGAGATCATGTCTCTTCTTGCGGAATCACACCTCCCAAAACTACATTCCAGCCAAGTTTAATCAATAATTCGACATAGAGAAGCCCTTGTCAGAAAAATATATAGCTGCTGGATCAGTTCTTTGAGCTCGAATTTTCACGAGTTAACAGAGTATATTACATTACGCGACAGGAGAGCTGGTACTTTTTTCACACGCATCTCAATGGGGATGGCAAATAGAGCAAGGAGCACTCGGTCTGCGCGCGAAATCTCTTAGAAAAGTTCCCTCAGCACTACTGTAGACACGCGGATCGCTGTGAGAATAATGGCTTGCTTGGAACTTTGAGAAAAACATGGAACTTCATATGGAACTTCTATTATTTCATTATTTTAAAAAGTAAACGTGTATCACAAGGAAGTCATTTTAGAGTGAGATTGGAAATTTTCTGGAATTCAGCCAAAAAATATACCGGATGTATAGCCTGTGAACTACGACTTGGAATTTCACCAAACGACATTCCGCTGTGCCGCTGCGCGCCTTTGCGAACCTTGGTAGCGCTTTTAATTTTTTTGTTTTGTTTTATGAAAGTACTCTACTTTCATGTGCTCCCCCAGCAATAACAATTAATTGAAAGCGTGACCTTGATTCGAAAGACGCTTCGCGAACGCACGCAGCGGAACAGCGGAATGTCGTTCGGTGAAATTTCAAGTCGTGGCACACAGAATATAACTGATCTGCCTGTTTTTCACATGTAGCTCTTATACATGTCATACCTCGTAAATTTGAATACTCCAGTTAGTCTGTGCCCTCTTCTCCCCCACTAGCGAGGTCATAGAAGGGAAAAAGAGCATCAGGGAGAGAAAATACGACGCAGAGATACCAGACGATTTTGAAGCTTGTCAATTAAATTATTATTTTATTATTTTCATGCTCATTTTTAGGACGCTCAATGGAACCAGCTGTCTTATACTTTTCAACCTTCAAAATCCATAATTATCAACACTGTGAATAAAATACAAAGTACTCTTTCAAATTTTCGAAATAAGTCATATTTCCTTATGAAAACCTTATCATAGTGAAGCTTGAACCTTATCGCGCTTACTCAGCCCAAAGAAAGGGCAAAAATGTCGAGACAAATGCAAACAAGTGTTTATAACCGCCTTCAAAATGGGGGTTCAGACCGATTTACGAGCTCTTCTCCTATTGTTCCTGATCGTCTAGAAAAAGATAGGAAAAAATAGAAGAAGGAATCGTTTGATTTTCGGGTCGTGAGTCATGAGCGAAAATTTCATGGTTCTATTGTCTCTTTTGAGAATAATTGAAATTGATAGGGGCTTCGATTGAAGAATGGCTTGGCTCGTTTTCACTTCCTTTCTCTTTTTTTTTAATGTTCAATTTGACGGGTTTCTTGGAAACTTTAGAGAATGTAAATTTTTGGCTTCAAACTTTTTGGTCTTGATTTAAGCACATTTTAGAGCCTGTAAAATTATTCTCATTTTTAGAAAAATATTCTCAGATTCTGGAAAAAAAAACTCAGTTTTCTAGGTTTTCCTAAAAATTTTTTCCAGAATTCTAGGTTCCTCATAGTTCTAAAAATCATTTAAAATTATCAAGATCTCTCATTTCCGAAGACTCCCAGCATATTTTCAACGCTTCTCAGACCTTCAAAGAACGAAAAATTCCGAATGGCTTCTCCGAGTTTCGCCCAAACAAGGCTACTCAAACAGCTGACCACAATTTTGTTGCCAAAAATTGGCTCGAGGCCGGCTTTTCCGTTTGTGTGTATGTGTGTGTTTGCTGGAAAACGTGGAAAAGTGGGCGGAGCGACGAGACCCTCAGGGCTTCGTATCGACTCATTTTTGGCGGGCTGCCACAGGCGCTCAGCTCTTTTCTTGCCCGCTTTTTCAGCTCAATTGTAGCTTTTTTCAGAGTCAAGTGTGGTTTTGAACTGCTTTGGACGTTTTGAAATGGCTCAAAACGGTTTAGATCACCTCATTGTGGATTACGGTACCTTAGAGATTGTCTGGAGAACACCTATTTGGATGTAGTCTGAAATTTTTCAGTAAAACTCTTTTCTTGATTTTAGTTGAAAGATTCTGTTCCTAGAGCTGTTTGGCACGTTTACGATACCCTTGAGACCTTTTCGTAAGTTATTCTTCTTAGATTTTGTAATCGAAAAAAATGGCAGTGGAAGCTTTTTTTACATCCTGTGCAGAGGTTTTTTCCTTTTTCCAAGGGCACAGAAACACTAGCAGAGCGGTTGCGAAACCTTCTTTCGTTAATAATTACACAAATTTCGAAATCTATTCAGGATGACAGAGAGCTTGACCACATTCTAGGCTAAAAGGTTCATAGTTAAGGATTTAAAGATGAAATTAAAGGAAAAAAATACTTTGAAATGGATCTTTTGGAGATCCTTGTTAGAGATGGCCAAACTCAGCCTTTTTAAATAATTTCGACTCATGAAGAGTTCCTTCTCTCTCACCCATACAGTTACCCAATCCGAACTCGAAGAAGAAGAAAAAAAAACGAAGAAGAGACGCTTTTTTTTGCTTGTTTGTTCGCTCCCACGCGGTGTAATCTCTTTAGCGCACTATCATCTTGCATTGTCAAACAAGACAATCGCCTTGTCTTGCTTCAACTCTGACGTGGGGCGGAGAGCTTCCGTTTCACCTGTTTTCCACCCGGGACTGAGAGCTTTGAATTTTAAATTTTGTGATTTCAGATGGTCCGTGGCTGCTTCTGCGACTGCTTCGGGCCTTTCCGCCACGGTGAGTTCCATTTTTTTTTTCTTTCAGTTCTTAGGTGTTTTTAAGTGAATTTAATAGGAATGGTTGCTTTAGGAGCTGTAGAAGCGAAATATGAGCCTTTATTTGTATTGAATGAAGAATCATTAAGAAAAGAAGGTTGAGAAACTTACCCGAAAAGGTTGTGAAGTCACATTTTTGTCTACGAAAAGCTGTAGAGGAGGATAAAATAATAATGCTTAGCCTTTGTGCTCTGTTGATTATTTTAAGCAGAGGTTTTTTCAAAAAAAAAAATGGAGACTTGAAAAACTTGAACAGTAACGCTAAGACCTACAAGGTTTCGGGTTTTGAATGAGTTGGGATTTTTTTTTCGTTGCTCTGGCTTTTTTGCTGGCCTCTTCTAATAATGTGCTTCTTGACTCTTCCAATTTAAGCTTCATTTTGATCAACTTCGGAAAGAAATAGACCGATTCAGATCCCGACGTGTACGACAAGCCACTGGATCCGGAAGATGCCCGACATTGCCTTCGTAAACTCAGGGAACATAGGGCTCGAGAGGTGACTTTTACCGCAATTTCATTCCATTCAAAAAAAAAATAAATTTTCATTACCAGCTTGAAGGTCAAGAGAAAATTGATAAAGTAGCGCAAATGGCTCTATTCTGTGTATATCTAGAGACAGAGATTGAGTTTTGACACCGGTGGTCATTTTACTTTGCGGCTCAAAATTTACTGAAAATGTTCTTGAAAACTCTTCAAATGTAGAAAGATGAAGATCCCTCATTGTCTCTACCTTCTTGTTTTAGATATTATTTTTAGAAGTTCCCGTTTAACACAGAAATGGGCCTAACAAGGAGGTCCCTTTACTTTGAGACTTGCAATTTTCCACAAATTTGCTCCAGCAATCCCAGAACGTTCAGATAAAGATCCATCATAGTCTCTACCTGGCCCAAATTCCATTTTTTAAGATAATTATTTTTGAAGTTCGGGGTTATAAAGCCTGAAGCCCACTTTTCGCAAATTTGGAATATATCTCTAAAACTTAAAGTTTGCGCAGGCAGCGACTATGTGGAATCTCCATCTTAACCTTCAGAAAATGTTTGTAAAAATCAAAAAGTTCAAAACAGAAAAGTAAAAATTCCTCCCTGGGAAATGCGTTTGTAAATCCGAAATTTCGTCATATTTTCGTATAGAAAGGTCGAAATTTTGCAGGAAATGCGGAACCAGCCATTGGTAGCCCCACAGGAGTCGTTTGCTGCGCCGTACCCGCCGACGGCTCCGATTCTTCCGGCGGTCAGTTTTAGAATTTTCAATTTTCAATTAAAGCTTCAGTTGGATTATGATCGGTTTTCTTAGAAAGCAAGCTCTAAAGAACAGCGCCTCTAACTGGCCGGCCTCGCCTTTTTTTAGTTTCAAGCAATTGACAAATGAGGGCGTTGACGGCTAGTAAAGCTTTTGAAAAACAAAATCAAACTTATCACAACTGCTTATCAAAATTCAATTTTTCATGTCCTGACTTATCGTTTTCTAATTTAAACTCTTAGTTGAAACTAATTTTTTGGACATAGTTTCTTAAAAATAATTGAGTTTTTTTTTTGAGCAAAAAGGTTTCAGTTTTAAATGGAGCAGGGTGGAGCTTGATAATTTGAATTGAGAAGTGAGAGAAGTTATATTGAAATATTCCGGCTCAAAATTGTGAGCCATCCCATGTGCGACCGACGTTTTTTTTCAAATTTTTGGAGCGACTATCAAACCTTTAACTTTAATTTTCATCTCGTTTTACAATGATAACTGATTAAAAATTTTCAGACAGCTCCTCTGCAACGGCCGCCTTCCCCACCGCCAGCCTATTCACAAATCGACCCGTCTACTCTTCGTTCTTCAAATATTTAAAGCATCCCACCACATTTATATCGATACAAATGTTTTATCACTGCTGAATGGAATTCTAGTCAAATGTACAGTACGATGTTAAGCCATCAATGTATTCTGATAATCAATGTTTCGTCGTTTTGAAACGGGTATTTTTTCGCGCTGTATTTTTGTACTGTTTGTTTGTTTGTTTTTTTAATAAAAATTTCTATTTGAATTAATTTTTCATTTTTCCTCAAGTGAAAATTCTAGTTACTTTGAAACGTGCCAAAATTTAACTTCGTGTTCAAGATGATCTCGCGAAATTCGAAATAGATCACAGAGTGAAAAAAACAATTGAACTTTTTATAATCAAAGACAATCTTTTTGTTCACGGAAATTTGAACACGGCATAAAATAAAGTCGAACTTTTTTTCAATCGAACTCTTTTGAGTTAGAGAAGTGATGAAAGACTATTTGCTGAATTTTTGAAAACCGGCTTAAAAAAAAAGTCTTATGCCGTGTTCAATTTGATTCCGCGAAATGCAAAATACCAGTTAGAGAAAGGAAAAGATCACCAAATTTTGGAAAGTCAGAGATCATTTTGCATTTCGCGTAAATTACTTTGAACACGGCATTAGAAGTTTGTCCGGATTTTTTGAAACCATACTTCAGTTGTGATAAAAAATTTTATCAGACAGAAAAAAATATCCCTTTTTATAAAATTTTATCTTAATCTTTTTGTCAAGTAACTGCAAAAAGATATAAATCAATAAATCAAATTTGAAAACAAAAGAAAATTGCGAAAAATATTAATTATTATAGGCGCATGTTATACCGCCATGATGGACGTGTTCCGCTCGAGACCCACAACGATTTACGATATGTTTTCGCTAATGCCGTGTTCAAAGTAATTTCCGCGAAATGCAAAATGGTCTCTGACCCTCCAAAATTTAGTTATCTTTCTCTTTCTCTGACGGCTATTTTGAATTTCGCGGAATCACTTTGAACACGGCATACGAATAACTGACGAGATAAACGCGAGGTCGGTGGCGGTACATTGACGAACTCGCAAACATCTCGCTTTTTTCTAGGCGCGATCTCGCATTTTTCTTGGCGTCATCTCGCATTTATCTCGCATTTCGGAAATTTTCAAATTGCGAGAGAAATGCGAGCTCGCGCCTAGAAAAGTGCGAGCTCGCGCCCAGAAAAATGCGAGACCGGCGCGAGAAAAAATGCGGGATGTTTGCGAGCTCGTCAATGTACCGCCAGTGTCTCGCGTTTATCTCGGCAGTCATTCTTAGTGTTGGTCCTAAACTTTTTTTTTTCTTTTTTTCCTCTTTTTTCAACTTTATGGCGTGTTCATCAGAGAAACGGAACTTGCTTCAAAGCGAAAAATTGTGTTCATCGGCTCGCCAAAATTGCTCTAAAACAGTACTAATTTTTTTTTGAGCATTTTTTTGCGTTTCGAAACAGTTTTTGTTTTTTTTCCGATGAACAAGCCATTAGCAGCCTCCGGTATTTGTAAAGCTTTCCTCGCGTAAGTTCAGAAAAGATTTATCTCTGGGGCACTCTTTTTTTCACACCTCTTTGATTATTTTTTTTTCTTTTAACTTCTCGGACTGGTATAGTCTATTCCGCGCCAGCTTGTCACGTTTTTCTTCCCGCCAAAAAGACCGTATACAAAATTAGATCAAATTTCTGCTTTTATAACGGCAAGAAACAAAGGTCTTGAAGTGAAGTTGGTAAAATTTGACATGGCCTTTTGGCGCAAAGAAAAAAGTGACAAGCTGGCGCGGAATGGCCTATAACGCGAAACGGACGTTTCTGAGCAATTCCACGGATAATTTAAGAATGCTGACGATACTAAAGTGGTCACTAGAAATTCATCGACAGGTCCGAATCGCGTCCGTTTCTCGTTAGCGATGTCCGATTTTTTTTTTCTTTTTGCGAGTTTCCCATGCCCTTTTCGAAGTGGTCCTGCGAAATTCGAAATAGCGGTCAGACAGTAAAAAGGAACTCAATTTTGGAGAATCGAAAAAAAATAAAATAAAATTGAATTTTATGGTAATCACTTTAAACACAGCGTTATCTTCTTTTGTCATATTTCATTGCATTTTTAAGATAACAGTTCCTGAATTGTTTGAAATCTTGTGCCGCGTTCAATGCTAATTTGACGCGCGCAGCGAAAAAGTTTTTCCGGTTCAAAACCACGAGCCGAAACGCAGCGAAAACTCTACCAGAAAGGCGCACGGTGCCAGCACCAATAACCCGCTGCACGGTGCAAGTGGTAGTGCGGCTCCTCGCGTTTTTTCAGACATTTCGGTGCGAACTTAGTGCATGCGCACGGTGCAGGCACTTATAGTTATTTTGGTATTCTTATTTATCATTTTTCGATTAAAATTGGACAAGGGAAATTGGATCAGGAGGCTGTGCCTGAATCGAAACAGCAAGAGCTCTAGCTTCATCTAAATATGGCTAAATAGCTAAATTGAACTTCCTTAAGGAGGCATGCTGCTGCATCGTGCGCATGCACTCAATTTGCACCAAAATGTCTCAAAAAACGCGAGGAGCCGCACTACCACTTGCACCGTGCAGCGGATTATTGGTGCTGGCACCGTGCGCCGTTCTGGTAGAGTAAGCTGCAGGTTCCCACGACGTGAGTGGTTGGCACCGCCTTCTTGGCAAATGTACAATTTAAATTTATTTTCAGAATAATTTTCTTGCCGGGGCCAACCAATCACGTCTTGGAAATCTGCTGCGTTTTGCCGCGTTTCGGCTCGTGCTTTAGAACCAAAAAAAAAACCTTTTCGCTGCGCGCGTCAAATTAGCTATGAACGCGGCATTGTCAGGTTGACGTGTTGGAGCGTTCCTAGAATTGCTCAGAAACGCCCGGAGCGCATTCGGTTTTCGTTACCGAGGTCTGAGACAGAGTTGTGCGAGGGCCGACTCGTCAGCCTAACGGCGCAGTCTTTCTCTGAGCCCGGGCCAGGCTGAGAAAAACCTCAAGCAAAAAAAAAAACAGGCCCAAAAGCTCAAGTTTTCTTCAAGTCGAATATCAACCTTCTTTTTACGACGAAAATCATGTTTCTGATTTTTTTTTGTACTTAAAGTTCAACAGAAACCAAGACATTGTAAATAAGCGTTTTTCGATGAGAAACTTGAGTTAAGATACGATTTTTTCAATATAAAGTAAGAAATTTTTCTGAGCCTGGCCTCGCCCAAGCTCTCGTAGGCTTGTTCGCGAAAATCAATCCAGCCAGACCCATAAGCCCGGACCTCGGTACCGCAAAACGTACGCGCCCCCGATGTTTCTAATAGTTCCTTCAGCGGCTTCAGTACTCCTAAATGTTTACTAGAAATAATAAGAAGCGTTCGGGACGAGTCCGATTCGCGTTACCGAGGTCCGAGCACACTTGACGCCCGAAGCAATGAAGCTTGCGCGGGCTCGGACCAAGCCAGGCTTCGACAAAAAAAGTTCGAACTTCATCAAAAAGTATTGTCATCTCAAAATTAAAAAAATTACTTTTTCAGTCGTGTCATTAAATTCTATCAACAGCTATGGAAATAGACGTAGGCCGCTAGATTGGCAAGGACCTCGCACAAGCCTGGCTAGCCTGTTTTGATAAGGTGTCAGTGTTTTGAATAAATGAATGAATAATTCTTTGTACTATGGAGAAGCAACTTCAGCCATTGTGAATTCACTGTTGTTTCCTTTCTTTGCAATTAAACACAGAAAAAACCCTAAGCTGCTTTTAAGAGCATTGGGCTGGTACCTGGTATTGTCTAACCGGACTCGCAGTTGATCGAACTTTGTGTGCCTTGAATCTTGTCCGAAAACGTCATCGCGAACTTGATAAAGGTCGACGTCATTGCGATTAACTGAATTTTCAAAAATAAAAGACTTTCGAATGCAGAAAAAGAGGATATTAGTACAAAAGTTGGATCAAAAAAAAGCTGCTCCTAAAATTAAATTAGCTTTTACGCAGCCAGATCTGCGTCCTTGAATCATAATCGATTATTCAGTGCGATCGCGATGAAAATTCTCTACTGAAATCGTGCAAAGTGCAGTGCCTATGCCGGCATTCTGCAAAAAAAGTTGCATACATCCTGCAAATCAGAGCTTTGCATTTCGCCCAGAAGTTAATCGCGTTTTGCATTTCTTTTTGGGCTCACTTTTGTCCAGACGAAAAAAAGTGCAAAATGCGAGGTACTTCTGCGCAAAATGCAAAGCACTGATTTGCAGGATGCATGAAGCTTTTTTGGAGTGTGCTCGCATAGGCACGGCCTATTGCAAAAATTCTGTAGAGTTTGTACTAACTAATAACGTGTTTAAAGTAATTTCCGCGAAGTGAAAACTATTTCTGAATCTCCAAAGTTTAGTTATTTTTTTTTCCTTCTCTGACGGCTATTTTGCATTTCGCGGAACCACTTTGAACACAGCATGAGTAGAAGCGCCGAATCTGGCGTGAGAGTTTCTAACACATTTTTTAAAATGTTTATATATCTTGGGCAAAATCGAAATGGTGGATGATGGCCGCTAAAAAAAGCAAAAAAATCCCTTAATTGAGCCTTCAATTTTTTCTGGGGTTTTGAAGCCCACAAGAAATTGTGGAAAAAGGGAGAGACAGCGAAAATGGTGCATATGAGCCGAGGAAATGGCGCCAAAAAGCAGCAAAAAAGGATCCTTTGTCATCCTAAAAGAAACATTTCTATGGAGCCTTTTTCCACCCTTTCCGACTTTGCCTTTGATATCGGATCAAGGTTTTTCTGGCTTTAATTTAGTGTTAATGTCAAGCCTTCCCTTTTCCTCATCATGAAATTTTTCGAAACTAAAAATTTAAAACCTCACATAATTTGTTCCAGTAGTAGTCGATATCCACTTTTCAATCGTATGCTCCATTGGTTCTTTCTGAAGAAAAAGTAATTGAAAACGAATTTTTTAGTTATCAAACTGCTTTAATTGAAGTTGTTGTCGATCCTCGATGGACAGGTCTCGTTCGTTGAAAGCTTCCTGCAATAAACTCAAAATTGAAAAAAAGCAAGTCGAATATTCAATGATCAAGTCATAATGTTTTGATTTATTAGCTATGTATAGTCATGAGTGAGTTAGGGAAATTTTATCCAGTTAAAAGAACTAACTAGGCGGTGCGCTAGAGCTCCGCTCGGCCTTGTCAGAGCTAAGATTCCTAGACGCCGAAGGCCGTGACGGCATTTTCCGCGGGGGTCCCATCATCGCTTTGTCAGCATCGCGCTGCCAACAGTTTATGCCTCGGCCACAGGAATGGGCTTCGGCGTGACTTTGCGTATCCGATTTGCAAGCAAAAAGGATCGGCACTCCGGGAGTCCCGCGGGCCTAATCTACTAGCGCTTACAACTAAGGAACTTATTTTGAAAGTTAGAAGTTAAATGGAAGTTAAAAACTCATCTTGAAGTTGAGTTCAGGGGCAAGACGGAGTCGTGAGGGAAGCAAGAACGATAATTGAAACCAGGTCAAAAAACAAGAAATGAAATGTTGCCACGTGGTTTTTTTCACGTGTTATTTATTTGTGTACGTGTTATTTTTTTACGCCTTGCCAAGGGGTTCACGTTTTTTTTTTTGCAGAATATGAAGTTTTTATTTTGAATATAGTGTTGGGTCAGATGACGCAAAAGGTGAAGATAATGGAGTCACTAAAAAACTTGAAAGTTGAAAGTTTTCATTTTTTGGCTCTTTAGTTCGGAGCACGTCTGTTTCGCGTTACCAATGTCCGAAAAGTTAGAAGAAAAAAAAGAATCAGAGGTGTTAAAAATAACGCCCCAATGATAAATCTCTTGTCAATTTACGTGAGGCAAGCTGCTGTACAAATACCGGAGGCTCTCCATTAGCTCTCTACTTGTTTGAAATGCTGATTTTCAACGTTGCCACCAATTGTTTTGGTGTCAATAAGCCTGAGATTAAATGTTTTCAATGAAAATCCTTTGATTTTTTTAAAGACCAGAAAAAAATCAAATTAAAAAGATAAAATGTTATTTGTTTTTTTTTTCAAAGTTTTTTTCTACTAGGCTTTCACGAAACATAGATAGTCATTTCGATTTTTTTGTTTTTCGTTCAAAAAAAGTTTCAGGCTTATAAATAATTTCACCGTTCTTTTTACTTGCTTTGTTTTTTTTTATTGTTCATTCATTTCAGGATTTTCTATCTTTCTTTCAGAGGAAATGGGGTACATTCAAGATCCAGGAGGCATGACAACGGAAAATAAAAGGAAGGTCCGGGGGTTTATCAACGAAAACGAGAGTCTCAAACATTAAAAGGTTGGCTTTTTGATTGGATAAATTGGGAATGAAATTTTTTTTTCTGTGTAAAACGACCTTATTATCGTGTCATATCCAGTATAATAGCCGCAAGATGTCAAGTTGAGCGAGTGCATATACGTATATGAAGTCAGCGGAGAGAACAAATGTCTTCCTTTTTGGTCCCTTCGAATATTCATCATTTATTCCTCGACCTCTATTCTCACCCACTTTCTCGTTGAGCTTCTCTTTAAAGCTAAGCTGTTCCATGAGAAAATCGGCTCCGAAGGCTACTTTTCTATAATGCTTGGTTTATTTTTAGCTTGATCACTTCTAATATTTCAAATCTTTCAACTTCTCCTGTTTTTTTTCTTGTGAATCTTTCTTATGTGATCTCTAAGCTTCTTTTTTCAAGGAACATAAAATTTTTGAAGTGTTTAGGTTTTGTCAAGATTTTTTAAAAAGTGTGTCTCTCTCAATTTTTTCTTCTTTAATCTCAAAAAGCCAAGAAGAGTTTCAAACAGGAAATATTATTGAAAAAAAAAACCGAAAAGTAGCTACTTGTAAAATTTTTTTCTTCTCAAAAAAATTATAGAAACTTGTATGACATTACCCAAACTGGTAGATGCTGTTTTACCAAATTTTATCCCGAAAGATTTGATATCGAAAAAAATAAAAAAATCAGCTTTTTAAAAAAATTGATAACAAAACCGCTGAATTTCTAGTTTTTTTCAAGTCGTTTTGATTTTTCGATGAAAAAAACTTATTAAAAAAAGAAGGTATTTTTCATTTTTTTCGTCGGGATTTTTCCTGAATATGACAACGTTTTTTTGACAGGCTAGAAGTCTGAAAGCTTTAATTTACATTCTTTTTAAAGGTTTTTCGAAAAATGTAAGCTCGATATCAAAACGTCTGTTGAATGTGAAATGTTCAATCCCTGGGGCGCATTAAAGGTTCGGGCTCGCAGAATGTTCATCAAATAGATCAAGGCATTTTCTAGCCTATTTTCAAAAAATTTGAAATTTTCATACTAAAAACGACCTTCCTTGTCAGAAAACTCGTGCGACATCGGGCAGCCCATCATTCAAAAGATTATCCTTCAAAATCACTACATTTTTGTTGTTTTTGAAGCGTAGAAATCGCCATTTTTGACGGGGGCGAAAGATCCATCATCTCGAAGGATCCGCCTCACAAATTGCGGGAAATAAGCCAAAACAGCGCTCTCTCCTTTCGGATCGGGTTTCGGAGCACCCTCATCATCGTCCTTGTGTACTATTCTTCCCGGCTCCAGATTTTCTTTCCAATTTTTTTTTTCAGAAATTTCATAGCCTTCGTTCAAATTGGCTGTTTACCTCGAGAAAAATGTGTATAGTTTGGTGTCGGAACCGAACTTCTTTGCTTTTTTTGTACCTTCAATTTGAATTTTCATTTGAGGGAAGCAAAGTTCAATATCAGACGGTCAAATAGTTTAATCAAGGCTACTTTGTCTGAAACTTTTTTTTTTCTCGCCTTTTTTGCTCAACTTGTCATATCATTTTCTGTTGTAAGTCGTTTTTAACTAATAAGTGAACGTTTTTAGCCCCCGACTTGAATTTTGATGACACTTTGGTGAAGTGTCCTTTAGGACCTCTTGATTCCGAAACAAGAAAATATATCTCGCAATAGATCTGGTTTTTGAGTGGAAAAAAAAGGAACTCCTGCGTTTTTCCTGACAAGCTAGCCGAGAATTCGTTATTGCTCTAAACCTAAACTTCAAATCTTTTCGAAAAGAAGGAACCCGCTCGAAAATAAAATGTTTGTTTCGTGCTCACACGCGAATCGTCGGTGCTCTTCCTTTTTGGGGCAAAGTGCACTTGAAAATTGCTCGCATTTTCCACATTTTCCATTTCAAATCACTTTTAGCTCGCCCCCGTCCGCCTGACAAAGCTTTTTCGTCCCATCCACAAACCTTTTCACAACAACAAAAATGCTCCGAAATTGGTCAATCAACCCTTTTTTTGACGAATTGCCCTTTTAAAGTCGAGTTATTCAATTTGAAATCATAAAAGTACTTGACGTCATTTTTGGACAGCGATTTGGTTTTTTTCCTCACTTTTTCTTTTTTTCGGCGCAAATTTATGTTTCCAATTTCACAAACGCATTTTATTTCGGAGAAGTAGGAGGAATTTTTCCGCGCTCTTCACATACGTCAGCAGTTATAGTCAATTCGAAATGGGCTTTTTTTGTTGGGAAACTTCCCGATTTTCTTGATTTTCGTTTTTTTATGATTTCAGTTTTTTTTTTAGGATTACGACCTTTCTACCTTCTTGGGCTCAGAAAAAAAAAAGGTTTTTTTTCCCTGGAAACATGAGATAAGTCAGCTTTTTGCGGACCTTTTGGAGATGTTATAAAATGTTAATTCTCAATACTTAAGCGAAAATTTCGGGAGATTTTTTTGAAATTATTTTCCTTCTAGTTTAGCGAAGCACTGTTTTTGAGCACTGTTTCATTTCCAACCATTTTTTACTGAGGAACATCGACTTTTACAGGGAAAAAATATAAAATAAACCTTATTTCCAATCTGTCATCCGAAATCCATTCAAATTTGATACCCTCTTTCAGCATCAAAATCAAATTTCTTCTCCTTATTCAGCACATTTCCAAGTTTCTCTTGCCAGACGTTTTTTCGATCGTTCTCATGCTTTCGAGTAGTATTTCTATTTTGAGAATGATTTTCATTGTACTTTTCGATAATTTTTTTTCACTCTTACTTAATAAATAGAACGTGTCGAAGCTTGTTGTTAGGACCTACCCAGGCAGAAAACTTGACTCCGTCTACTGTAAGATGCACCTTTTTGCGTCCGAACTCAGCTTTGTAACAACGATGTTCAAAAATAGCTGTTACAGATGCTGAAGACGTGCTGGAGTCTGCTGGCGGCGCTGTCGGCGGTGACGTCATTTGACGTCGTCAACGTGAGCGGCCCGCGCTGCTTCTCCTGTTCCGTCTTCACCTTCATCAACTCCCAACTCGTCTGCGCCAACCCGGCCACCTGCGCCTCCGACTTTTGCTATTTGTGTTCGTTTTTCAAGCGCCTTGGTCTAGTGGCTCTGGCTCTGGCTTGAGAATTGATAGTCGCCGGTTCGGATCCTGTTGAGAAGATTAATAATTAATAAACTTCTCACTAGGGGGAGGGCTCAGTCTAAAACGCGAGTTTAAAATTTTCCAGCACCAGTAGTTTTTGACTCGGATTTAGAACTAGCACTCAAAAAATTTCAATAAAAGCTTCGAAAAAAGTCATAACGGCTGAAAAAAAATTGATAATTTCGATCGAGCTCTTTTGGCTCTTTCAAAAAATCGATGTTAACTTTATTTCATCTTGATAAATTTTTCACATACCTCTGTGTCCCTCTTCATTTTGAGATTTGTAATCAGGGGGAAAATTCACATATAACAGTCGTACGTTTATTGAGAAGCCTTACTGGGAGTCCAGACCATCAAAAAGGCGATAAAAACGTCTTGTCAGTTTCGTTACCGATTTTTTCAGACCTGGTGTCCGACGGAAGATCCATGTTTCTCTCAGGTTGTGCTGAGGACGTCTCGGACTTTCCGATCAGGTTCTCTATGAACTTGATCAACTTAATAAAACTATTTGACTATGACAGACACACGAAGGAGCGAGTAATCTGCCAGACGCGTGGACCCGTCGGCCTGTGCATCTGTCGCAGCGGCGATTGTGGCGACGTCGCCTCGTCGACCTCGGCAAATCTCTCCCAAGTCGCCTGGCACGACAACGACGCCGCCACGATGAACGCCATCTCTCATGTGAGTTTTTTTAAACACATCATATATTTTATTCAGTCATCACAAGGGAAGTGTGTAAGGTGAATTTTGCAGACCTAGTCCAAGATTCAGTGGTTGGTAGTCTAGTCCTCAAAATCAAACGCTGAGCCGTTTGAACTTTTTTATTACAAACTTCTGTTTTGAAAAGTAACATTCAAAATGTTTGAAAATTATCATAACAAATTTTTAAACGGTTAACCGATTGGAATTTCAACTCAAAAATTTTTTCAACTGTTGACCGGAATTTCAACGGTAATTTGTTTTCTCAACGGTTGACTGGTGAAAAAAAAACCTCAAAGCTTTTTTTTAAACGTTTGAAACAGTTGAACGGTTGAAAATCAACTGTTGAGCATGTCTGAAACTTGGTAGAATGTCGAAAAAATATTGAACAAAAGTCGTTTCAACCTTGCGGGTCGGGTCGCCACGGGCGACACGACACAGTAGCTTTTCTGTCGCTTTGTACGGCTCACGTTCACAGAAAATCATATCCAACTATATTTCGATATTTCATCTCAAAATCTTTTCAGCGTGTGACGGGTTTCTCGGCGGACTACGCTCGCAACCGCGTCGGACAAATGCGCGTTGAAGAATTCCCCGAAACGTTTCCCGGAGTTCCCATTTCCCAAGCTGTTCCTCGATCTTCACTTTGTTCTTTGCTTTTTCTTCTTGCCGTTCACTTGATCTTATAACTCTCTTTCAGATTCTTTCAGTTTCGATACTTCGATCTACGGGTCCTTTTTTCTCGAATTTTAATAGATTATGATCATTTTACGAGTTATATTTTGTTCGCGACAGTTTTCTGGGAGATTTAAAGGAGCATAGTCAATTTTCGTGGTGGTTTGAAGCGAAGAACCGTTTAGTGTGTAGCTTCAGGTTCACTAATGCCGTGTTCAAAGTAATTTCCGCGAAATGCAAAATGATCTCTGACTCTCCAAAATTTAGTAATATTTTTCTTTCTCTGGCGCAATTTTGGATTTCGCGAAATCACTTTGAACACGGCATAAATAACCTAATTTTGAATGAAAAAGAAAACTGCTGTGATAAAAAAAAACCTTTTTTTATTAAATTTTTTCGTCGAATAAAGGATTTGAATTATTTTTCGTGGAGGAATGAAATCCTGATGAAATCGGGGAGGAGAATACTTATAAGCTGCTTCCTAAAAGCAGGCTCCTGAAAATTTTTAAAATTTTTGTAGTTACAACTTTTTCACCATTCAAGAAAAGGAAACGTGAGCTCAACGGCGTACATTTTGCTTGGGAGCGCTAGAAATGGCCTTCCAAAGAGGTAAGAGGAATAAACGAACCCCATAGGACGAAAATCCCTTAAAATTTAGGTGATCCCTAAAGCTTCAGTGGTCCCTATGGGGGACTCAGTTTTTTTAATCCAGATTTGAAAGTTAAAAAGGCTTATTTAGTCATACTTGACTGATTAATCTCCTCTTGATATTTTTGTAGAAGCTTTTCACAGACTGAAAACCTAGAGTGGCTACTTTTGGATGTTTAAGTGATCCTTAAAGGGCAGCCCAAAGCGCTCCTGAAGTTTCCCCTCTAGTGATCACTCTGGCGCTCCTAGCTAGGTTTTGAAATCATCTTTTTATTAAAAAAAAAGAACTTTCAGCTTTTCTTTTGGAAGAAAAATGAAGTTCAGGCCAGCCAAAAACGGCATCATGACGGCTACTTGAAAGTTGCTCTATTTGGGTCGAAACTGGCCACCGGTTATTGTCGGAGGGCTCACTAATGTTGAGCAAACAAGTCGACAAAAAGGTTCAAATGTCGCGTTTTGATTTTTGAAACGACAAGTTTGGAGGGAGACATGGGAGGTCGGGACAAACACGACACGAAAAACGGCTGCCGGCGATTCGGAGTGTTGGCATTGGTTCTGGAGGATGACCTCCTCCAACGACGACGACGCCGACGGCTGGGACCACGCTCAGCGTTTCGAGGCTTTGGTTCGTTTGTTTCTATTGCTACTATTATGATTTTTCTTTATGATGATGCAAAATGTCGTACTTGCAGAATGCTAGTTGGAGTTGAAGAATCCGGAGAGAATTTCGCGATGAAACTCGTAGTTTAAAGTTCAGGGGAAATTTTTGTAGGAGTAACGGTTTCACGAACTTTGCAAAAGGCAAAAATAAAGGCTATTTGATTTTTCCGAAAAGAATCTTTGCACCAGTCCGTCTAGGGGTCTGAGAATTGATATAATTTTGTTCTTTTTCGGATTCCCAGTAAAGTTCATACTTTTTTATACGTTTATACGCTATAGAGAATATCTGAATCATAAACTGCTTTCAAAACTGTAAAAAGGACAAAAAATGAACTTTTTTTTTCAAGAAGATCAGACCCATTCATGTCTAATTATATGAACGGAAACATTTTTGAAGTTTTAAAAATTGAATAAGGAAATTTTTCGCTTACTCACAAAAGGTTTAATTTTTGAATTTATCGAATTTGGTTGAATTTCTCAGCAAAAAAGAGAAAGATCAATCTCTAAATATGCAAGTGAAGAACCCATGCGTGCGGGAGATGGGGCTGGCTCACAGAAAGTTTAAAAGTAAAGCACAAAAATAAGTTCTAAGCTCGGGGAGGTAGCATTTCCAGAAAAAAAGAGTTTAACATGAGGTAGTACCGACTTGAATTTATTTAAACTCGGGAGGATATTTCGGCTTAAAAAAAGGTCTGCCCATTTATGAGTTAGTTCGAGTTTGAGACGGTTTATAAATTCCACTGGACCTCGTCTTTTTCCAGAACAACTACGAACTGCTCGGGTTCGACTCCTCGCGCGGCAGTACGGCCGAACCCAAGGCAAGTTCTTTCCGGCCTTCTTTAAAACAATGGAACGGAGACTGTCCCCCGAGGACAAACAGCAATGCACAAAAACCGTTTTACCACGTTAATCGGGGGCCTAATTTCGGGCGTCCGACAGGTGTACAACACGAAGCGTTTTCCCTTCCACCAGTCCTGCTCATTTCTATGCTGTCGAACGTCTTTTCCCAACTTTAGTACTACTCTGAACGACCTTTTTTTTTCGAATTTAACGAATGGCCGAAGAAACCACGACTGCCGCCGCCCCGCCGGTGCCTTCTTCTGTACTTTTTACTCGATTTTTTTTTATAGAGTTTTAAGCTTATAAACTTGAGGAGAATGGGTTAAACACGGATCTGTTGTCAGGTTCTTGTTTATCCTTGATTTTTCTGAAACTACAGTACGCTTTTCTTGACCCTCTTCAGCTTCAAAGCGAAAGAAGAGAAAAAGTTCAAAGGAAACAAAATTAGGAATTTACCGTTATTTTTTTTTCTGTCTTTCATTTTGCAGTTTGATATTTTATGGTCTGATTGTCTCTTTTTGACTTAAATTGCTTTGAAAATGCCTAAATTTTTCAGTAAATCGATTAGTTAAAAAAATTGGAATATAGTCGACAAAGAATGACTTCTAGTAATTTATAAGCTAATTAAAAAAAAACCACCGAACGGTATTACGTAATTGAACGAAATTCGAACTCAGTCCGTAACTTTTCCAGCCATTCCAATTGCGATCAGAAGAGTTCTAGTAGGGAATGAAGTTTAATTTTGGAAACGGTGGTCAGAAGTTTGGAATGAAGATCTTGAGTCGAATAGTTTGAGTTTTGAAAAATAGGGTTAAGATCTTCCCGCAACCTTCGGCATACTTTGAAAAACCGGCTAGTCGATCAAGAATGAAATTTCAAAAACATGGGTCCTTAGGAACCAATTGAATTTTTAAAAAAGCCTCTGAATTACTGTATTGAACTTTTGACCTTGCGCAGAAGTTGCGATTTCGATGTCAAAATCAAGAGCTGACAAAAAAAAAAAATAGAAAACCCAAAAAAGGCGGCGACGAGTGAGTTTTGAGAGGTGACATGGGCCGCCGATGAGCCTTTCTTTATCCCACGATCATCAAACAATCGCAAAAGTGTCAATTCGGCCTCGAAAGCCGAGGCTTCATCTTTTTGTCCCTTCGATCCTCGTCGTCACCTTTCATGGCTCTGAAATAACCCATTCAACTGATTTTTCTATTTTACTGCCTTGAGTAAGATTTTGTTTTTTTTTTTCTCATAGTCTCAGTTCAGTCCTACCCAGGTTTTTTGAATCACCTTTTTTTGGTTTAGTCATAGATCGAATTTAATTTTTTGGTTTCTTTTTTTTGCCATTTTAAGACAGAAAATGGCATTTTGTACTCATTTTCTTGACATTTTCTCTATTAAATTACCTTTTCAAACTCGTACAGTTCTAAAAAATACTGTGCAATTTTTGGATTTTTTATTGGGTTATATCATTTGAGGTTAATTTGTATTGAGCAAAAGGGATTTCGAAATGACTATCGAACATTTTTCTTAAAAAGAGGTTTCCAGGAATTTTATGCAATTTTTCATTTTATCCGGAAGGTTAGAAAAACTGTGCTGTCCGAAATTTCAGAAGATTGGGGCTCTCCCTTTCGAAGTGTTAATTTGAAAATTCGAGTTCTAATTAGAGCCTAAAAATATTTTCTCAGATTTAGGGAAATCAAAAAAAAAATTGAGTATAAAGAAAAAAAAGTAGCAGCTTTCATATACCTCGAAACAGTTTGAGTTTTCCAGGAGAACCCGTGGAAGAAGGTTGGAATGGATCGGACGATGGATCGACGCGGCGACGATCATTCACACATTTACACGACAGAAGGGTCCGCTTTCACCTTCTTACTTTTCTTTGGTTCTGTGTTTTAAATGTGAAAGAGTTCTTGAAATCACTGTTTTAGTAGGAAGAGTGTGTTTCAACTGCCTTTTTATAACAATTCCTCTCAAAAAAGTCCGTGTTAATCTCATGTTCATTGGATTCGTTTTTTAGTGGTCCTAAAAGCTTCTCCGATTTTTCCTAAGCCAAAAACAGAGACATTCCTTGATTTTTTCTTCATAATACTTTCAACTTTCGTTACATCTCTCAGTGTTTACAGACTTCCCGATTGAACTTTAATTTAAAAAAAAACAACGTCTTTTTTCTAATGTCCATTTTTCCATTGCTGTTGATCTCATGACCATTGGCACCTTTGGCAAGTGGCGCGCAGTTGTTTGCCGCACTGATTAGAGCGATTAATTTCGTTAAGATGCGCGCGTGTGAATTTTTGGGCTCCTTCCGTTCTAGCTGACCAGTTTGCCGCCGCCGCTTGCCAAACCGTTTTTTATTTCTCGATTTTTTATCCTCGATTTTTTTCTGTTTTGATGCGCTGACAAATTAGCGGATTACAGTGAGATCTGAAAGACAAGGAAAAAGTTTGAAATGGTTAATCTAGGGTTCGGAGGATTTTTTTAAACAAGAAAACTATTCGAAGCTTGAGAGATTGAGTGGAAAAGTTTTCTTAGAAATGCCAGAGTGGGCCATAGTAGAGTGGTCCCCAGAAAAGAATCCTGAAGGCCCTTATAGGGACCACTCTGGCGTTCCTAGTTTTTTTTAAAATTCTGCTTTCAAAATGAACTCAATACGTCATAACGAGCTTTTTTTCTCTGGTCTCTCCCGTTTTCCGTGTTGTTTCCATGTTCCCATGTCTTCGAAGCGAGAGAAAAGAGAGCGTAGACATGTCAGAGCGTTCCAAGCTTTCAAGAACTTGTCGTGACTATTGACTAAGTTGAAATCCTTTGAAATTAAGCTAAAAATTGAGCTTTTCAACGGAATATGTTTTCTCAGACACTGATAACGTATACGGTACTATTCGAGATCATTTAGCGATCACTTAAGTGGCCTCACCGCCATTTCACTATTTTCAAGGAATGGGTTCTGATTCGATCTTGTGTTTCGTTGCACACCCCGAAATTGGCACTCGAAATTTCGAGTTCACACTGCACTACATTCTCCTCACGTGTTGCTCCTTCTGAGCTTCTGAGAGCATCTCGCAACTGTTTGACTATCATATTTTCGGGACAAATCTCCTCTCCCAAGTGCAAAGTCGTCGTGTTGTTTGTGTCCAGTCGGCTTGCCCCCATTGTTTCTGTTCACACAAATCGGGCTACAAGCGCGTCAAGTTCAACGTATCGGGCAAACTTTGATCGGCCTTTGAAGACTAGAGAATTCGAAGCTGTAGAAAAGCGATATAGTTTATCCACCGCTGGATTAGAGAAACAGTGTGCGATTTTAAGAGAATCAGACTTCTTTGTAGACTTTTCTTTAATAAGAAACTGAGATCGTCACAAAATTTCAAGAATTTTCAAAAAGCGGGTCTCAAATGGGACAGCAGGCACTACTCTTCCTAGGGAAGCCTGTGAAGAATTTACGTTTTTTGTTTTTGCGATTTTTGTGGTTTATTTTCATCGAACCCGTCTTACTTGAATCACCGTCACCGGCCGTGGAATCGATCAAAGCGCCACGGTCTCGTTGCGGCTCGAAAAAGTCTTTTAGAACAGATCTAAAGCTTCACGCGGAAATCCTTTTGGGTCTGACGCGCTTAAAAGCTACCCGTTTCTTGTCGAGTCATTCCGCATGCAATCATGATCATTTCTCAATATTAGAATATGTTTCAGACGTCTTTTATAGTTCCAAACTAGCGTTGACTGGAGTTTCTAGGGGATTTTAGTTGCAAAAAAGCCAACTTTTTCTTCTAAATTTAAAAAAATTTTGAAAATGTTAAAAAAAAGTAACAGTCTCGTTCTTTATCAGAAAAAAAAAACGAGTTTATCACAGAATTAAGCCAAACTTGAAGGCAAAGTGTCTTTTGGCGATTTTGAACGCAAAGACGTAGAGCAGAAGGGTGAGATGACTGTGCGAAACGAAACCTTATATCCCCTTTTCAGCACCATCCGCTCTTCGTAAATACACACACACACAGACGTTCCCAGACGTTTTAGAGGCTTACCTGGGTGTTGCGAAAGTTTTTTCGGACTGTTTAGTTTGGATTTCAGCCTGTAGTTAATTCACACATGGCTTAAGGAAACGGTGAGCGAATTGAAGAGGGTTTAGACGTGTTTTTATGATTGTTGAGTTTTATTTGATGTGTGATGGGTAAGTTTTTTGAAATGTCAAGGATGGGAAGAAAGAATGCTTGGAAAAAAAAGAGTAGGACAGGAAAAATTGCTATTCAATCTTTTTTTAAACGTTTATTCAATGTGTGCCCACACGGTAGTTTGACTGGACCGATTTTGAAATGGGTTTTATGGAGAAAACAGTGAAAAAATTTTCATTCTGTAAAGATTACTGTCAGTTCTTTCTCACTATTCGTTCTAGGACCTTTTTCATGGATTTTATATTGGTGGTAAACACTGCACTGACTTGAGAATCTTCTTCGAGACCAAAGGTTAACGGTCTTTTTCCGGTTTCCTCACCTGCTCAAAAGATGATCCTCTGACGTCACACGCCTCCTTTTTTGGGTGGGCGTGCGGCTCATTGGCACTCCGGCGGCACACGCGGCAAGTTTCCGTTCCGACGACGGCCGTCCTCTGTCGCTCTCCTCGCCGGCAACGCTATTTCGTTCCGCTTGACCGTCCCTCCGCCGTCGCCGCCACCGGCCGCAGTTTTCAGTCGGTCCAGACCCTCCGCGCGCCTCTCAAGAGTATCTATCTTCAACTATCGAGAGCCCAAAAGGAAAGAAGCCTCCACCTCGAGACACACTTCAAACCTTCTCTTTCTGCGATATACTTTTTTTCTGCCTCTATCGGAGTATTACTGCTAATTAATATGCCTTTGGCCTGAGAATGGTCGATCAAATGGACACGCTGGACCACCGGCGGATGGACACTCTGGATGGACGCCAGCGAAAGAATTCCGGCGACGAAGAGCCTCCACCGCCGCCTCCCAACCATAATTCCTACTATTTTAATAGTGCCGCCGCCCTGGAGGACAGCGAGGAACGACGTCGGATCAAGACCCAAGACGTCGCCAAGAATCAAAAGCTTTTGCCTCGTGACAACGAGGCTAATTCCTCGTGCGTTTTTCAGGCTGTTTCTGACTTTTTCACCTTTTAGTTTGTATTTTATCTAGTTGAAAAGTATTTTGAACCTTTTCCGGTTTTTGTTGAGGTTATCTGGCTTGAGTGGCTTGACACGACAAAAACTACTGTAAGATTGGTAGTCCCAATTTTTTTTTTAAAACTCCTTTCTAAATGCTCCGCTACTATGAAGCTTGTTCTAATTTCTAAGTTAAATATTAGCTCAAGGGGATATTATTCCATAGCGCTTGAACTTATAGATAGGAACCTTGTATATTTAATTTTTTTACTCGAGAAAATGATTTTTGTTTTGTTTTGTAAGGGTGTTTTTTTTCAATTTGGCTTTTTTGTGGCTTCTGACCTTTTTCTTGAGATATCAGTTTTACTAAAAGTTTGGAATTTTTTTTCCAATTTTTATTAGTGTCTCATCATCTGTATTAAGTTAGTTCAACTTCATTGAAGATTTTTCTGATTTTTTTCTCTTCGCGATAAAGTTTTTTTCTACAATAAAGGGTTTTTTTCAAATTTTTTTAATTATATTTTTTTGATTGAAATTAATCGATTTGTTTACAGAACGGTCATCGAAAACAAAGGATGGGACATTTTTTTCGGCTACTGCCTGCAAAACCCGACAAAGTCGGCCACGGTTCGTTTTTATTTTTTTCCTTTATTTTTTTATTTTTTTGATTTGTTAAGTCGATTTTTTTGTGAATGATAGACTTTTTCCTATATTTTTTTATAGTATCATTTTCGTATTAATACTGATTATATTTATCGAATTTGACTTCTTTTTTTTCGAACTTTAAGTATTTCCTATGAGGCTACTGACATTGGTGATTGTACTTCAAGATAGACTCTTAATTTTAAATTTTTTTTTGTAGATTTTCCGCATGAGTTGCTGTGTAAATACCTTCGTGGATCTTTCTTTTCTTTTTTCGGTTTTTTATCACGATTTTTCTCCAATATATCGAATTGCTCCTGTCTTTTTACAAAGTATAACTTCACTAGAAATGAATCGATTGAGAGGCTTTTGTCGTTTTGAAATTGAAAAATCGGAGCTCAAAAACTAAGAAGTTCTTTTTTTTTGTTCATTTGGCTAAGTTTCAATTTTTTTTCTTATAGATGACCCAAATCTATCCTTCGCGATTTAAAAAAAAATAAAAATTATTTTTGAATGTCCCTGAGAGAGTATCTTTTGAGCGATTTCCTACTCACTTCTTCTTTACAACTTTGAGCTATCTCAAAAATAACCGTTCAGCAAAATTCTGTATGAGGCGTCTTTTTTGCGTTCCTTTTAACTTTCCTTGTGAAAGTAGTGTAAATTTCAAGGTTCTATTCATCTGTTTGTTGATTTTCCGATCCAGAAATGCGCTGGCCGGCGGCCAAAAACCTTTGGAAAATCCCGGTTTTCAAAAATGCTGCTGAGCCTTGTCAAAAAAGTGTCGAAAACGTCGCAAAGCTCTAAGTTTCGCCATGTCCCCAATCGTGTTTGTTTTTCGCTAATTGCTCTCGCTGCTCACTTTTTTCTTCGCCTAAAGAGCTGCTAGGTGAGCTCTTTTGTCGTCGATGTGGAGCACGAACAGCGTGAAAAAAAAGTCGACGACACTCTTTTTTTTCTGTTTCCTCGTACTAATTCTACACTCATCTTTGAGACAATCGGATGAGTGCAAATAATGTCGATTTTCTGTCCCCTTGTTGGGTGTGGAACGGTTCGAGTGGGAAAAGAAACAGTTTCACAGAGGGTGAAGAAAAGAAAACACAAAAAAAAACTGGAAAATGATTATTTTATGAGCAAAAAAGCGAAAATTATTATGGAAAAGACGTTTCAAAAATGTCTAAAGAAGCTCTTTGTAAACTACAATGGTGATGAAGCCTAAATTAGAAGCAGTTTTTTGCAAACATTTTTTCTGAAAGACTTTCGAAAATCCTGGAGCCCTTCTTTAACTTTTTAGGATGGTAAAACATGTTTTTTTTTCCTAGATCGCAAAATCGCTACTTTCTGAGCGTTTCTGTGACAGTTTATGCTTGCAAAAAGAAATTTGAGATTTTTTTTTTATGAAAGTAAGTGACTTATAAGCACAAAAATGATCCCTTTTTAGTGAAGAGGAAAAAAAATGAGAAAGAGGTTAGGTAAATTAAAAATTTGTCTCTTTCCTGTCAGCAAAATTTCCGAACTAGTTGTTCTTCCCTATTTTAAATCCTTCAATAAGTTCCTGTGTCTAAGAAATGAAAATTTTGATTTTTTCGGTTGAACCTTGTTCAAATTGTCAATAATTTTTTCCAGGTTTCTGGCACGATGCCAGCCTTCAAGTGCTCAAACTCGCCACATTTATCGTTCTGTTCGCCCTGACGCTTTCCTCGGCGGTCGTCGCGAAAAGCGCCTTCCTCCTGATGACGTCAGCCATCGGCTGGGGCGACCAGACGATGACCATCTGCAACCAAGTCGTTTCAGGTCCGTACATGGGTCATTTTAGGGCAGGGGTGTATTCTGAAGTGTTTATTTTTAATGGAGTGGGTATATTTGTGGTATCGCTTTGTACCAAAACAGGAATTAATACTTGCAGAAGCGACTCAAAACACGGTGAAAATCAAGAACCAACACGTCGTCAAGTGGGTCTGGGCGACGTTACTCGCCTTATGTGCTCCAGAAGCCCTATGCTTCGTCAGATCACTCCACAGAACCATGTTCAAAAACGTCAAAAGACCGACTTTCATGCAGTTTATGGTGGTGAGTAACGGTTTGACTTCTCTCTTCTCTAGTGGTGAGGGAAAAGAGGGTCCAGACAGGTCAGAGGGATTCGAGTTAGGATTTATAGTGTGTGCTTGCGATATCCTATATTTCTAATTACGCGCTATCTTAATGTTTCTGGGACATAGCAGGTAAGGTAAATGAGGGTCCAGATAGGTCAGAATTTTTAGAAAACAATTTCAACAAAAAATGATTATGTTGCTTCAGGTTCTTCTGATCGAATCTCTGCACTCGATCGGCGTTGGAATCCTGGTTTTTCGGATTTTTCCCGACCTTGATGCGGTCACAGGTTCATCTGTGAGACAAGTTTTAGAAAAATATAAATTTTTCAGCTGCCCAATTGACGAATGCAATGTGTTTCGTTCCGTCGGTGCTGTCACTGATCAGCCGCCGACCAAACAAGGTTATTTTTTTTAAAGGCGCAGGGCGTGGTTTGAAAAAAAGAATTTTGAGAGGAAAACTTATTATTTTGATCTGTACCTGTTTTCTTTCTTCTTTTGTTCTTTTAACATTTGTAATAGATCGTATGAGCTTTGGAAATTTTTCCAAGAAACAAATTGTTTCTTCAATTAGAAAAGGAAAAACTCATCGAATTTCACTTTTCTTCCATCTTCCTTATCAAAAAGTCCGCCTCTCTTCCAGATTGCCCTCATTTTGGTCATCATCGATATGGCGGCCATCGCAGCTCAGAGCAGTGGATTTTGGGCCTACCCGGTAGGAAATTCCAAAATCTCAAGGCTTCTCTACAGTAACCATACTTAGATGTTCATGCCGAACCTACAAAAGCACTCGGTGGCAATTCCCGTCTCATTGACGCTCGTCTCACTGGCCTGGTGGCAGAATTTCGTCCACCTGGACTCGGTTTTCCCACCTGTCCGGAGTTTGGCCAGGTCCTACCTGTCATTTTTCGGATTTTGAATGTGAAGGTTCAGATTTGCCTCACGGCTTTCTGAGCGAAGGTCGAAGACCTACGCGTTCGTCTCACTCTGGAAAATGTGCATTTATTTCGTCTGCGCAGTGCTTTTCATATCTCACAGGTAATGACAAAGTTTATCCCTTTTGGGAGAGATTTTTGTTAGCCTCGATCTTTAAACCCTTGCTCAGAGATTCAAAAAACCAGCTATAAGGCTTAAAAGGCTTAAAAAAGGATAGTTTATGGCTTGTAAATGAGATTTTTCGAAGTTCCAATGCTTGGATTTGATGAGAAAAGAGCTGGTTATGAAGAAGTGAAATAAAAAAACTTGTAAAAAAAATAGAAAATTGCTGAGAGAAAAATTGTTTACCGAGTTGTGGAAGTTGTGGAGCGCTTTTTCAACACTAATTAAGTTTTACTGATCGTCGATTTTTCAAAGTACAATCTGAAGCTCCAAAATTTGAATAATCTAGTTTCAAAGTCAGAGAAATGGATATGAAATACTTTTCAGAATGAAAATGGAAGATCTGTTGCAAAAAGATCCGTTTGGCGAGAAGCTGTTGGCCGTCGTTGGCCACAACATGAACCAGACCCAAATCGACAAGTTCCAAACGAGAATCAACGCCATGATTGAGATGGCCAATCGAGGTTCAACCGAGAAAAAAAAAATGATTTCAAAAAAAGTTTTCTAGAAGCCGGGTACTACCAGCCGCCGCCGAAGAAGCCTCCAAAGAAACAAAATCCAGACGATGTTAGCAGTTTTTTTAAGGAAAACTTTGCGGAATACCTTGGTCGCATTTGGAACTACTGAAGGCATTAAAAGTTCTGCAAACTTAGAGAGAGCCCGACCCAGAACGACTTGCGCTCATTCTATATGTGGCCTCGGTTTTTCAGTAGCCATTTACTTTCTGTGTATTTTCTCAGGCGATGAATAAGGAAGAGCTAAGCAGCCACTCAAGTGATTAGGGCTCGAAAATCTTTTTTCACTCATGGTCCATCCCATAAAAACATGAAAATTAACGAGAGGGCGTAAAAAAACTTAAAAAACAGCTGTGAACTTTAGCTAAAAAGGTCATTTTTCTTTGTGGCTGGGTTTCCCTGGAAATGACCAGGACACTCCTGGATGTACCAGATGAACATGATGAAATTCTAAACTTGAACAAATTTCTAGTTTTTGAAATATGAGGACTCAAAGTGCTAAAATGGTTTATTTCAACGGAATTCGATTGTTTTCGTTGACTTTGAGCCCTCATTTCTGAAAAATTAAAAAGTTGTGCAGGTCAGGATTTTCAGGCGCCCCATCTGGTAAGCTAAGAAGTGTCATGCATAATTTTCAGGGGATTCCCAACCGCAATGTAAAATGACCTCCATTTTAAGTGCGTCATAATTCATAATTCACGTATTTTCATCCATTTTTTAATTACACGATCAAACTATATACAAGTTATTTGCAGGCCGAAGTGGTCGACACCGGCGAGTACAAGCGTTTGAAGCGAGCCGTCCATGAGGAAGTCGAAGAGGAGGAAGAAGAATTCATGAGTTATAACGTGATTGGATTCACTGAAAATCAGATAAGTATGTTGAAGTTTCAGATCTACAGCAACTACGTCGAAAGAAATCAACTGACGATGGCTTATGACGCTTTATGGATCGTCATCGTTCAAGTCGCGGCCGTTTTTGTCTGCTATCACAGCAGCAAATTCGCCTGCAAGGTGTCCGATTTAGAGAGCTTTGAGCAGTTGAAGAGAAGAATTTCATTAAAATTTATTTGGAGATGAATTTTTGTGTAAAAACTGACGGAAATCGGCTTTTAAAAGATTTTCTGTTGAGTTTTTTTTGGAAAGAATAGAAAAAAAGGACCTTTCTGGGAAGTTTATGGAGAATTCAACTGATTTTTACGCGCATGTAGTCAGGTTAAATTTTTTCTACGAACGTTCCGACCGCGACGCGTTGAGCCATTCCAAATGCAGCTCTTCATCAAAAATCATTTTCGCGCTCGAATAAAGAGAAGAACTTGAATATGCTTGAGTTTTCAGTTGGTATATTTTTCAATCCAACTGTTTTCGGAATTGGAAGACTTTACCAATTTTCTTTTGTGCCTTTCCCAGTCTTATCTCGTAGGATTTGCTGAGGAAAAAATCAGAAAAATCTGGGATTAAGGATTATGAATTCGAAAAGGCTGTCCGTTAAAAATTTCAATAGAGAATTTCCATCTCAAAACGGTTTTGAAACAACAACAAAAATTCGATTGTTTTTGGTTATACCCATTCTGTTCAGGTAATGATGCAGCGGATGGGTTTCGCCTTGCCGATGGCCCTCTCTGTACCTTGTACAGTATTCGTCCTCTCCACAACTTGTCATTTTCGTGCCAAGAACCCGTGTCATCTCACCAGCTTCCTCACGATTGTATGATTTATTTTGAGGATTTTCTGGAAGTTGGCTGGGAAAATTTTTAAATCTTCATTTTTTTAGAGGGCTTCAAAGTCTTCAGGGCTTTTATGAATCTATTAAAAGGCAAAGTCGCATTTGTTTTTTTCATGAATTTTGAACCAAAATTTTGGAAGCACATCTGAAAGAAGTTTCATTGAAATTTTATAGAATCACCCCTTGCTTTTCCCGTTTGAGCCAAATTAGATAAAAACCTATATATTTCTTTTTGCATTAGTTTTGAGAGTATGATCTTGACCAAAGTTCCGTTCCAGGAACTCTTCTGGCAATGCGGCTCGGCCTACAAATCGATCGCCGACTTCGTCCTGACGCCTCAGACCTGGATCTGGCTTTGTTGGCTCGCCTCTCAATTCTGGATCACCATACATCTGTGGAATCCCAAGCACGAACGACTCGCCAAAAGCGAGAAGTATATAGATTTCTTGGAAATGCATGGAAATAAAATTCTCCTTGAAAAAATTAATGCTTAAAAAAATATTCTCTTTATTTTTAATTTTCAAGTGCCTATTTCTAAATCTTGGAGCCTCAAATCTTAGAAAAAATGTGAAAAGCCAGGTTCTCACGAAATTTCAAGACTTTTTCTTTTTCACGGCTTTTTTAAGATATGTCGGAGTCGAAACAAAGAAAATAAGTTTACTTGATCATCCTTGAAAAGGCAAGAAGAAGCTTGCGTATCCCTGAAAAGTTGCCGACTATTAACAGTTCGAAAAAAATTTACCACGAAATGTCGTTCAGAAGCTTCAGCTTTAGGACCATTTTTAATTTAGGAAAAACAGCTTTCTTGAAATTTCTGACGAGCTAAAAGCTGAAAGACAGCATAGGTTATATATATAAATTTTTTTGCATAGAAGTATTATCCTTTTCCAGACTATTCATCCTTCCCTACTACATCGGCGCGTTCGTCGACCAATCCCTGGCGTTCAATCGAAGACGTGACGACAAGGCGAAAATCAAGGCCGAAGACCTGGAATTTGACCAGGAGGACTCCTCGTTGACCTATGAGACGATTCCGGGACTTCAAGGCAAGGCCCCGCCGTCGGTTTGCTCGGCGAGCAGCAGCAAACTGGAGAATGGACTCATTCGGTAGGGGTTTTAGGGAATTCATTGAGTTAGGTCTCTTCAGAGAATCATTTTCGGAATAGATACGATAAAGCTTTTTCATCTTTTCAACTTTTATTTTTTAGCCTTTTGCGATTTTGCAGAAAAGGGACAATTTTTAGACTTTCGGAAGCCTTGGCTTCGAAAATTAACTAAATGTGTAAGCCGAACTGAAGGAGGAGCAAAATGTTCGCGAATTATCTTTGCGTCTTTTTAAAAAAAAAACCTTTCGAGTAGTCCCTTGAAGAAATGTAACAGGAACCTCAAAAGGACCTACTAAAGCTTTAGGCTCTTATTGGACCGCTCAACTCAGAAATCTCCATAGAGAACCCCAATTTTTGAATTCTTATAGGTATCTCAAAACAACCCCTTATAATGGTCTTGAAAACACAAAAACCCTTTGGGGACCACTCCAAAGTTTTCAGTTAAGAGCGGTTTTGAACTACAATGACGTCATTGTCGCATCACAGTATGAAGAAACTCTTTCAGAGACAGCGCATCGTCGGCTGACGCCATCACGAAGATCTACGCGTGCGCGACGATGTGGCACGAGACGCCCCACGAGATGACGTGCATGCTGAAGAGTATCTTCCGGCTCGACGAGGACCAGTGCGCCAGGAGAAACGCACAGAAGTACCTCAAGGTGGCTCTTGGAGTCTTGAACGTTTATCGAGATCTTTTTTCTTGCAATTGTTTTGAACTTTCTAATTCAAAAAAGAAGAAAAATTACTTTTTTATTATCATTTTTTTTTTTTGCCAAATTTGCCTTATCCTAGTTTTTTTGAGATCAAAATTTTGAAGAAAAAAAGGCGCGCGGCAACTGAGGGGCCAGAATTGAGTTCCGTCTATGCAAAGTACAATTTATATATATATTTTTCCTAAACTACAATGTATTCTATTCAAAGTTAAGTTGAAGCAAAAAAACACTACTGACACGTCTGTATCTCTTTGTTTCGGATACTTTTTTTCGCCAGAAATCTTTATTCGGCACTGTAAAATGATGAAAAATATAATCTCAATGCAAATTTGCTTTTTCCTTTTTCGAAGCTGAGTTTTCACTATTTTTATTTTTTTAGATTAATTCTCATCGTATTCTCATTAAATGTTGTAACTATTTGACGTTTTTTCTTTCAAAGCTCGAAAATGGTTAAAAAGCATTTATTCTCAACAAAAGTTACCATAATTTGTATCAGCCATCCATAAAGCTATTCTGATTATTTTTTGTTTTTCTTTCTTATAATTCGTCTCTTGAAGGTGATCGACCCGGACTACTACGAATTTGAAGCTCACATCTTTGTCGACGACGCTTTTGACGTTAACGAATATGGCGAGCCACAAATCAACAAGTTTGTCCGGCAAATTGTCGAGGTCATGGATCAGGCTGCAAGGTATTCATAAAAAAAATGAAAATGTATTATCATCATCTATTTCAGTGCTGTCCACCAAACGCACATGAGGCTGAAGCCGCCGAAGAAGGCCAAAACGCCGTATGGAGGAAAACTTTGCTACATCATGCCCGGAAAGAACAAATTGACGATTCATTTGAAGGACAAGAACAAGATCCGGAACAGGAAACGGTGGAGTCAGGTGAGACAGGACAGAGAGAACAGTGGCGGCTTGCAGAGACGCTAGAGAAGCTAAAGTGTCTTAGTTGTCTGAAGTCTCTTCAGGCTGTCGTTGATCTGGGAAAGCGAACGAGAAGGCAAAGTGAGAGAATAGGGCTATTGAAGAGAAAGCGGAGACGTTAGATTTTCCTGATTGTCTGGCGTCTCTTCAGGCCGTCGTTGATCTCCCGAAAAAAAAAGAGAAAGACGATTGCTAATTAGAAAATATGAGAGAAGTTAGACTTTTTGGGTTGCCTGGAGTTAAATAATTTGGAACGATCATAAATCACTATGTTTCCGAAATTTGTGGAATTTTTTTTGAATCGATATCATTCCAGGTGATGTACCTGTACTACCTGCTCGGCTACAGACTAATGATGAAGGTCGATGATCCGGCAAGAAAGGTAGCTTTTATAGAAAAAGAAGAAAAATAATGGTTTTTTCAGGAAGTTATATCGGAGAACACTTTCATCTTGACGCTCGATGGCGACGTCGACTTCACGCCGTCTTGTGTTCATCTACTGGTCGACTTGATGAAGAAGAATCGGAGACTCGGCGCTGCTTGTGGACGGATTCATCCCCGTGGCAGTGGATTGATGGTTTAGGCTTATTTTTTTGAAAATAAAATGGAAATATTATAAAAATTGGACCGAAAATTAGCGTTTAAGAAGCGAATAAGTGCGATGTAAAGAAGTGGTTTAAGTTTTTCATTTTTTTCCAGAACCGTCGGTTTTTTTCTTGACAATAGTTAGAAAGAATAGTTTTTTCAAAATTACCTGAAAAAAATTAAGCTCCCAGACCTATAAATGAAACTTTAGATAAGTTCCTGAAGTTGTATAAATGTCCCGTGTGATGAAACGTATTCCAATGCCCAAGATTCATTAACTTTTATTGAAATCGGGTCAATCTTTAGAAACTAAATTTCAAAAATTAATGAAAATAACTGAAAGTTTTTGTTCTTTAAAGAAATTCGTTGAAAGATTCGTCTTTTAGCTGTAAGAGGATGTGAATTGCTAAAGTTTCCGACATACTGAAAGAAAAGTCGATAAGTTTCGAGCCTATTGCAAGGAATTTTTTGCAGGTTTGGTACCAAAAGTTCGAGTACGCGATCGGACATTGGCTGCAAAAGGCGACGGAGCACATGATCGGCTGCGTGATGTGCTCTCCGGGATGTTTCTCTCTTTTCCGAAGCTACGCCCTGATGGACGACAACGTGACCAGAAAGTGATTGATTGCTATTTTTGCACAAAAAAAAATCAAGTGCATCAAAGGAAAAGTTCTTACTGACCGACTCGATATAGCTAGTTTACGGCTGGCTTGAGCCATCGAAAAAAGGGTCCTGAGACGATTAGAAAAGAGATATTTCCTGGCAGGTGGAGAACGCAGACAGGCCCCGCTCCTTAGCGTCTCAAGCCATAGTTTTCAGAGCTTGATCTCCTGGTAATATTGCAAGTCTATGCCGTGTTCATTTGTTCACTGTTTGCAAATTGACGCTTTATTTGTATTAAGTGATTACGCGAAATACGAAAATTAAAATCTTGAGAGCCGTGAAAAAATTGGGTCATACAATGAAATGGCCTTTTTACGCGCTTAATCAAAATAAGTCGCGTAACAATTTTAAACGAATGTCAAATAATTCTTTGAACATGGCAAAAAACCTCCAGATTTTTTGATCGTATTCCCAAACTCAAAAAAAAAAGGAACTTTTAGGTACGCCTCAAAGTCCAACGAACCCCTGGACTACATCCAATACGATCAGGGCGAGGATCGATGGCTCTGCACATTGTTGCTCCAACGAGGATATCGGTGAGAAATTATGAAGTCATCAAATCAAGTCTTCTGATTCAGCGTTGAGTACTGCGCCGCTTCGGATGCTCTCACTTTCGCGCCGGAAGGCTTCAACGAGTTCTTCAACCAACGTCGTCGCTGGATCCCGTCCACGATTGCCAACATCTACGACCTGCTCAAGGACTACAAGAATGTAGTCAGCGTCAACGAGAGCATCTCCATTTGGTAGGAAGAAAAATATTGGCCTTCCTTATAATATTTTTTTCCAAAGCTAGAATATTTTTTATTCGATTCACTTCGACTAGTCTGACCTCTCTGCGCTCTCTTTTCTCTCAACGGCGAGGTCAGACTGTTGCAAGTTCTGATGAATGACATATCTGGTCAGATAATAATGATGGAACTTCAAAAGAAGTTTTCATAATCATAAAAAGTCAACCTTTCCAGGTACATTGTCTACCAGCTGGTGATGCTGATCTCGTCGATTTTGGGTCCCGGCACGATCTTCCTCATGGTCGTCGGAGCCATCAGCATCTCGTTCGGCATCGATACTGTCTGGAGTCTGCTCATCGTGACGATCCCCGTCACCTTCTTCTGCATCGTCTGCCTCACCGCAAAACAGGATAAACAAGTTGGAGCTGGAGCAGTCCGAGAAAAATCAATAACTTGCTCAGTTGGTCGTAGCGATGGTGATCGGAAACTTGTTTGCGATGCTCATGACGGCCGTCATTGTCGGAACCTCGTTGCAGATTCAGAAGGACGGAATTTTATCGCCTCACTCGATTTTCTTGTTCGCAGTTATTACAAGGTGATTTTTTGAGGTGTTGAAGCAAACTTAGTACCTTTACAAGGTAGCTGATAACTTGGAAATGGGCCGAAAATCATGATCTGATTGGTTCTCACTGGTGACTTGAAGGGCGGTACTCTGATCCCCTCGATGTCAAGTCGCGGTGAACGTACTTTTCAAGGAGCCTCTATCCGGATTATAATATAACCAAAATTTGAAGCTAAAAGCGGTGTGAGAAATTATTTTCCGAAAAAAAAAGTCCGAATCTAGTTTCCTCGGAGGCTTCCAGTTTTGATTAGAGAAGTGCTCGTTAACACAAACCGAACCTTTTTGAGTATTCTTAGTGATCCCTTCAGCAGATCTCTTAAGTGTGCATCACAAAAGTTCAGAAACGTCCGGTTCCGAGGACTCTAAAGTAGGTTGGAAGCTTCAGCAGGCCTCCAGAAATCGAATTCTTTTCATTTTCTAAGTAGCTTTTTTTTTCGACTCTTCAACATTTTTTTTTCAGTTTCATGACGGCTGCGATGCTTCATCCTCTGGAATTCACTTGTATCATCCCTGGTGCCATTTATTTCCTCGCCATTCCTTGTATGTACATGCTCCTGCCCATCTACAGTCTCTGCAATCTCAACACGGTTCGAAAATCAGAACCAATAAAAGAATGAAAGTTGCGTTTAAGGTCACCTGGGGAACGAGAGAAGATCCGCGAGCCGATGAAAAGAACGACTTGGCGAAAAAACAGAAAGACCGGATCGATGGGATCGAGGCTGGCGGGGTAGGTCTTGAGAGGAAAATTGGAAATTCCGAGGAGTTTACTGTAATGCAGAAAGAGAGATAAAGAAGCTCGATGATACTGTGTTTCGGTAGAGCCACTTCAATATGGCAAAATTAATTTTTCCGAGCAGTTTTATGGACCACTTAAGAGTGCTGACGCCGCTAAAGTTGCTATTAAAAATTCTCAGAAACGTCCGGGGCGCGTTGCCAAGGTCCGAGATAGGGAAGTAGAATTACTGTAGTGCGATGGAGCTACTTTAACGGACACGTTGATCGATTTTTATTTTTTCAAACAAGTTGGACCAATAGTTTGAGCGTACAAAAAAATCTAACAAAATTGAACTTGATCCACCTCGGCGTTTGAAAATTGAGCTTCTTGATTTGTTTTAATGATATCTATTTTTTTTACAGATCACTAAAGACGATGGTTTTGCTGATGGATGTAGTCGACTGCTCTGCTGCCTGCCGAATAATCGGGTGGACCCTATGGTTGGCCCTGAAAAAATTCAGTTATTATCAAATGTTTTGAGACGGTCGTGATAAACGAGAAGCTGAACGATATCACGAAAAAGCTGGAGCGGCTGGAAAGAAAGCAACAGCCCGTCTTAGGAAGAAGGTAGCTTAGAAAAAAAGATGAATTTGGGGCTCAACAATTGAAAAAGATGTCAGTTGACTTGTATTCCATGATTCAAAGACTAAAAAGGAAAATTTTCGAAGTCTCTGAGTTTTTTTTTAATAATTTGCATCGTTTTAATGGAGTTTCAAAAATTTAACGTTTATTCTGGCTTTGAATTTGAATTCAGAGCTTTTGAAGAAAATTATGAATTCTCATCGGTTCAAAAAGAATCTTTGTTAATCAATTTTCGAAAAAAACCAATCCAATCGTAAAAAAAAGTCCTGAGAAGATTAAAAGAGAGACATTGCGTGGTTGGTGGAGAGCGCAGACAGACCACGCCTCTTTGCGTCCCAAGCTAGCCGTGAATCGGCTATATCTTCTGAAACCGATCTCAATCCACTCAATTATTAAAAAATTTTCAGAGCGTCGATTCTGTCCAGCACTGGAGGTACGGTCCAGGCGGACAAGTGCTCAGAAGCCGATGAAGATGAACAGGTAAATTGAGAGTTTCCGTGATCCCTTTTGGATAAATATGATCATTTTTCTGCTGGGAAGCCTCTAGACAAAGAAATTTGGAGGAACAACGAAAATTTGACGTTGGTGATGAGATTTTTGGATTCATACTTCTTCCAAAACTAATGAGAAACGCCAATATATCAAGAGCAATAATTTTTATTCAACTCCAGGCTGAACTGGAAGACGCCCTGGAGATGTCCAACCAGTCGCACGCCGCCAAAAAGAACCAAAAATGGAAGCAGACACAGAGCGAGGCCTGGCTCAGCGACAAGTATCTTCAGAGGTTTCGATGAATTTCAGAACTAATTCTGATTTTTGCTCTCAGAGCTGAGCGGGAGTTCATCGAGCCCGAGGAGGAGAACTTCTGGAATGACGTCATCGACAAGTACCTGTTCCCTCTTTCGATGGACAGCAAGGAGATGGAGCGGATCAGGGCCGGACTTTTGGAACTTCGCAATCGAGTAAAAATTCTTGCTTTCGTCAAGCTGGTCGCATTTAGAATGGCTCAAACTTGAATTTTTTTCTTTGCGGATTTAAATTAACAGTTTTTCAAATGATTGAGAATTTTGAGTCTCAATTTAAAAATCTATTTTTCACAGTGGGTTTTTCCGAAACTCTGCCTGAACTTTTTAAAAAATGATCCATATTTCATCAATTCTAGGTAACTGCCGGCTTCTTCATGCTCAACATCGTCTTCATCATCGTCGTCCTCGTCCTCCAGCTCCAAAAAGACTGTCTCCACATCGAATGGCCTCTTGGACCCAAGTTTAACCACACGGTTCGGCTCTGCAACGGCGATTCCAAGGAGGTGTGAGAAGGGGTTCGAACTCAGTGAAAATAAGTTTCTCAGGAAGTCTGGAAGATGACGCGACTGCAGCTAGAGCCGATCGGACTCGTCTTCCTCCTCTTCTTCATGAGCATCCTCGTGATCCAGTTCCTGGCGATGCTCTGCCATCGATTCGGCACCCTGGCGCACATCATCGCCTCGACGGAGCTCTTCTGCTTCCGCAAGACCATCGACAAGCTCAGCGAAGACGAGCTCGTTGTCCAGAACGCCGTCGAAATCGCCCGGGAACTGCAGGCAATCCGCGGCGTCGATGAGCACAACCAGGAGACTGAGGTATGTCATTTCATGGAGTCTACGTCTAAATCTTCGAGCGTGAGTCTGAAAAATCACAAGAGCCTTCGAGAATAAGGGAGTAGAGCGTTCAAAACTCGTTATCTCTCTTCATGGAGCCGAAAATTAAAGTTTGATTCAGCCTGGCGAAGACCGTGGGATCTCACGTCGACGCGTCGTTCAGAACCTCGAGTCGTCACGGAGGTCGATGATGAAGCGGAAGACGGAGACACTCGACGCCGCCTTCAAAAAGAGGTCACTTTAGAGGCTATTTTAGTGGTCGATTGAAGATTTTCGCTTCTGTTGGATACTTCATTTAATTACCGCTGGAAGTTCGACTTTGATTCGTCCCGTTCAGCTCCTAATTGATGAAATACCTCTATAGTTATCAATCAGCCCATAAAGGAGTTTTTTTTTCCGATCTCGAAAGTGACCACTTTAGTTCTCTAGGAGGCTAGGTGACGCCATAAGGGCTTTTCTGAAAGTTTTTATCATTTTTTCAGCATTGACACCGAGTGTTATTCTTTCTTAAGGGATTACTTCACATCAACGAAAAAAAAACTGCTTAAGTGACTTCTCAAACAATTTTTTGTTCCAGGTTCTTTGCGCTGTCGAGTGAGGGACAGCTGGAGCCGGGCTTTTCGTCGCGCGACAACACCAAACGGCTCACCCTCCGGAAAGGCACGATCCGAGCGCTGGAGCATCGGAGAGACTCCTTATTCGGCACCTTGGACAATCGGAAGGTTAGTTCTGGGTTTTTTTAACGACTTGACTCCTGCGGCTACTCTATGATCGACACCACCATCCAGGGCCAAGACGACGTCGACGGCGCCGGCGCCAGCGTCCGCGGTCCGGCACAGCGACGGCTCGAGCGGCTCTTTACGGCGCAGCAGGAGCAAAGTCCAGGCGAAGGCCGTCGTCGGTCCGGCAATCCATCCTGGGACAAGCCTGGCGACGTCGAACTCCGACGCTTCTGAAGACCCAAAGAAAAGCTCATCTTTCCTCCTCCTTACCTTATGATCCTCAACACTCTGGTCACGCCCAGAATCTTGTTTGTTTCGTTCAAATCGTCTTGTCTTTCACTCATTTGTTAATTTATTACACCTATTTATTCTAGTATCAAATACACCCGCCAAAACTAGTCGAAACGTTGCTCCAACCCCCTTTTTCCCGATGTGTCTTTCGATAAAAGAAGTCATAATTTATTTTTCTAGTTTTCCTTGAGAAAAAGAACATAACTCGTTTTTTTCTTTTTTGAAGTGGAACAATACGATTTTGCAATGTAAAATACTTTCTTCAGTTGCGAAAGGAAGCTGAAGGGCCTGCTTGAGCGTTTTTCGGGCCCCATACAAACTTCATCAAGATATTCGCATTTTGAGAAGGCTCTGAAGAAAGAAAACCGGAATTTTTTCTTTGGGATACAACTGACCAGGTCTTTCAGGAGAGTCGGAGTCACAGAGAAGCTGATAAAATAAGTCACTTGGTCTTTTCCCTAGCTTTCCATTTATATAGGAATTCAAGCGTTTGCACCAACCGAGAAGATGTCATAAAGATTTTCAGCTTAAATCTCCACTTTTTCCTTGAACCAGATGATATGATAATGAATCGATAGGGCGAAACGGGACAAATCTGAAAATATAGTTTAATTCCCGATAACTTATCAGAAAATCGAGTTACAAGCTTAGACGAAAATGAAGCTTCTGGATAGAGCTCAATCAGTTAATAACTTTTGTCATTCGAAAGCTAACGTTGAGACGAATCGAATGATATGCTTGGCTAAGCTGTAGCTGCTCTGGGAGTCGAGATATAAGCCTCCAAACTTCTCCAAAAAATTAAAATTGCGCGTCTGATGAAACGCGTTGACCGAGGTTGAGTGTCGGGTCAAACGCTCGTCTGAGGCTCTTATCGGTGTGGTTTCATCGCGAAAAGGGAAAAGCTCAAAAAAAAGTTGGTTTTTTTCAACTTTTTTCCATTGGAATCGTTAGAGCAGCTTCTATGTGGTACTGTTATCATATCCGTTAGGAGGGAGAAGCTCAAGAGCTGGGTAAAAAATGGCTCCGAAAAACAGGCACTTTTTGGGCTTTCAGGCGTCATAACTTCGTTCATTTTGAAGTTACAGAAAAGCTAATTATATCAATCGATTTGTCTCGTTATCCGCTTTCTAATGATGTAGGACTTCAAGATCTTCCATCAACCTGTGTGACGTCATGAAATTTCCCAGCTTACATCTCAGCTTTTTTCGCAACCGGATGATATGACATTCAATCGATAGAGCGTCTTGAGACGAATTCGGTGACATATCTTGTTCACTGATAAATTATCACAACTCTGAGTTTTAAGCTTTGGCGAGTCTGAAGCTTCCGGATGAAGCTGAATCTGGTAATGTTATATGTCGTTAAAAAGCTGACGTTGAGACGAGTCGACTGATATAATCAGTTAAGCTGTAACTTCAAAATGAACGAAGTTATGACGCCTGAAAGCCCAAAAAGTGCGTGTTTTTCGGAGCCGTTTTTTACCCAATTCTTGAGCTTTTCCCTCCAAACGGATATGATAACAGTACCATATAGAAGCTGCTCTATCGATTCCACTGGAAAAAAGTTTAAAAAAACCAATTTTTTTTTGAGCTTTTCCTTTTTCGCGATGAAACCACACCGATGAGAGCCTCAGACGAGCACTTGACCCGACGCTCAACCTCGGTCAACGCGTTTCATCAGACGCGCAATTTTATTTTTTTTAGAGATTTTTGAACGCTTATATCTCGGCTTTCAGGGTAGCTACAGCTTATCTGATTATATCATTCGATTCGTCTCAAAGTCGGCTTTCGAATGATGAAGGTCATCAACTGATTGAGCTCCATCCAGAAGCTTCAAACTTATCTGAGCTTGTAACTCGATGGTCTGATAAGTTATCGGAAATCAAACATTACTATTATATTAATCTCGAGGCACTCTATCGATTGATTATCATATCATCCGGTTTGAGCGAAAAGCTGAGATGTAAGCTGAAAATATTTATGACATCATCCCGGTTGATGCAAACGCTTGAAGTCCTATATCATTGAAAAGCTGATAACGAGACAAATCCATCAACATAATTAGCTTCTCTGTAGCTTCAAAATGAACGAAGTTATGACGCCTGAAAGTCCAAAAAGTGCGTCTTTTTCGGACCCCTTTTATACCCGACTTTTGAGCTTTCCCCTCCAACGGATATGATAACAGTACCATATAGAAGCTGCTCAATCGATTCCACTAAAAAAAAGTTGAAAAAAACAAATTTTTTTTGAGCTTTTCCCTTTTCGCGATGAAACCACACCGATGAGAGCCTCAGACGAACATTTGACCCGACGCTCAACCTCGGTCAACGCGTTTTATCAGACGCGCAATTTTAATTTTTAGGAGAAGTTTGGAGGCTTATATTTCGACTCCCAGAGCAGCTCCAGCTTATCTGATTATATCAATCGGTTTTTTTTTTGACGTCAGCTTTCGAATGATATAGGTATTCAACTGATTGAGCTTCATCCGGAAGCTTCGTTTCTGTCTAAGCTTGTATAGTCAATGTTTCCCGACTTGAAAGGTGATATGGGCTGGTTGGCAAGGGCGAGGTGTTGCGTGTGCGACGCGGCTATTTGGCGGCGAGCCAAAATTCAAATGTGGGAGACAATTTGGAAAATTCGGCCACCGCTTTTTTATTTCCTTTTTTCTTTTTCTTGTTCTGTTTTTATAATGTTTTCGCAAATTATTTGCTTCTGTGAATTTTATTTGAACCAATAATCGTGTTTTTCGCACAAACAACAGTTTCTTCAAGTTGATCGTTGCTCATTCATTTGTCGCAAAATATGAATTTTTTCACTTATGATTCGGTGCCGTGAAAAATTTACTGTATTTATTCATTGATGATACTTTTTCAAACAAAGCAAAATACGATTCAATAATTTCAAAAAAACTCAGAAGTCGAGGGTTTCACATCAACAAGAAGCGATTTTCACTAAAGGTCATGGTTTTTTCTCAAATTCATTCATTCTTTTTTCTTGAATGCAGTGGAAACCTTTAGAAGCACGATTTGCGGAGTGCTGCGAAGTATTTTATCGAATTATTAACAATCTTGAAAAAAGGTTTTTTTCATGGAGTCGGTTCACCTTCTGAATTGAAGAACTTCAGGATTCCTGCAGTGATTTTTCGAAATGGAGAGAGAAGATGACGAGTCGCGGACGATTACCAAGGTTTGCGAGTTTTCGTCTTTGTTCTTTTTCTGTTTTTGGTTTAACTGTTCTTCCAGTGTATAACTAAGAATCCTTTCAGTTAATACTTACTTTTTCCTAAAAAAAAAGTTCGTAAATATATTTTGTTCACCACGAAAATTTTACATTAACGAACATGACATTTTTCAAGGTTAATTTTTTTTTCTTTATGTAATTAATACTACTTTTCAGGGAATATCATGAAGTCTCTCTTTTGTACTGTCTACATCAGCATCCTCACAACGTTTTGCTAATCTGTTATTTTGTTTCGCCTTCCAATAAACTTGTTTAAAAGGTTCTTGAAATTGTTCTAACGAGAATAAATCGACGGAAACGGAGAGTAATTGATGATGAATTAAATCACGGAAACAGCTTTTTGACGCCGCTGAAGTGGACAATGATTAAAGCGAGTGTTAGATGAACAACGAAACTACACGGATAATATGATAAGTCAATAAAAAGTATAACCAAAACATTTCAAATGAAAAATTTCTTCAAACGGCAACCTTTTTTAAAGGATATTGTTAGAAAATAGAAACAGGTCATCACAACGCATTTTTCTAAACCGTAGAAATCAAGAAAAATTATACATACACAGAACGTTTTGTTATTTGTGGAATTCGTTAATGCCGTTTGAATCCAAGAAACCTCGCCTCGACAAAAATCCAGTGTCCAAAGAAGGTATAGAGTTATCTATTCTGTAAAAACTTCTTTATATTGATGCCGCTCTATAAAATGCTGAAAAAAATGACAATGAGAAATTTCAACAAAAAAATTGAAACAAACCTGTTTGCCATCAACGAAGTGTTTTTCTTTCAAACACATAGCTTCTCACTCATTCTTTCTTTTTCTCACGACCTGCAATCAAACATAATGGAGAAATTATAAAAAAATGTTAGAGGTTTGAAATTGAGAAGTTCAGCAAATACGAAAGAAACAAAAAAACCAGCGATAAGTTTTTCCGAAAAATGATTCACGGTTCGCAGCACGTTTGAGAAATATTCTATGCAAAACAGACTGAAAAAGGTGTTCGCTTACAATATTACATTGAGGAAATAAAAAAATCGAAAAACATTATAAAAAAACAGAATAAGAAAAAAAGAAAAAAAAGGAAATAAAAAAAGCGGTGGCCGAACTTTCCAAATTGTCTCCCCACATTTGAATTTTGGCTCGCCGCCAACAAGCCGCGTCGCACACGCAACACCTCGCCCTTGCCAACCAGCCCATATCACCTTTCAAGTCGGGAAACATTGACTATAACTCAACAGATTTTCTGAGAAGTTATCAGGAATGCAAATGTACCGTCAGATTTTTAAAGAAGTTACAGCTTATCTAATTATATAAAACTATCTAATCATATCCTTAACATCAGTTTTCTTCTTATGCAGTTTATAAAATTTTCGAACTTCATCAAGGAAATTTTTTTTCTCTGCTCAACTCGAAGATTTCATGAAGTTGAAAATGAGCCGTATCAGTTCATTCCCCCATATCTCAGTATCAAACACCCAAAACTAAACGAAACGTCTTTTTTTTCACGTTTTTTTTTCACGATGTGCCTTACGATAAAAATGAATCAAAATTATAAAATAAGAAATTTATTACAGGAATAACAAAGAAACTCAGAATTCTCTTCTCTTTTGGCGTAGGAACCCGACCGTTTGCAATAAAATCACGAATCCTACAAATAATGAGGAAACCTGAAGGACCACTCAAAATGTATTCAGACCTTGGCGACGCGAATCGGACTTGTCGGGGCCTTCCTAGTGACCACTTTAGTAGAGTCAGAACTCTTAAGTGATCGCTAGAATTGCTCAGAAACGTCTGATTCGCGTTAGGAGTAGTTAAGAGACCCAAGCAAAATCATTACTTGGCAAGTCTGAATTTTCATTTATAAATTCCCATACGAGAAAAGAAATGTAATTTTGAGAAGTATTAAAATACCTGTTATGCAACTTGAGTGACCCCTTAAATCATTTCATAACATTGAGTGTGTTCAGATTCCCTCGGTTATTTTCTAAAGAGAAAGGATAAGCTAACAGTGAAATAACTAGAAGGGAAAGCAGCGAGGTACATGACAAACTATGAGACAAAGTAGGAAACGCTTGGAAAGTAGAGAAAAATTGCCGCCGTAGATGAGAATGTACAGAATTTACACACGTAATGGTGGAAAGCGATAGGATTGACCTTGAGGATCAGGAAAGTGAAAGGAAATGACAAAGTGTTTTGGCAAATTGTAAAGGCAAATATAAATATAAATAATGGGGGATCAGGAGGAAGAGCTGTTGAAGCTGGAACGGTCCTTGTTGAAGCGGGTCATGGTGCCGACGATGGTCGCCGACGGCTTCAGAATCGTGCAGGCCAGGTACTTGAGGTTGGAGGTCATGTCGTAGGAGAAGGGGACGCCGGTCGAGCAGGTCGACGTGAAGTGCTGGCAGTTGCTCCGGCGGATATCGTACTCCTCGAGGACAGTCTGGAGATGTTCGGCCTCCTTGATCACCTGGTCGCCGCTGCGGCACACCAGCGGGTGCGAGGCGCGGAATATCCGCGGAGGTACGTCTGCAATTCGTCAATTTGATTTAGTTTAGAAACACGAAAGTTTTCCATTTTTTGAGCCGCAAAACTTCAGTTTAGAAAAACTTTCTCAAATTTACAAGCTTTGTAAAGAATTCAAATTGATAAATTCCAACTCATTTTGAAGATCTCAATCTTGTCAACCGATAAAAGCTCATTTCGTTTAGTTTGAAAAAAATTGAAAAAGTAACGAAAAATTGATACTTTGAGCCTGAAATATAAAAATAACGAAAAATATAAGCTTCCTTGTTAAAATAAAAAGAGTCTTATTAATGGTTTATCAGGATTTTTTTATATCCTCATTCGATGAAGTTTGATTTATTTAATACTAAAAAAAGAGGAAATTTCGAAAATTTTCGAGCTGTGAACTTTTTAAAAAAATGCATTGTTATCAGGTTTTCTGAACTTTTTGTTGAAAAAATTAACTCTTGCGACCATACCTGTGACTTCGACAAGGGCATAAACATATTCCATCCAGGAATCGAGGAGGACTCTTCCCGGAACGCCGCTGAACACCGCCAACGCCTCAGCCAACGACTCGCTTTCTTCTAAAAACTTGATAGTTTCCTATATTTATTTTCGTAGACTCACGAGGATCGCAGACAAAATGGTAGACTTCTCCGTCGCCGGCGTAGATGCCACTGTGGTAGAATTTGACGCCGGACAGTATCACTTCGCAGAAAAGTTCGTCGCCTGAAAGTCTGAGTTGGATAATTTTTTTATCTTAAAAAAATTGTCAGAAAATTGTACAAAAGTATGAACTTATCCCCCTTTTAATAGAAAAACTAAACAATATTTTAAAATAATCAAAGTTGAGCTTCTTAGTTTAAAAAAATGCTACTTTCCATTGGAATTGAAAAAAAAAGGAGTCAGAATTTATAAATCAACACTTTTGCTTCTAACATTGAAAACCCCCCAGAAAAAAAAAGCAATTAGAAACAATTTTAGAAGTATTACACCTTTTTCGTCAATGAATTTGTATTTTTCTATAATAATTTTCGAAAAAAAAAGTAGACCTTTTTCGAGGAAGAGATCCTGATTGGCGTGTACTTCGACGGGGACGAGGTCCAGTTGGATCCACTCTTTCCCCAGGGGAATTGTGCAACCGAGCGGCTGGTCTCGCAACGAAAACATGCCCGGCCGGCTGAGTTCCATCACAAGTCGGTCGATGAAATCTCTTGATTCGGCTAAGACTTGCGTCCCGGAAATCTGAAGCATCATTTATATAACAAACTGAAATTAATGAAAGAACCTTGAAAGGCGCAGAAATAAAAGGTCTATTCCTCATGTTTGCTGTGATCATCAGGGTCTGAAAAATATTATTTTTATCGATTCGGTTACGGAAATTTTTTTATTATTCATTAACCTCATCTGATACTTAAATAAGATTCCCTTCATCATAACAATCAGAACTTCGAAAAAAAGAGAAAAACATGATTTACAGAAAAAAGGATAAATTGTAGAACTGAATCTCATTTTCCACTTCACTAATAAAAAAAACTCCGGAGAAGTTTCTTTTTTCCACTAATGTCTCTTTTTCTAAATTAAAAAGAACGTTGAGTATCGAAAAAATTTAGAAATTTTCAACTTGGGTATCTGAATTCGAGTTATCAAAATTATTTTCCTTTTTTAAATTCAGTAAGAAAAAGTCTCTTGGAACAGAGGTAAACTTTTACTCAAAAGATGAATTCCAATCTCAAGAAATCTGTTCTGTTATGACTCAATTTTCAAACACCCGAAAAGCAACAAGAAAGTCGAAAAAGATCAAACACAAACGAAAAAATAACTGAAAAGGCCACTTTATTCGCTTTAGGAACAACATTCCCTCGACGGATCCGTACCGAGTAGCCTCCCAAGAAGCGTTTCCTCGAGACCAGAACGTAATGCTGGCCGAGGGCGGTGGTCCCGAATCGGGAATACACACAGGAATCGCCGAACTCGCTGAAGACCGACGCCGCCAGCAGAATCCGGATGTTCTCCGGATCCTCGCCGCCGAGTGACGTCGTTGATGACGACGCCGACGTCATGAGTAACCCTGCAGATGACGTCATTTGATTCAAACTTTCAAGGAAAGAAAATTGGCGCGAAAAGGAAATTAAGAAAAAGAGATCTTTATCGTTTCTTGTTCGTCATTTAATAGCCCCGATTTGCTCGGGTAGATTACTTTTAAAAGTTCGGACCGTCAAAAAGGGAAAAAATTCTATTCAAGAACAAAAATCTGAATCGAATCTACCACAAACAAAAGTTCTGAATATCTCAAAGCGAACGTGAAAAAAATTCCCTCTCAAAAAATTGCGTACCACGCGTGATTGTAATTGAACGAATAAATTCGAAAGAACAACCATTCAAAATATCCAATTTATCGGGGCAAAAAACCATTTTTCCACAAAAACGATCGAAAATTTCAACAAAACTCGTAAAAAAGACGAAATTCCCGTTCACAAACATAAAACGCAACGTGTAACGACGGAATAAAACACCTGGTAGCGAGAGGGGAATACATAAAATTGGATCGTGTGAAAAAAAAGGGAAGAAAAAAAATGTGTGTGGGTGGGAGTCGAAACCATTCATGTACACTTTTGGATGTGACACGATAAAAGTATCAAAATGATAAGGGAGGGCAGTCGTGTGATAGCTTATCACTGGAAAATCAGGAGGTAATCGCTTTATTTCGGATGGTCATTACAAAATGATACCATTAAAAAAAACTTTAATTTGAAAAAATTATTTTGAACCGACTCGGCAAAACGGGATAACTCCTCAAAAAAAAACTTTTCAACTCAATTTTAAATTTCTTTTTTTTCATCTTTTATCAAGAATAAGCTGGAAAGCACCTAGAAAAATTCCAAAACCCTCTAAGGCTTTGAAAAAGTTTCTCGAAAACCTTTTTCCATTTTTTTAAAAAGATCTTTTCAGCTTCTTCTGAGAGTCCTTCAGAGACTGTTTCAAAAAATCGCCAAAGATACACTTTCAGGATGAGAAAACCCACCGAAATTTCGCTTTTTGCTCCAAATATCAGAGGAAACCTCCGGAAAAGGCAATTCTGAGAAAGAAAAAAAACGTTTGATGATCCATCTTTTTGAGCCTTATTCTTCCCATATTTTACCCGGAAAATTCTAGGTCCATAAATTGAGAGCAGAAAATAACTAGGTGGAAGAAAAGGAAAAAGAGGAAATTTATGCGAATGACCACGTTCCGTCTCTCCTTCCTTTTACGATCCATTGAAAGGCGGCCACTCGAAACGTATATTTGTTTGAGAGCGTGTTGCTTTCACACGAATAATACTGGTAAAGAAGGGAGGGAAATAAAGAAAAAATCCTTCATTTTGCAGGGAAACTTTCGCCTTGGCACATTAATTAAGACGTCTGCGTTTCGAGGCCGAAAAAAGGCAAGGAGAAAAAAAACTTTCCTTCCTCGATCTGAAACTAATTAATTTTCGCCTCGTCATCTCTGTTCATCTCGTTTCACTTTTGACTTTTGATCAAATTTCTAGTTTCAGAGATCGCTATCGAACTGATTGACGTAGAGATAAGTTGGAAAAGCGAAAAAACTTTGCCGCCAAAGAGAAGCTTTTATAATCGCTGAGGCATATTTGAAGTAAAAAGAAAGGCTCCTTGAGCCCTTCAAAGCTTTTTTTTTCTGAAAATTACCTTTTTGGATTTTTCAGCCTTTTTTCCCTTTTTACTTATAAAGTTTTTCCACAGATTGGGGGCCAAAAAAACGAGAATCAGCATTTTTTTCCTATGAAATGACTCCAATTTCTGCCGTCGTCCATTCAAAAAAAACCTTTATTCAGTCTCTGAAGGCGCATTGCGCAAACTTCGAAAAATTTCTTGGAAAGAAACTCGTACAGAATAAAATTAAATGATATAGAAAAATGAAACTCTATAGAAATCCTCCCTGTACGTTCAATTCTCCAGAAATTTATTCTAAAGAGTATGAAAAATTCGAATTTCAAGAAAAAAAAAAAGACGAATTGCTGACCTTTTTTTCCATATATTTTCCTTTTTTAATTTTTAATCAGTTCTAAAAACAGAAACCAAGCCAAAAAAGGAAAATTAAGGAAGGACCGGAGACGTGTGATATATAACGGTGCAGGCAGACCAACTGATGAATAATGTGGGACGACGGGGAAATATGAGTCATATCAACCCCCAAACTCGGCTCTTTTACGAAATTGCTGTACATTTGATTCTAGTACAAAAATGAATCCTCTGGAAGAAACATTCTTATTCCCCTTACAGATAAAGCAGTGGAAATGAAGCAGAATCTTTTAAAAATGAATTGTGGAAAAAGAAAACTTCTTGAAGACTTTTTATAAAAAAGTTTATATAGTAAAAGTAAAAAAAAATGAATGAACAAAAATTTCAAGGAAACGCGGAAAACTTTTTTAAAAGGTGCGCAAAAAATCGAAAAAGTGAGAACCAGAAACTTTTTGAAAGATTTTTCTCTTTTTTCAAAGGTCTTTTGAAATTCGCCTATTTGAAAAGGAAGCATGAAGATCAATCTCATTTTCCATTTGATATTCGAAAGGAAGAAACCTATTGAATGTCCAGAAAGGGGAAGAGGAAGGTAAAAGAGTATTATGACAGCCGACGGTCAGCCTTATTTGCCTAGACCAATCTTTTCCCTCCGGTCACCTTCACAGGTCAAATCGGCACTCATACGCACTGGCATGACGCATTATACATCACTAGGTACTCGTGAACAAATATGAAAGATAAAAAAAAGGAGAAAAGCTCACATCTTTCAAGCCAAACGTGAAAACGACACCATTAAATGGCGTCATGGCTAAAAATCGGAGGAGGAAAATGAAGATAATTACAGGTTCCGACAAAAATAGTTCCGAGTGTGGGGGACTAATCTAAATATCAAGCAAGATGCGGACACAAAAAGAAGAAGAAGAATTGAGTAAACATTCAATTGAAATCCGCATTGTTTTGTAGAGCGCCGTTTGAGAGAAATTCTGTGTGTGTGTGTCGGACCAGAATTTTATAGTTCAAGTGTAGAAACGTCAAGGGAATATCGTAAAAAACGAGGAGAATTCCGAAGGTTGAAATGTTTAGAAATTTTCGCGAAGATTCCCTACTGAAATTTTCATTTAAAAAAAAAAGAAAACGAAACGAAAGACAGGCTGTCTAAAATGAGCATAATTTGAAAAAATAATCTATCAAGGCAAAGGGCCGTCTTCTTCCAGTCATTAACAACCTCCGCGTCTTTTAAAACCTCAGAAAAAATTTTCAAAAGTTAACTCGTGCCAAAAATTTTAACCACAGCCGGAAGCGAGAAAAATATCTCAAAGTTCAAAAAATGTTGCAAAACAGAAAATTCTCTGTTTTGATACATTTCTGTTTCTATTTGAGACATTTTCCGCTTCCCTTCTTACAGGGAAACCGTTGAAAAATGCCAGAAATTAACATAAAAGTATCTCGAAAAAAGGTCCAAATCAACGAGTGAGGGGTTAAAAAAAAGCTACAAAAGCATGTAGTTCATATATTTATCTTTGATCCGCTGCCGAAAAGTTTAAAAATGCGGAATTCATGAAAAAATGTAAAAAAAAAACACCGAAAAAGCCTCTTCTTCTTGATACTTTCTAGAAAGCCCATTCTGCTTTTTTCAACAGAAAAGCAAGGTACCTAGAAAAAATTTCGATTCCATTGAACTGCTACAAATGTACACAATAGGACAGAAAAAAAAATAAAAAGGAAAAAGAAATTCTAAAACATTGAAGCGTAAAAATACGCGCGCTGCAACATCACGTACAATTGCAGATCTAGTTCATACAGTAATCGTTTTCCAAAAAAAACTCTTTCTCCGCATTTTTGATTAGTTGATTGAGAATGCAATTTCTGAAATCAACTCGGCAAATAAGAATAAAAAAATTCAAAATGATTTCATTAAAAAAAAACTGGCTGACATTGGTTAAAACAGGAACAACTACCGACAGACATACCGCCGTGGGTTTTGTTTATTTTTGTGAACTCGCGGCGGGAGGAAAAAAAGAGAGGAAAACGAAACAGAAGAGTGGAAAAAAAAAATCAATCAGTCGAGGAGAGTCTCCCGCACAGTCCAAATGCAGTGGGCCGTATTAAAATTCGTACTGGTTTTCCGGGCGGCGATTTTCTTTCGTTTTTTTTTCTGTTTTCAATAGGTTCCCTTCCTCATTCCCACGGCGATAGAGTGAAATACTAGAGAGTACAACACATTTTTGTACTTTGGCCTGGTGAACTATTTTATGTGGTGCTCAAAGGAGCACAGACAAGCTTGATCAAGGTCTCGAAGCGAAGAGCCATTTCCATAGGTATTTCATGTCGGATAGGAGTTAAAAGGAGGCTGTGAATGGGACGAACTCTTGAAAGACTCAGAAAAACGCTTTCCGTCTCGAGATCAACACCAAATTTGTCTATTTCCCTTTGAAAAATCATAAATTTTTTGACAAATGAATATTCTTTAAGGAAAATGTACTGATCTTTTAATAGCGGCTCAAATTCAGTGAATATTAAAATATATGATTGTGAAGTCCTAAAAATTCTTGATTCAAAAAAAGAAATGGAAGACCTTGGAAAGGCGGCAGATCATATGGAATGGCTAAGCCTGGCGGATCAAACCGACCGGTTTATACAACGCTTTGAGAATTTATGATCGAATAATTTTGGAAAAAATTATCCCTTGAAAGTGATCCAACTTTTGTTTTCCAGTACCTGTCGATTTCTTCGACCCTAATTATCAAAATGAAAAGGTTTTGAACTAAAGACTGAAAGAGGTGGTTTTTCTTGAAAAAGTAAAAAAGACCCAGAGGAAGCTTTTTAGAAACATTTTCAAGACATTGTGCCGCGAAAAGTTTCGTGATCTGAGTGTATTTAAATTTAATTTTACATCAATTGACTTCTGATTCAAAAATATCGTCATTAAAATCTAGATTTTTGGTTCGGAAAATTTTTATTGGTACATAAAACGATCAAATTTGATTATTGAAAAATAAAGTTAAGAGTCAAAAGCACACGAAAAATCCAACAGACCAAAAAGAAATTTTCCCAAAGTTTTTGACCTCCGGCTTTGAGGAAGCTTCGAAAAAGCTTCTTGGGCTATATTCGCTTCTTTTTTGGAGCTTTTTGTGATTTCAGAGTATCTAAGAGACTCAAACCAGCTAACTTAACGATTATGAATTTTTCAAACGTAACGCTGAAGATGGAAATTATTTGCTTCTTGCGGAACGCGGAAACCGGCAGGCGGAAGGAAGAAACTACGGAAGTCGGAATCCCACACAACCTTGATTTCTAAACAGACTACAATAATGATAATTGGAAAAAATAAAGAAATAATGATCGATATGGACTGGATGGAGGTCCGTGCGGCAAATACACACACACACACAGAGAAACGTCGAGGCCGCAGATCTACCAATTGACCTCCTATGCCTACACAGACACAGACCCGAGGGCCGCATATTATGCACGGAGACCGGCGTTTTCCGAAACAGCTCCTTCGGTCACGTAGCAACCGGCCAATTATACATTTTTCAACAGCCAGCAACTACCCGAAAAAGATGCTTCGTCAGAACTTTTGGGAAGTATTTCAACTTTGAGTTCATTGTCGTCAGGTTCCATAACCTTTGGAAAGGTTCATCAGCGAGCTCTCAGAAATATAAAACTTGAAAAGTCCTCTGAATGCGATGAAGAGAAAAATGACAAAATGAGAAAATTTCCATGACCAAATGAACGAAACTTTTTTCTAATAGTCTTTTCTGTAGTCATTATAGGCGCAAAGCTCTTTTTTTAATTTCTAGAAAAAAACAGTTGCTTCGAAACTTTCTTGATGTCCATTAACAAAAAAATTAATTCAAAAAGATACAAGTAAAAAGATATGAAACAAATTATTTTTCGGGCAAAATTAAAAAAATAAAAAAAGGGCTTTTTTTGGTTATTTAAAAAAAGCTTTCCTAGAGTTGAAAAAAATACTTTTTTTGGGATTTTTTTGAGTTTAAGGTAAACTTTCCCTTCCTACATCGAAAATATACACGAAAAGTGGTCAGTCAAGAAAAATTCAACAAGTTATCGGAATCCTCCAAGAAGCGCACCATTAATCTTCACACAAACTCGTAAAATCCGCGGAGGGCACAGTAAAAAGCGAGAATTCTTGGACCTCTGGATGCGGCTTCAAAAAGTCGTTATTTTTGCTGTTAGCTCACGCAACCAGATTTTTTACGATGCAAAAATCTACAAACAAAATCGTAAAAAGAAGCCTGAAAAAAAAGAAACGTCTTTTCAGCTGCGCAAAAAAAAGATACTCCACGGAAATATGATACTTTCTCGTCTGGCGCAGTCTATAATTGCAGCAGCTTTTGAGGAATTATGGAAAATCCTAGTCAAATAGTGAAAACATATATTATACAATAAAAAATAATACAAACCTGAAAATTACTTTTAAAAAAATGAATTAGGTTAAGAAGACGCATAAAATACTCGAACAGAATAGATGAGATCTTGAATTTCCTTCAAAAAGTTTTCAGTTCATCTATCTTTTATGCTAGGAATTTACTTTGAAAGTGAAATAAATTAAAAAAAGTTTACGGAAAAACCAAATGCGAATTTGAGAGAGTACGGTAACGCTCTTTTGTTCATTGCGGCCGAAACAAACTTTACACGCGCAAAACTGCCCAAAACGCGTCCTTTTTTCAATTTAGTTTTTATTGCTCAAGCAAGCGCTTCATAAGTTTTAGACTGTGTAGGCTACTCGAAAATTTTTGCTGGAATGATTCAAAGTTTCAAAATCCTTGCATGGTCCAAAATATCACTGGAAGCGATCATCCGTATCAAAATCGTCAGGAAAAAGTTTTTTTCAGCAAAACATAGCTTGTTTTACTTTTGGACAAGCTATGTGTTTCTAAATAAAAAGTAACCGTTTGAAATATTCATTTAAAACAAGTTATCAAATTATTTTTTGTTGTATATTTATTTTTTGCGATTTGCAGATGAACTCGAGCAAAAGGCCTGGTGAAAGTCTCTACACTGAGGAAGAGCTGAACGGCACGACAGCTGTTAAAAAACCAAGAGAAGGTTTTTGCAAAAGGTTCCGAAAGGAATATACGATAAATTCAGATGAGGTGGCGAAAAAAGAGGAGGCGAAAAACGGCAATTTGGTCTCCGAGGCGGCGAAAACGAGTTAATTTTTCGAGCTAGCTACGTTTCTAATGACTGAAAAAGCTCACACAGGCTTGGCCGACGTTTTGCATGCTTATGGAGCCCGACGAGGGGAGCGCGAGGACATGCAGGACGCGCATTTGGCGCTGAGTAGATTCGAACTGGCCAATCTGACTTCACTGTATACCACCCGAAATGCAATTGATTTGAAACTGCAATTTGTGATGTGATCCCAGGAAGCGGTCCTCACTTTTCGCCATTTTCGACGGTCACGCCGGCGCCCGCGCCGCCGAGTTCTGCGAGAAGCGCGTCGCGGCGACGTTGAGGCAAAAGTTGAGTTCCTGTAAGTTTGTAGGGGCCAAGAATGAGTTTATCTCTTTTTTTTTTACTTTTGCTCAGGGTTTGCGGGGAAAAAACATGGAAGTCGGTTCGCTTTAGTGATCACTACAGTGACTGTTCAGTTATCACTAAAAAAGACCGACTCCTTTGTTTTTGCTTTGATAAGTCCTAGATTTCTCGTACTTTGATTGTTGAGAAACATTTTTGCAGACTCTGAACTCGCGGTGATGGAAAAAGGGCTGAAAAAGGCGTTTACGGAGAGCTTCAAAACGATCGACGAGGCTTTTCTGAATGCTGCTAGACAAACGTTTGGCTTTTGCTTGAAAAACTAACTTATCTTTGACAAATCGTCAGGAAAAGGCTTCTTTTTGAGTTATCCCTCAAGTAGAAATTACTTCCCTTAATCATTCGAACTTCATAACTTGTCTGTTTCTCGTCAGAGCCAAAAAACGATGAAAATTCAGAAGTTCCGCTTGAACAACAAAAAAAAGTATTTTTTTCTTAACATTTGGGATATTTTTTTCGTAATTTGTTCGAAAAATCCTCGCTTGATTAATTAAAGGCGCCTGGATAATTTTTCTAGAAAGTTTCGAGGCGAAAAAAATTAAGTTACAAATTTACGGGTTTTTAAACTTTCTGGGCATTTGAAACTCCAAATAAGACATTTTAAGAAATTGAAGTGCAAAAATTTGTGGGAAATGTCTTGAGAAACATTTTTTTTTTTCGGCGTTTTTGATTGCTAGAAGGAAACTTCCTATTTTTTCAATTACTTTTTTCAGAAAGCCAGTTTGGAAAGACGGTACTACAATAACGACGATGCTCGTGCTCAACAATGTTCTTTACGTTGCGAACTTGGGAGACAGCAAAGTTAGATTGTTGATTTAACTTCATTTTTTCACAAAAAAAGATTCATGGCGTGTTCAAGATTAAAAAAAAACGAATTGTTCAAAAACGCAGTTCCCAAAAAATCAGGCTTTTAGGTTTTTTTTTTCCTAAATACTGGTATTGAATAGAGCTAAGACATTCAAAACCTCTTCATTTTTCCAACAACTTTGTAAAACAATAACCACGTCCTTGTTAAGGTGTTCAGAGAAGAACCGGAAAAATGAACAGAATGTTTCCTTTTTTCCAATCAAGTTACTACGACAAGAGCGAATTTTCCATTTCCGAGTTTTTAATTTTCATTTTAAACTTTATCGAAATGGATTATAACGATCGGGAGAAGTTAAAATGCATAATGTTTTTTTAAAATTTTTCTAGAACTCGTATCAAAAATCAGAGAAGCTATTTGAAATAAAATACGCTCTCTCGTCGTAATACCTATATTAAACTCAGTTACTAGTTTTTCATAAATTCATAAATTGAAGTAAACCTTGATTTTCAGGCAGTTGTAGCGAGAACCCGTCCCGACGGCACTTTATCGGCCATTTGCCTCACCGTCGACCACAATCCGACCGTTTTCGAAGAACGGATGCGGATCCAGAAAACCGGAGCGACAGTGAAGTGATTAAGTTCAAAATTTAAAAGGCGCGAAGAGAATCAAACTTTTCCGCGCCAAAAAAATTTTTTTGATCCGCGATCTACACACATTTGAGTTTTTTCCAATTTTTTTTTGGGTTGAATGAGGTTTGGGCGTAGGCCGGTTTTAGTTTCATCAAAAACATAGTCACCTAAAATTATTTTCATGTGTTGAATTAGTTACTGTTGGACTCTAAATGTAAAATAAGCAAAAAAATTTCTGTCGTAAAAAATGTTATTATTCGTCATGAAGAAAATTTGAGTTTTTGAGCCAGGCCGGTAATTTTTCTTAAAATCTTCGAAAGGCCGGGCCGGTAGGCTGACGGGCTGGCCCTCGCACAAGCCTGTGTTGAATGCATAATTTACAAAACATACTCGGACATTGGTAACGCGAAACGGACGCTTCTGGTCATTTCTAGTGACCACTTTAGTGGCTTCAGCACTCTTAAGTGATCCCTTGAAATGCCAATGTTTAGTCGAGTTTATTTCAAATCTTCAAGTGCTGGTAAACAATAGGGCATTTAGAGATTCCGCTATTTTATTTTCTAACGCTCTCCAACTTTCGAAGATTCGAACCTAGACTCGTTCAGTTGCTGTTGAAATTTCCAAAAAATGATCAATATAAATGAGGGGGAAAATTGAAGGGATGGCCGGGTGAACGGAGTGATCGAAGTTTCGCGTTCGATCGGCGACGGACCCTTCAAGTCTCTCGGCGTCACCTGCCTGCCCGACATGAAGAAGCTCACAATGACCGAGAACGACAGGTTCTTTAGACTTTTATTTTTCTAGATCACAAAAATGACCTTTCGTCGAAAACAGGGATACATGATGAAATGGCATGCTTAAAGCTATATAGTCGAAAATATACAAATATACATCGGTTCTAGGGAACCGGTTAGAAGGGGGAAAATGATAAGGAGCTAGATCTTCTCTTGATTCTCGACTTGGGAGATCGTCTCGGGCATCTCCTTGTTCATGGTTTCTGGGAGCAGGATCCAGGAAAAGACGGCGGCGGCGATGGCCAACACGGCGAAGGGGACCACCATCGTCAGCTTTCCGTATCGTTCTACCTGGAAAATAATGTGATTTATCATCAAGTTTCAGTAGATTTGAGGCCAAAAAGTTAGCAATTTTGCTGGTAGAGACTCTGCGACCTTCCCAAAGCCTTTTCATAGCTTTTTTTTTATTGCAAAAGTTTTTTCCTTCCCGAAGCCTTTCGTGGCTATTTTTTCCACCTCAAAAGACTTTTCCAGCAGAATTTAAAAAAGAAGGCCAAATTTTTTTAAAAAGCGGCATTTTTCCGAAAAAATTAGGGAAAAGCTTGTTGATCCTAAAAGAAAAAAGAGAAAATTTCCCTGATTCTTAAAACCTTTTTGAAATTTTTTGACCCCTTAAATCTCAGTTTGAGATATTTTTCGAACTTGTGGACTACAATCTGAAAATCTCCTCTAAGCAGATCTTAAGGAGAGGAAACTTTCAGAAAATTTTTTTTTTTTTGGAAAACGAGAGGAACTTTTTGACTTTGAGGAAAAAAATCTTTCTGATTTTTCAAACCTTTTAGAGGTTTTTTTCACTTCAAACTATTGTTGGAGCTGGCAAAATTTTCTAATGCCGTGTTCAAAGTAATTTCGGCGATTTCAAAATAAACGCGTTATTCGTTTATAATGATTTCGGGAAATAGGCGAAGTTGGTATTCTGGAAAGGTGAGTCCTACAACGATATATCGTTGGATACGCATTTTTATGGTGAGTTTTACGCGCGAATTTGAAATTTCAGTAGAAAATGCCCAAATAATTCCAAAATTTTGAGTTCCCGCGAAGAAATTACGGTAAAAATGCATATTTAACGATATATCGTTGTAGGATTCATTTTTTCTTGCCATTCTCGGAATAGCAATTCTGCCTATTTCGTGAATTAATTTTAAACGAATAACGCGTCTATTTTGAAACCGCCGAAATTACTTTGAACACGGCATAAAGATTACAAACTGAACTACGAATTTCACTTCCAGGTTTTTTCGACTTTTTAATCTGAAATTCAAAATTTTTTTTTTGGGTGTAGATGAATTGAAATCAACTGAACGACGTTCGAAATAGATAATCAGTGAACTAACAAGGTAGAGAGCAATGTAGGAGGAGGTGATGGCTCCAACACGGGAAACCGTGGAACAGCAGCCGACGGCCGTGTTCCTGATCACCGTCGGGAAAAGCTCCGACGTGTAGGTGTACATGGCGGTGTACGCCAGCGTCACCGCGCCTTTCGTTACCATCATTTGGCTCATTCCGAACACGTAGGAGACTGAAATCCAGGATTATTAGCAACAAATAACTGCCAAAATTCAAAAGGGTTTGCCAATAATTTATTCTGGTGTTTTACTCATACATGCAACCGACTAGGAGAACTTTTGAAAAAATATTTCGAATACCTGCTTTTGGCGAACTAGAAGTCAAACTTGTAGCTGATCAAGTTGAAAGCATGGTCCTACGGCCCAATTGCAACATTTTTTCTGACTTCTCACTTCAAAATAGGTTCCAGAGGCCTTGCATCGAACATCAACATTTTGAACACTATTTTATACTCGAATAAAACGTACTCCTCCCTTGTCCTCATTTTTCCTTCGGTTATGCAAAAAAACTTTTTACAAATTAAAAAAATCCTAGGAATCTCGAAAGTACACCCTGAAAGGTTTTTTTCATAATCCTTCGAAAGACCTCAAAAACTTTTTAATAAATTATTTTTTTACAGTTTTTTTAAGTCAATTATTTCCTTTTTCAATACTTACTCGCCTTCTAAAAAAATGGCGTTTATAACAAAAAAATTAAATTTAAACAAAGCTCTAGAGGAGAACTTATTCAGGGTGTGGAAAATTTGAAAAATCGATAGAATTTGACGTAGGTTTTAATAATAATTATGTATTCACTCATTCATATTTTCGGGAAAAGGTTATAAGTTTCGAATTTACGTGTAAATCCCCTTTTGAGTCATCATTTTTCTATCTTTATCTTTCTTTGAGTCACCACTTTCCTATCTTTTCATCATTTCGGATCTTACCATTATCTCCCACGGCCCAGTTGAAGACGAGGGCGGTTCCGGCGACCAGCAGGCCTCCAGAAACGAGAGGTTTCCGGCCGACACGGTCGATGAGCAGATACGTGGCGATCAACGCCGGCACCTCCATGACGGCGCTGATAACGAAGTTGACGTAGAGATTTCCGCCGCCCAGGTCGCTTTTCATCGTCAGCCCGTAGTACATCATCGTCGTCACTGGCCTTCAAACTTTTTTCTTCTTTATCGGAAATTCATGTTTCTGGTGATGTAGTAAATATTTTAGCTCAATTCAAATCCAAATTTTTAGAGGATTTTCTCAATCTCTTGAAGCGGAGAAAGGTAGAAGCCGAGAAAGGTGTCTTTTTTGAGTGCGAAATAAAACCTTGATTTTGAGACATTTTCTAACTGATTGAACGAAAATTTTCATATTCGATACGATTTTCCCTCAGAAAAACGAATTTTTTTTTCAATATTTTAATGAATTCATCTCGGTTAAAAATGTTTCAGCTTCGAGATTTTAAGGTTTTTTGCAAAGATTCTAACTTCTTTCGACCTTTTTTTTGACAATCTTCAGTTGGATTTCAAGATTTAGAGGACCAAAGCTGAAAATGTTCAAATTAACGCGATGATCACTCATTTATGGAATCACCTGGATCCTTGTACTCACCAGACGAAGAAACACGTCAAACTGCGAAGGCGCATTTGTGGCGTTCGGACGAGATCAAAGACGCCGAAACTCGAAATTTTTGAAGCCTGATTACTTTGAGCCGAGTGTCCCATGTATTCCATCCTAAACTTTCTTTTTCTCCTAGAATTTCCTATAGAAAGGTACCAGTTAGCTGGGATGAACTTTTTGTTGATTTTCGCGGCTCGATTCAGAATCAAATGAGCTTCGTCGTACCGTTCCTTAGACACTAGCCAACGAGCACTCTCACGGATTATCCTAAAGATTTGGATTTTAGTTTTTGCGTGGGCTGATTCATTGGCACGGACGCTTTAAAAGAACTAGGACCATCAAAATTCCTAGAGGAACCCCCAAAAGCTTGGCTTTTTTTTGGACAATTTTTGATGTCTGGCAGTTCCTGAGATCTTCAAATGCATGGAGAAAAGGCGACCCAGAAGTGTAAAAAAATTAATTTTTCTACAAAATTTTGGTTGAAATTATTATAATGACCCCTTTTTCGGCTAAGATCTGAGGCTTAGATTGAAGTTCAAAATCCAAAAAAAAAAAATGATCTGAACCTAAGAAAAGCAATTCGAAGTCGTCTAACTTTACTAATTTCAGAGTATTAAAATAGTCTAAAATTCTAAATTAAAATGAACGTTTTTTAAAAGCGTCCGTGACCGTATCTCTCCCTTACCACCAATAAGACAGAAAAATCAGCGATGGAACTGCAATCGCGGCGTGGAAAACACGATAATCGTCGATAAAGTAGGCCAAAATTGCCAAGATCACCTTTAAAGCAGTGAATTTTGGATCTCTACTCCTTTTCCAAGAAAACTACCTGTCCAACTGTGCAGAATAAGTTGGCGACGATGGCTCCGAGGCTCCTGTACTGGGCTCCGACCAATTCCATGCCTAGAACAACGGCGATGCCGAAAATGCCGGGCTGAGTGAAGCCGGTGCCGGCTCTGAAAAAGTTAGGAATTGTAGAGATCTTCTCCATTTTTTTTCGTTGTTACTTGAAAATGGCATAGAGCCACCACCACGGCGTCACAATCAGCATTAGGCCGCAGCTGGTTTGGATGACGAGGGAGAGGAAAAAGACCTTTTTCCGGCCAATCCTGCAAATTTTCGTTTGAAAATGAAACAGAATAAGGCTTTTTTTTCTATAATTTTGGAACGCCGCTATTTTTTCATATTTCTTTCTCCCCTTGTACGCTACTATTAAGAAAATTATCGGAAAACTTGTCTTTTGACATCCTTTAAATCTATGTTCTTGATTAATATTTCTACTTGGAAGAAGAAATGAGCGAAAAAAAGGCTTTTAAGGTACCGAAAGATTTCATAATTACTTTAGGGACCTTTTTGACCATTTTATAAAAAAACGGCCGAAATCCAAAAACCCTTTTTTTCGGAATAAAAATTTTTTTAAATAGGGTTTAAAAAGGAGATTTACAAAAACAGAATCATCAATTCTTAAAAACTGTACGCACTTTAAAGAATTTTGGAACTCTGATTTTTTTTTTTCAAATTATGAAAACTTTCTTCAAAATTTGTGACAGGACGCTAGTTGACCTGACCTCAATGCCATATGTACTATCATGTAGGCGTGCCAATGGCACGCCGCCTACTTGTTTTGTCACTCTTGCGCTCAGCACGCATACCAACTGGCGGTGCTGAGTTGCTCTAATAAAGATCCAAGAGCAATGTCGGTTCTACACACATCTAAATAACACGTCAAGGCCCGGTGAAGCCTTGCGCGGTTATATGGAGGTACCACCGTAGAATCCGGCTGCTTGGACTAATTCACCTATTTCATCTGTTTTACCTCGTCCATCAGCCGCCTGCAGAAGCTACAGTCTTCTGCGGGGAACTCGACCTATTCTATTCCGCTAGCAGTTTTCGCATATCGTGTTCGGGATTCCAGCGAGGCTACAACTTTCTTCTGAAGCTGCTCCAGTGAAGCAGCGTACGAGTCCGGTCACAAGTAACGTCGACTCCTCCACATTGACAAGTTTTTTGAACTTTTTCACCGCGATTTTGACCCCTTTGTTGGTACGCGATACACGGTTGGGATGGTGGGATGTGTAGAGTGATATATATATATCGCCTGGCCTGTGAGCCCTTTTCTCGTCGATGACGACTTCAATCGCTAGTTCAATTGTGTTGAGAGTTTCCCGTGCTTGTCTCGTTTTATTTTGTTGTAAGCCCCCCGATGTAGTTTACAAAACTCTTTTCTTCGATTTCCTTTTCTCATTCAATCTTTGACCGGATACGTCCTTTACCTTGTCTTTTGATTGGGTTCCTAGATAAATAAGTGACGTAGGAATCGCTGTATAAGAGTCTGCTAGTGCTTAGAATTGTGTTGTAGAACTGATTTAGAGCGCAATTGTCCTCTTGCGTTAATATCTGTATTTTTGTTAGACCGTCCTTGATTGCCTAGTCCTCAAAAGTTGTCTTAGTTTCACTAATTCCCGCTTCGGGACGAAGCTTTCTTGGAGCGGAGGGATGTGACAGGACGCTAGTTGACCTGACCTCAATGCCATATGTACTATCATGTAGGCGTGCCAATGGCACGCCGCCTACTTGTTTTGTCACTCTTGCGCTCAGCACGCATACCAACTGGCGGTGCTGAGTTGCTCTAATAAAGATCCAAGAGCAATGTCGGTTCTACACACATCTAAATAACACGTCAAGGCCCGGTGAAGCCTTGCGCGGTTATAAATTCTTGACAATCGCTTCTCGGAATATTTTTGAATACTTTCAACCTCCAGATATCAATATTTTTGCTTCTTCCAATCAAAAAATCGTCAAAACTCGCGAAACTTCAAAAAATTACCTGTCAGCCATAATTCCGCAAAGAAAAGATCCGGTCATTTGGCCGAAAAAGTAGAAAGACTGGACGCTGGCCTTCATCCAAGAGTTCGCCCCATTCATTTCCCACTGAAATTATTTTCAAAATTCGTACCAAAATAAGAAAAAAGAAACCCTGTCCGCCGCCGAATACTTTGATGATACGCATACTGTCTCGTTTTTGATTTGGGTACAGCTGAAAATAATTTTTTCCGTTGCAACCGCATTTTTTTTTTTTGATATTCTACCTGACTGGCGAGCCGACTGACATAAAGGTCCAGCTCATGACGTGCATGGCGACGAAAATCGTCGGTAGGCATAGGAGGAAGAATTGAATGAACTGGTATCTGAATTTTTAAATGTGTTTTTTTTTTTTTTGAGACTTTGAAAGTAAAAAATGAACAAGAAGGGCCGTTTCCAAAGTAATTAGAAGTCGAAGCCTCAGTAGAGTAAAAATTATACTCACTTAAGGGATCTCTTGAGTTGACAGTAAAGTGAGAAAGAATTCGTACCAGGTTTTGTAAATAAAAAATGATCAAAAAGTGTCATTTTCAGAGTATTCAGAGCGATAGTAAATTTCATAATCACTCAAAGGATCCCTTAACTTGACAGTTTAGTGAAAAAATCAGGGCTTCATGAATTTTTCCATAACCCTTTGAGTAACGTGAAGAAAATCTTTTATTACCAAATAACTAAATAAAAAACACCTGAAAATCACGACAATTTTTTAAGAAGAAAACTTCAAATTTAATTTTTGTGAAATTTTTGCAGGAAACTATGAATTTGTTTAAAGGAGCATATGGATAATACAGAAAGTATAATTTAAAAAAATTTCTAACCTCCCAAAGCCGCCAAGGCTGTCGAGCAGCAAACTGTCAAAGGTTTTGCTCTTCTTCTCGAAAGACGGCAAGGATTCCGGGCAAACGTCGAGCCCATCGTTAATATTGACCGGAGCCGTCTTTGAACTGAACTTTGAAGAAGACGAAGGCGTGGAGGTGCTCATCGTGGCGAAAGACGAGAAAATGACGCGCCTTTTGGCCACAGGTCACAGACTTTTATCCCGCCGTGGGCGGGACGACGGCGTTACGGTATTTGACCGACGCCGTTTGATCTCGGGTGAGAAAGACTTGGCGCCGCGCCACCACGTGGCGTAGTTTCAAGTCGTTTCGACGACGTCACGGAATAGCGTGACTCGACGTCGTCGTAGTATTCTGAAGACGTTGTCATGTGCTTCCGTTTCTTTGTCATTATGAGATATGATTTATTTCGAAAAAGTGTGTCTGATCAGGTCAAAAAAAAATTTTTTTATTATTTCTTGTTTGACAAAAACTTGGGATAAAAGTTAGGAAAAGTTGTTTGATTGGCGATTTTGGAATTTTTGAAGTCTGATCGAGTCAAAATAAACTTGAAGATTTTCTCAAAACTGTACAAACCTAGACCACGTTTCACAACAAAAAAGAGGAATTATCAGAAATTCACGATATTTATTCGAAGGATCATTGGAACACCTATGACGTGCAAAATCGCAATAAAAAAATAGAATAAAATATACATCAATATTTTTCTATCTTTTTCACTTTTTATTGCTCCATTTTTTTGAGCTTCTTCCGCTCTCGATATGGTACCAGAAAAATGGAAATTTCTAACTGAAACCTGGTAAAAATCGTCTTCTTCTGTTTAATCTTAAAATATTATAATTAGACCTCAATGCGTTATAAGTATAGTAAAGTAAAAAGAAAGAGCGGAAAAGTCTTGCATTACGATCAAAATCAAAGTGCTTTACAAGTTTTAGCGAATTCTTGAAACGTATCGGAATCTTCTTATGAATAAGTTGGAAGTTACAGATTTGCCATCATTGCGTGCGACGGCCTGTGGAAGACGTTCAGCAACGAGGAGGCCGTTCAGTACGCCAGTGCTCAGTTTGAAGCCGTCGCAAAGGTGATTCGAAGCTTCTTTGTCTGAAAACAAGCTAGAGAAAAGTCCAGTTGGAACAATTTTGAAATTATATCGCGAAATGCACAACAACATCTTTAAAAAATTGAGCCTACAGCGAAATATCGACTTCAAAGCGCGCAACTTCAACTTTTTGAACTTATTCGGGAAATTTTTAATTTGAAGTTTTCGCGCATAAAAATCATATCGTTGTAGGACCCAATGTTTCGGATGGCTCCTGAACTTCCGATTTTGCGTATTTCGTGAATTAGTTCTAAACGAAAGAGGCTTCAACTTTCAAACCGCCGAAATTACTTTGAAAACACGGTATAAGGTGTGGGCGGAGCGGTCGCGATGCGTTTTGGCGCCAATTTGAAAAAAATATCACTATAGTAAAAAAATCTTTGAGGGAAGGGGGGTGGATGGGTACTCTTATTTCTGAAATGCTTAAGAATTATTATCAAAATTGCCTTTGATGGAAATATAACCCGTTCCGCCCCAGCTTGTCTCTGCAAAAAGATCGTATACCTAATCTGACAAAAAAACTTCGCTTCAAGATCTGCGTTTTTTGCAGTTTTGTAGAGCTGGGTTTACGGTAGCTTTTTTGTGCTGTGCTTGTAAAACGTGACCGTTTTGCGCGGAACACATTCGAAGTCTATTCTATCACCAGAAAACTTAGAGACTCAAAAAGGCTGAAATTTAAAAAGTGGTGCCAAAAATGCATCGCGACTTTTTTCGAGAAATGAAAAATGAACAATGATAGGTGATTTGGAAACAAGCTTCAAACCGTTTTCGTCCAATTGCTTATCAATATCGTTGCGTAATCGTCGGTTTCCACACGTATGTGTTGATGAATCTCACAAAATCGGAAGGGTGCAAAATGTGACACATTCCACGGCGGCGTGACTCGTGTTTCGCTGAAAACTTCTCTTTGAACTTGCACGTCCTTGACTTGACCACGTTGTTATCATTTCGTCACGTTGGTGATAGTGATTCGGTTAATTGAGGTGTAGGTCATTTTTTCTCGCCTTAGTAGTCGAAAGTCTTCCTAAAATTTATGACTGATTTTACGCTTGAAAAACGACGAGGAGAATAAATTGTGGTTCTTAATGGAAAAAAATTCCTGTAAAAAATTTTCCATAATGAATTTAAGATTTATCCGACAGAATGCGACTTTTTATTCTAATCAACTTATGAGACAACTAAAATGAAAATAACGTCATTCGAAAACGCTCTGTGGATGGCTCGCTCCCTGATTGGTTTATCGCGCTAATAGGGGCGGAGCTTGAGCGCTTAGTTGACATTCAAAACCTAAAAAGACTTTGATTTCACTCCGAAAGTAGGAACCTCTGTGCCATTTGAAGTATACGTCACTAGGCCTTCACGATAGACGATTCCAATTTTGCCGAATTTTCACCTCGTTATCGATTTTCCTCTTCCAGGAAGAACTGCCCCGTCAACTGGGCGAGACTCAGGAGCACGCGAAATGGCGAACTGTGGCAGAACGACTGGCGGCAGAAGCCGTCCGTCGGAAGTGCGGCGACAACGTCTCCGTCCTCCTCGTCAAGCTCTCCATCGTCTGATCTCCCCTCTGTATTTGCTTTGCTCTTGTATATAGTCTGCTCTGATCTTGAATTTCAAGCGCAATGACGTCATTAATAATTCCTCTGTGCTCTCTAAATGGCCCATGGCGAAATTGGGGGCGGGGCTTGGGGGATGACTCGAAGTTCGAAATCCGGACAGACTACATTTTTGCGCCAAAAACGTTTCGTAATTTATAATTTATTATGTTTTCGCCTGCCGCCGCATTTCCCGTTTTTTTGATTCGCTTCTGACCTTTAGATTGTTTGACCTAATCGACCTAATGTTTTTCTTCTGTTTTCAAAACGTTTTTTGATTATTCCTTCATCAAAAAGGTCATAATATCATCACTTTTTTTTGTTCCGAAGAGTAAACTGGAATTCAACCAGAAACACATCGTCATTATTTCCATTTAAAAAACATTTATGTGCAAAAGTACGTACATATTCTCATATCAATCTGAAAATGACAACAATTTCTGAAAAAAAAAAGAAGTACCAAGTTTCGAAGGGAAAAAAAGGTTGAGCTTTTAAAATGAAAGAAAATAGACCACATGGGGAAGGAGCAGGAAAAAACAAGGAACTGGTTGAATCGACCCGAAATAATTCATTATAAACAAGAAATTTGGCACTGACTAGGGGGAAAATGGAGGGAAAAAACAAGCAAATATAAAGGACTACTCAAGTGGTCCCTTGCAAGAACTCACTTCGAATGTCCTATCTGGAGTGGCCTCTTGGGGTATTTATTTCGAATCACAAAAAAACTATAAAATTGAGCACAACAATTTCAAATCAGATATTGTGAATAACTGGGATACTATCAGCCTCGGCACTGAAACATGAGAAAATAAGAAGTGGTCATTTAAGAGGAAACAATAGTATCTTAATAAAATCAGATGTTATCGATAGCAGAGTTTTTGCTGGCGTGGAGCTGAATCAGCGACTCCAGGGGGTTGAAGGGCTGCTTTGGCGTGTTGCCAGAAGGAACGATGTCGTGGAGGGAGAGCCTCTGCAGAGAATCCTCCACTGGAGGTCCTTCCAACCAAGGCCAGTGCTCGCCGACGACGTCCGTCGGGTCTTCGAAAGACGCACAACGACCAAAGTTCTTCTTTCCTGGAAACTCGTCAAATCAGTAGGAATCTTTTGTGAAGTTCATCTGGTTGATGTTCTTTTTTTCAATGCTTTTCTACATCTGAACCTTTGAGCCACGAAATTTCGAAAACTAGAGAGCATTCAAAATGAGAGAGCAAGCGCCTTTTTCTCTCTGAACCCTCTTGTTTATCAGTACTCACTAGCTTTCGAATAAGAGCGCTTTGAGCATCGCCCATCTTAATTTTCCGACAATAAACGGATTTATTTATTGATTGAAAATCTCACTATGAATTTAAAATTAAAGTCTATCCTTCTATTAGGATCTTTCTACCTTCTAGTATCTTTTTTAAGTGAGTTTCACCAATTTTTCTCATTTTGAGAAAACCCTTCAGTTTCGAGAAAAAAAGTTATTCTCAAAAATAACTAAAGAATTTTGGAAAGATAATCGAAAAAGGGCGATTGTATGTTTGCCGCAACCCAAACACGTCTTTTCGCTTACCTTCACGCGCGACCTTCTCCATGTACGGGACGAAGTTGTCGTTCCAGAGGCGAATGAACCATTGACGGGACTCGTCGACGCCCAAGGGACACTGGAGGAAGACCCGGGGGCCGATGGTCACGTCGGGAGAGTTGGTCTTGGCGATGAACTTGTTCATCGCGTCGAGCACCACCGGCAGGAACTGGATGACGCGGACGAGCTCGCTGGGCGTCTGACGGCACTGACGGTACTCGGCCTCGATGGTCCGTCGGCGAAGGAATCTGGAAATTCAGAAGTTCGAAAAATAATAATTCAAAAGAGTTGACTTTTTCTTCGCATAAGGAATGAATTTGCCCAGATAGCCATTGAAAAATCTTGAAAAATTCTGACCTTTTTGCGCCCTCTTTTCTCTCGCTGTCTAACTCACTCCTTTATTCATACTATTTCCATGTTGATATGACCTTGCTGGTGAGAGAAAAGAGAGCGTAGACAGGTCATACTGTTTCCATTCGGGGCAAATCGGCTATCAGAACGAAAAAAAAACTCTTAATTTCTTGTCTTATTCAAGTTCGTCAATCAATAAAATCAAAAAAAAAACTATCCTCTGGGAATCAAGAAAGTTTCGTTCTGAGAAAAATTCATTTTTGTGGTTAAGCTTTTGGTTCGAGCTGGATCCACTAACACGTATCCTAATCGGCTGACAAATAGTCCCCCAGACCTCTTAGTCAAACTATCAAACTCAGAATCTCCTGGCGCTTCTAATGGTACCAAAATCAGTTAGTTTCGCTCGTAAAAAAAGGCAGTTTTCAAAACCTTCAAGCCTCAGAACTGTCCCCGAATTTCTATGAATTTTTTCAGTTTTGTCACTAATTCCTACAACTCAAACTAACCTAGCCATGAAGCCATTGACGCCCTCCATGCAGTTGGTCAGGAGGAACATTTTGAAGTTCTGATGAACTTGCATTTCGACCAGCTGGTAGCGGTTCACCGTGCACAGGACGTAGGGTCCTTCTGAAAAATGGACATTTTTACCTTCTTTTTTCTTATAAAAAACCATTCTGGGCCAGAGGGATATTGGCGAAGACGGAGGCGACAAAGGCGATCCGATTTTTTGGAACGTTGTCGATGAGCAAGACGCACGGCTTCTTCGACTGAAGCAACGTCTCCAATTGCTTCTCGACCTGGAAAAACTTGTATTTTGAATCAAAACGATAAGGAGAAATGTACCTTGACCAGTTTCTCGCCGCTCTCATCGGGAATCTTGATGTCGACGATGCAATCTTGAGTTTCGCCGATTCTCATCGATGTGTAGGCGGCCAACTCGCGAGCAAGTTTGCTCTAAAGTACACATTTATAGAATGAGTTGGTAGAAATTTTCGAAATCGCCCAGCGTGTGCAAAACTGAAATATTTGGAAAAAAAATCGCTTGTGAAAACAAATTTAAGATACAAGAACAGAAACAGTGAGGCGAGGGATCAACCGGAACCTGAAGAGACGACAGAGAAACTAAAGCATCAAATCTTCATTCTCTTCAACTTAGCCTTGCTTATATTGATCTTTTGTATTAGTTCATCTCCCACCTTTCCCAAACCGGCGGCACCAGCCAGGACGAGCCGTCGTTGAGTGAAGAGGAACCTAACGAGCTGCTCGAGCATGCTCTTCGGCAGCAGCGTGTCCAGGACCAACGAGTCGACTCTCTCCTGTTCGGCGCCACGGAGGAACATCCGAATCGTCGTTGTCGGCGTCAGGACGTCGGCCGGCGACTTTGACGGCGTCGTCGCCGCTTTGCCGCTCGTTTCGCGTCTCACGTCGCCCATCTGATAGCCGACGATCGCGTCGCGTGGGTTCAACTCGAGATGTCGCTCGATATCGATTCGTTCCATGTAAGCCTGAAAAATTGGTCGACTGAATTAAGGAAAGCTTCAAAAAAGTTCCATCAAAAATCTTTTTTAAAAGTTAACTCAAAGAGAGGTGCAAGCTCATAGAGAAATCCTCCAAAATCACCTGGAACAGTGCGACAATGAGCTGGTCCAGCTCAGCCCAGGTGGTCTCCTTGGCCGGCAGCGGCAAGAACCCGACGATGATCTCATTATCGGGGCAGATGACGTCACTGATGGTGCCGCGGAGGTCGACGTTCACCGTGACTTTGACCGAGTTGCAGCCGGAGGAGCGTTTGCTGGAGAAGCTCGCCGAGCCGGAGCTGCTCTGGCAGGGCGGGATCTCGTAGAAGTGCTCCTCGTCGCCCATCACGGGGATCGAAGCGTGCGATGAGGCGCGAGATCGAACCGTCAGAAGTCGGTTCATGTCCTGCTTCAGCTGCTTGTTCTCGCTCTGAAATTGCGGATGAGTACTGACACAAAATGGTAAATAGATGATTTCTGTTGAAGCTATGATTACTATTATAAAATAATTAAGTTCTTGGTTAATTTGAACTTCAAAAAAAAAAAAATCAATTACTACATATAAAAAGATGCAACGTGACAATTACCGTTATCTAGAATAATGACTAAAAATCCCTAATCAAACAAAGTTTCGACTCGAAAAAAACTTAGGAGGCTGAATCTTACAATTCACCCTCATTTTGTTTTACTTACCTTGAGCTTATTGACCGTCTCCCTGAGCACTTCGACCTGTCGAGCTCTGTCTAGAGCGTCGAGTCTGACGTCGGTCAAAATCTCTTCCCGTTCATCAAGCTTCCTTCGCAGCTCTCGTACTTCAATCTCGTCCAAGCTTAATCGAAGAAACATTCAATTTTTCCACTCGATTTCTTCCAAAACCGATTATGAGAGCCAGTGATAGTGGTAAGCTGCCGCATCGGCGAGCATTCGTTGTCCGACGTCGCCGCGCTTTTGTTCTTCTTTTTCGAAAAAGCCTTGGTCAGCGACGAACGAATCTAAAATTCGATAGTTCTACGAAAAAAGGAGAGAAAATAGTTATAATAGACGTCACAAAGCCACCACCACGTTATTACGGCGTTTTGTTTTTTAGCCAAGAAAGTTCTTGTTTTTTTTTGTCAAGATTAAGAATATGAAAAAGGGCAGCGCGTGGAAATGAAAAAGAGGTCCCGCGACGTTTATGACATCGTTCTGCGCCTTTAAATGAGGTAGCAAAGTATTTGAAGCATAAATTTCGTTACGTTATAGTCGATTCATTTATTACTGAAAGGAGAAAACAAATATTGGTTGATCGAGAAATTTCATAAAAACTCTTCAAACTGATTTATTGGGTCGATTAACACGCAGCGCCTTTGAACAGAAAAAAAACGGTTTCAGCTTTTTCAAGAGATTTCTAAAGAGTTCAAAAGCGCAAACTCCGCCCTGCTGATTTGAACAATTCATTGATTTTTCAAAATAAAAATTGACAAGAACCTTCTCGACAGTTGAGAAAATTATTCATGATTACTGTACAACCACCAATTTACTTCCATCTATGTCATTTTTACCTGAACGACGTCGACGTTGGTTCCCTAAAAGACCATTCCTATTAGAGAAATGTTCATCGTATACTCATTTTTTTAGAAAAAAATGAATCTTCTCTAGGTTTTTTTCAGCCTCAAAGTAGATTTGTAGACAAACTAAATAAAAAGCACAAAAAGCTAAAATGTTCAGAATTTCAATCGAAGAGTGAATAAATCAGTGCTAAACGCATTGGAAACGAATGAAAAGGTAAAAAAGAAACGGACCCAGCCCTTTTTGGACTTGCCGAAGCTGTTGAGGCTGCTCTTGTCGGTCTTGCTGCTCTTCGAGGAAGACGACATCGAAGATCGATGAGAAGCGACGGATTCCAAAGACGGTTGTCGTAGAAGCTCACCGGCGCCGTCCTGAAATTGAAAGTTTTGTAATAATTTCAAAGATCAATTTTCTTTTTTTCATGAAAAATTGCAACTTTTTTTCCTTTTGAATGTTCATTCATTTAAAATTTCAGTTCCAAAACGAACCATATTCAATTGCTCGGCATGGGCAGAAGCCAATCTCCCACTGAAAAAGCCGAAGATGCTCGATATCGTGCCGAAGTTTGCTGACTTCATCCGCCTGGAAATGTAAAAAAATGAAGATTTGATTCGAAAAATTTGTACATTAGTCCTAATAATCGAAAAAAAGTGTTTGGAGAACTTTCGGGCGCACAAAGAGTAATGATCTGGCGCCATTGCGAGGAGGTCAAAAATATGGAAAGTTGCGAGAAAAAAGAATCTGTTCTGAGTTTCTGAGCGTGTCTTTTTACGCATCCGTGAAAGATTTGAACTCGAAAAGCTTCAAGTTCTCATTAGAGCACAAAAGCTCCCAAAAATTAAAACAGTTCGTCAATCTAATAAATTCTCAATAGAGCGCAGATACTTCCGAAAACTGCAGCTATTTCTTCGCATCCAATCCCTCTAAAGTGTTCCAGTTTGCCGATTTCAGTGACTGACTCATGAGCCGTAAATTGGGTTCCAATTTGTTTTTCCCACGGGTCGAATTTGTCTTTGGACCTCGAGTCGAACGTCGCGGCCTCATTCGTTGATTTACATTCGCACGCAATTCGCGCGCGCTTTTTCTCATTACTCATCGTCATACGTCATCCCGGGGGCTCATGCAATTTCAATTTCCTTGGTTTTTTTTTTCTTATTTTGAGTGGCAGATCGAAAAAAAAAAATATGAGATAGATTTCTACTGTAATCTGTAGCTTTGAGCTTCGGTTTTTTTTTCAAAACTTTTTCTGTGAATTTTTTCAGTTTACATTTCTGAATGAGACTAGCTAGACTAGATGCTTTTTTCGCTCTGATTTCAAAGTTTTGCTCAAAAACTACCTTGAAGCCTGTGAAAAAATTATAGAAGCTCAAAATTGCAGATAAAGTTTCACAAAGAAGTACTTTAAAAACTCTCAACTTTTATCTAGACATTGAAGGCAATTTTTGAGCCCAGATACCTAATGAGTCGACTTTTTCATGGTAAATAAAATATTTATTGATCTTTACATATAGAGCATACCCCAGTCAGTGATGAATCGACTAAAATCTTCAAAATCAAGCCAGAAAAGTCCTCACCTTGAGCTGAGTGGACTTGTCGATGTGTCTGGACAAATTGGACAGTTTCGAGTTGAAACCGTCGAACATCTTGGCGTAGTTTTCTTGCTTCTTGGTCAATTTGCTGACCGTCTGCCGATAAACGTCCAAATCACGCGCCATTTTCCGGATCTCCGATTCGTACTTGTCGTTGAGCTGAAAAATAAAACCGATTAAACTTCAACTTTATAGCAGAAATCTAAAAAAAATTTTTTTTTAATTTTTAATGATTACGGTATTCGACTCTATTCTACCTACAATCAACTACAAAAAATTCTTTTTTTCAAAAAAAAAATGCTCAAACCGTCGCGTAGGCGGTCGAACTAGCCAATGACAACTGAGAACCCATCTCAGAGTTTCGATTCAAATTGGACGGCGATTTGTAAATCTGCAATCAAAAACTTGAGAAAAAGTACAAAATATAATTTCCAACATCATCCGCATATTTCTGGAGATGCATGGCGTCAGACAAGTTTGCATAAATCCCATCTCGAGTTGTTCTGGCCGACATTGAGCCTGAAAACTTGAGAAATTCACTAAAAAAAATCCCTTCGTTTCAAAAATTAGTGTAAAAACTGCATTTTTTGGTGTTCCTTCAGTTAGCAACCACAAACCCAGAAGCCGGAAGTTCACAGAAAAAGATACAAGAGAAGGAAAAAAGACAAAAAAAAAATTAGCTTGGAAATTTTTTCTCATTTTAGACGCCCCAATCAGCCTCGGAAAAAATAGCCGCAAAATTATCAATAGAGCGCAGATGCCTTTAATTAGGTCTCTTTTATCAAATTTCTGATTTGAGTTTTGTCGTCTCAATAGATTTAGGATCAGACTGGCAAAAAACTGATGAAAACTTTTGAAATTCAACCAGAAACCCTCAAATTATCATTGGAGCGCGAAAAATCCCAAATATTGGCCTTTGAACTTATTTTCGGTTATAATCGGGATTCTTCGAAGTAAGCTTCATCTGAGTTTCAGCAAGGACAAAAAAGGCTTTCAGCGATGATTCTCAAGCTTATAATCAGACTTTGGCTTTCAATAAGAGCCCTGCGCGGCTATTTTTCTCGTGCTCATCAATCAGAGGTTAATTGCAGGTTAGTGTAGCATCGGTTAGTTTACCCTTGTTATTATGCACAGGCGAAGCGATAGACAGAGGAATGCGAGCTCGGGGAGCCCTGGGCGAAGGGCCGCGTCGTGACGGCGTCTGCGACGAGTGGCGGACCGCCGTCGCCGCCGACGACGCGGATGAGGAGTCGTTGCGCCGGGAGATCCGTGGCGAGAGCGACTCCAGCAAGATCATCGACCGACTCATGCCCGAGGCGTTCAGGCCGGCTGCAGCTGAAAGAAAGCGAGCGTCCTAGGCACTAGTGGACGACGATCCACCGCTAAGAAGCGTTAGAATGATGGGAAAGCATGCGAAAGTTAAGCAGAAAGGCACTCGTGGGCTTCGTCAAGAAAGTGAACGGAAAAATAGCTGTAGAAAAAATTATTAATTTCAAAATTAGCGTCTTTTTTATTCTGATGAAACTTTACATTTTTTCGATGAGCCGTGCTCTATAGACGATTTAAATGCAGCAGCAAACAAGCTGAAAAAAAATCAAAACTATTTTCCAAGATTTTCCCATAAAGCCTATTATGTATGCCCTTCACAGGTAATTCGAAAAACTGAAAAAAAGTTAATTGTAACGAATTTTCTACATTATCTAAGTTCGGTCCTTCTGATTGATATTTTTCCTCTCAGTTTTCGAAAATTAGTAAGCATAGACCAAAAATCTGACCAAAACTGTGAACAATTACAAAATCATAAAGAGAGCGCATTTGTCATGGCTATTTTCCATTTCTCAACTTTTACAGAGCCCAGGAGGTGGTAGAAGTCACACACAAGACAACAGAGGACATCACAAAAAGTTATATATTTTTCCGGGCAAGGACCTGCAGAAGTCGAGGCTCGTGGATCGACGGAAGGCATCCTTCTGGGGCTGACCAGAGCCATGGCGGCACGGTCGTGGTCGCTGAGATAATCGAGAAGGTGACACTTACGGTCCAATGAGTGGAAACCCGAGTAGCTGTTGCCTATAACGTTGTGGGTTCAACTCAAAAATTGGTTCATTCTTTTTATTAGAAATTTTTCAACTTTTAAAAAATGAACAGAAGAGATAAGCGTTAGAATGCCTGCCAAGGAAAGTGCAAGACCTACAAAAAATGCTTGAAGAAGAATATATTTACGTGGTTTTTTTAAAAGTCATATCATTACTCCTCATCATGACGACTCAAAAGAACAGAAAATCCTTGAGACCTTTTCTACTTTTTTTTTTGAAATGGTAGATGTTAAAAAAGGTTAAACGTGGAATTTTTCCCTCATTTCAAAATTATTATATCCCCTTTTGTGAGCTGCAGTCTTGGAATATCCAAAATCCTTAATTTTCGAAAAATGAATTGAACTTCTTTCCACAGGTCAACTTTCCTACTACATGCTACAAGGACCGCAAGAGCTACAAATTTAAACTGATCGAAATTTTGTAAAAAAACCAAAAAAAAGTAAGCATAGAATAACAAAAATCTGACCAAAACACATTTTTTTATGGAGAAACTTTTTTTTTGCACTCTGGGGCCAACTGCAGCTCAGATATCTACTGAGCTTCTAGGATCTCCCTCCAGTAAATTAAAGAGCCTGTGTTTTTTCGCAAAGTGAAATCAACTGCAGTGAGGAGCAGTAGGAAATCGGCGGAATGGCACTAACGAGATCGTGGGTTCGGTCCCCACTAGGCGAAATTTTCCGAATCACCTTTTTTGGAAAGCCTGTCAACATCGAGAACACCAAACCTTGATCCGGTCTTTTATGATGAGCCGAGGAGGAAGAAGCCCGAAGGGAAGCCCGAGAATGGACGCTCAGAGTGTCGCCGTCGGCAGAAAGGGCGAGTTGGGGCGAGCAGCCGCCGGCGATGGTCGCGTAGCCCGGCGACCTCAGCGAATGCTGCAAAAACCATCGTTCTTTCGCCTCGGACCACTTGATTGTTTACGCGACGTTCTTTCGCGGCAGTTGTCCCTTACTACCACTACTGCCACGGGTGGGAAGGGCTTCTAATTAACATTCATTGTGATGTCTCGGGGCTCATTCATTACCTGGTGTTTACCTATCGCGAAAAACAAAAATAAAGAGAGGTTGACCCCATGAGAGCTTGGAAATCTATATAGGCAATCTCTGACAAAATATATCCCTTGAAGGTCTATTTTTGAATTTTCAGGTATTTAGGTTTCTAAAAAAAATTCGCATCTAGGTTCATGTCGTGATTGAAGTGATTCCGAAAAATCCAGAAAATTTTAAAATTTTTACTTTGCCGGTTATTCTGAAACTCACGGGATCACTCCGAACAATTCCTCAAAAAAACCACAAAATTCGCTAAAATTTCACATTGAAATCTAGTTAATTGAACCTGAAATGGCGCTTTTTGGATAACAATTTTTGTTCAAAAAAATGTTATTTTTCCGCTATTTTTTTGATTCCGAAAGTACCATTTTCAAACTCAAACCGCTATAAATTTCCTCCAAAAAGTGCAAACTCAACTTGAATTGGTTCTAATTTTCAAATTTAGAACTGGCACTCTTCGCATAAGAAATTATATTAAACTTCGAAATAGAAAAAATTTTAGAATATCAAGTCAAATCTACAAATTTTTTTCCATAGAATATTTTTTTCTATGCTAAAAAAAATCCGAAAACGTTGATTTTTGATTTTGAGACTGAAAATTTTTTACGCAACCTGATCTCAAAAATGGGAGATTCGGAAGACTTCGAAACGCAAAGAGAGTTGAAAAGGCTGCTCGGCGGGGAAAAAAGTTTCAAAAAGCGTAGTAAAAGGGGGCATCTGCGCGGCACGTGGCGCTTATGAATTACTGCGTCGTGTCGCTTCGTCTTTTTGAATAGGATGGCAAGAAAGCGCAAATTTCATTGAAAAATTTTCACGCAAAGCCTTTTGCTCTCCCTCTCTTTCTCACGCAAATTCATCTTTTATTCATTCGAAATGCGGCAGCGGTCGGGGATCGTCCAAAGTTCTTCTTTTCATTCAGTCAGACGCATTTCGAGACATCAGAAAGGCAAGAAAATTCGATGAAAAAAGACAAAATAAACGCAAATACTTCATAAAACTATGAAAATTGCTTTAAAAAGGTACATAGACTTCAAAAAATAGATTTTTCAAACAAAGTCTCTCAAGCTTATTCTCAAAAATTCAATTATCCATAGAGCACTCTAGTAGAAACCTGCTGCGGCTATTTCTTCCTATCAAATCCTACACTTAAAAGATCTATCCAGGACCTTGAAAAAACAATAAAACGCGATAATTTCACAAAATCGTCAACAGCAAAAAGGCATTTCAGGGTTTGCAACAGCAGCTGTTCCCACACTTTAATAGGCGCCAAACCGCAAATGTTTCCGCACGGGCTTTGTCGGCATTTCCACGGCTATTATTGCGCGCAAAAAGCGGGTGTCCAGCCGGCGAGCCAGCCAGCTTGACAGATGCAACTGCGTGCGTGTGTGTACAGTAATTATCGTCCCGAGAGGAGCGATGATCCCGCCAAATAAAAGAGAACATTATACGGATGGTTTGAACAGGTGTCTTTCAGGGTTTCCTACAGTTAGAAGGCAATAAATATTCCTATCAAGGGAACTTTTTCAGGTCATGGTTCATATTTTGATGATTTTTGTTTAACTTCAAGATCTCTAAAACTAAATTCCTAATCGCAAAAAAAAACAAAGATTTACTTTTTAGATGAGGCTCTAAAATTCTCAAATAACGAATTTTGAAGCAGTTTGCAAGCTTCAAAGCGCCGTAGCACGATAAAGATCTACTGAGTAAATTTTTTCTAGGTTTCGAGAAGTCCTAGAATACAAAGTTTCATCAAAAGTCCAACCGGTAGCTTAGTTAAATTTCCTAGTTAATTCCCAAAAAAAGAAAAGTCGAACCTGTCCAACAGCCGTGGCGGCACCTCGTTGACTCGTTCTGCACTGACTGAGCAATTTGTGGATATTCTCCTGTTCGGCATATCTCCTGGCCCTTGCATCAACTGATGAAGATGCTGCTCGGCCATCTGAAGGAAAAAAAAAACTAATTGAGATCAAAAATAGATGAGAAAATTTTACATCACTATGATTAGGAAAATAAGGTATCAAATTTTGAATGAGATTGTAAAAAAAAAATTATCTTTAGCTATAAAAATCCATTTTTTGTAGTTTTTGATACTTTCCCAAAGTTCTTCGAAGTTCATTATTCCAAAAAATTATCTCAGAGCTGAAAAGTCATATGTGACCCGAATACTGTAGAAAAAAGGAGTTCCCACAGTTTCCATGCTCGGCACCGACTAATTCGATTAGACCTTCCTCTTTGTGATTCGAAATAGTGGATTCAAATTCGATTTTCGGCGCGATTCGAAACACCAACTAACACAATGAAGAATTGAGATGGAGCCGACTTTGAAAAACGGTAAATCTTCAAACAGTTCGGTGAAAGAAAGTCGTTTTTTTCGGTATCATCTCAAGTCAGTGAAGAAACCTCGGCAACTCTGACGGTCACTTTAAAAAAATTTCAACTCACTTCTGGCTCCATTCTGTGCGCCGCCGCGTACAAAATGTTGGTAATCACCGATTTTCCCGTAGGCGACGCTCGCCATCGGATGATCTCTGAAAAAGGAAATAGAAAAATATGCTGGAAATCAATAAAAAAAGCTTTCACGAGTCGATCTCCGTCAAACAAAAGGAATTGTAGATTTTTTAATTTTTTGAAGTCTGCTGGTTTTTCTAATTTGAGAACGTTCAATAAATTTTTAAGCGGGTGAAATCCTTAGAAGGGCGTTATTGTCTTCAGTTCCTTTGAAATTAAAACTTCAAACTGTTCACTTTACTCTATTCGCGTTTCTTAAAAAATTAGGTCGTTACTGTCGAGTTTAAATTTTTGTAGTCGTTACCAAACTATTTTTTCAGAAAATCCTTGTTCCTTTAATGTTGGTCGACGGATTCAAGCCAAAATTGAGCTTTTTCAAATTTCCACAAAATTTCGTGTACTCGGAAAGGTGATCACGGAAATGAAAAAGAGCTTTTTGAAAAAAAAAAGTATTTCCTTTAAACTTAGATTATCAATGGAGCACACAAGTAAAAACCTGTCGCGGCTATTTTTTCCCACATTTTTTCGAAGTCAGCCTTATTCATTATGATGGGAACCATCTAGCCTATCTCAAAGTTGTCCAAAGGCGTTGAAAACATTATATCTGAAACTTTTATACAAAGTTTTTAGAATGGTCCTGCGCCAAAAACGTTCTTGAGACCAATCAATTTCAAATTATTTTGATGACTCTACGAATTTCTTTCAGAGCTGAGAAAATCTCATGAAATATCAAAATTACTCCAACAAAGAGCAAAAGCTACACAAGTTGAGAACAAATGAAAGGCGAAGGACATAATTTCCTAATTGCATGTTCGAGGGAAGCGAACGAAAGAGGAGGAGGAGATGCCAAGAGTGCCCTAAAACCGCCGCGAGCCACGCCTATTTCGGCGGGTCCCCCTCCGTCACCATGGGACCACTCTTCTCTTTAAGCCCATTTTCGCTCGGCTGAATATTTAACCTCCATTCGAGAGAGTAATTATGCTTAGAATCACACAGGTGAAGCAGTCAAGGGTCGTTTCAATGACGACGGAATGAAATTCTCTTTTTTTTTTTGAAACAAATCAGTCAAAAATGAACTTTCACGGCTTTAAATTACCCATTTCTCGAACTTTGGTCTCGGTTTTTACTTCAAAAATTTTTTTAAAATTGATTTTCAGTTTCTCAAACTTGTCTCATAGGAAAACAGATCGATAAATCTGAAGTCAACAAAAAATTTCCCATATTTTTTCTGGTCTATCAACCATTTTTCGCGTTTTCTTGTTTTTCAGCCGTCTTTTAATGGTACGAAATAAAACCAAACTCATTATTTTTTGTTTTCGTCTTCGAAATTGATATCGTCGAAAAAATTTCATGAAATAATATTGGGTAAAAAAGCGAAAAGTTCCAAATGGATATAACTTCAATATCAAAAAGTTTCAGCTCGAAAAGTTGAAAATAAACTTCAAAATAACATAACTTCCGTCAAAATGCTCCGATTCAAACAAAATTAACCCTTCTGAGCTTCTCATTTCAAAAAATCAAAAAGAAGAACAAGAAAACTTTTTTCAAAAGCTTGAAAAAAACCTTTCGAATAGAAAATTCTACTCAAAGCTCTAAAAGCACAGAAAAAAAGTTGAAAACTCACGTTCCACTGAGGTCGTCCGTCGAGACGTCGTCCAAATTCTCCGAAATGCCCGACGAAACCGACGAACTGTCTTCGAAGCTGAAAAAAATATATTTTCGTCTCCTCCAAATCTGAGAAAGAATGCGAAGAAACTGGTTTCGATGGCTACAGATAAATAAATCTCTATGATTCAATTTGGTTCGAAACGGTTGGTTTTGACGTGATTGGAGGTGAAAAGCCGGGCAGATTGTGGCGCGCGCGAATGAGAAAAATAAAATAAAAGGGAAACCTCGGGCCGAAAATATTAGGCTTAACTTTTCGTCAATGTGAAGGAGGTAATGGATTTTTCATATATAGGTTTTTTTAGACTTCAAAGAATATTATTTATTAAAATGTAAAAAAATAAGTATTAAAATATCGGATCATGTGACATATATAAAAAAAGTTTTAATCACTCAGAAAAAAACTTTTCTTGGGAAAATTTGGAACATTGGAACAAAAGAGAGTTTTTTTTCAAAAAAAAAGTTTAATAGTTCCCTGGAGCGCATTTTGATCATTTGACCCGAAGTTGAAGCTTACTTCCAATTATTTCCAAAAAAAAACTCTAGAAAATGCACGAACAACTGCATTTCAAGCTTCACATGGTTTCTAGTCCATTCAGCGCTAGTTCTAGAACTTTTATTTCAAGAAAAAGTCCTAATTAAAAGAAATAATTTCTCGAAAGAAGATCTCAAAAACAATAAAAAAAAGACCAGCTGCCAGGGGAACAGGGATAATAGTTTATTTGTAGTAGGGTACAGCAGCAAATCGGATTAGTCGGAAAACCTCAACAAATTCGGTGGTATAAGGGGGGCGGATGAGCATAATTCAGGTCGCCTGGCGCACCCTCCACTTGAACCAATCCCATTAGAATTCATTGGAGAAGGGGGTGGAGCCGTTGAGCGGATCGTTTTCAAAATATTTGGGATTCAGTTCAAACTTTGACTTGATTCAGTTGAAAACAAAAGGCTTAGGTTTGTAATTTGAGCTTGTTTGAGCTTAACTCAGTTAGAGATAAGAGTGAAAATATGAAAAAAAAAAATGAAATTTCGAAAAAATCGACGTCAAAGCTTTAGTTCAAAAATGCGGCCTCAGACGCATTCACATATGAAAAACTGAAGTTTCATATTTCAGCCCAAAGTTTGACTTTATTCCGTTAAAAAAGCCTTGTGCCTGAAAAATTATCTTTTTTTTTCTTTTTTTTTCAGTTTTAGAACTATTTCGGGTCCAGATCTTTCTGTATGATGATTTTTTAATTCAGGATCCGAGATACTGGTCCCGAAAAGTTTAAAATTTACACACCAAACATCAAATTCTTTGTTTAATCTAGCTGATTTCAAGTTACAAAAGATTTGAAAAGGAATAAAAATTGCCCCAAAAAAAGAAGCGTAGAAAAGTTCAAGAACAAGTGGGAAACTCGGTTTTGATGGCCCTTTCGGGCTCTCGATCCATTGAGCGGAAGGGAAGCGTGTCCCCCCATAAAAAGGCAACTTCATTCGAGTGGCTCATCGTTGGATATTCGATTGGAATTAGCCTCAGCATTGCTGGTTAGTATAGCTACATCATAAGAAGTTCAAGATTAAGAGGGGGGAAAAAATTCAAATTTTTTTCTGAGCCGGATGAAAAATAAAGAACCTAGCCCGAATTGTTTTTAAATTGCTCTTTGAGACGATAATCCACGTGGATAAATATCTTCTCCTCCACTTTCACGTCCTATTCTCATTTTAAGAGATCTGGTGAGGTAAGAAAGGTTACAGACAGGTCAGACTATTTCAAGTCGTGGCAAATAGAGTACAAAAACCAGAGAAGCCAGAGCCTTCGCAAAATTTGCTCATGTAACTAGAGGAAAAGAAAACCAAAAAACTGATCCACCTGCACATCTAACTTCTCGTCGGAAATTTAAAAAAAAATGTGTAACCTTATGTGTACGACAGTAAAGAACGTGACAACTAGAACGTCAATTGTTTGTCGATATTATTGTGCAATTTTGGCCTCCGGTCCTAATGGCTTGTTATTGCGTGAACGCCGTGCCGAATAAGGTATTCAGTGTGTGTCTTTGAAGGGAAAGCCGCCTTGACGGAAGCCTCATTAAGCACTTCCGACACGGGGCCGACACTGTCTCTACACATGTACAGATGGGCGCTTGACACGCCTCGGTTACAAGATTGCCTTGTGACCAGGTGCTTGATTGCCAAGAAGCCGTTTTTGATGAAGACCGGAAAGGTTGGAAAAAAAAGTTTTTGGAAAAGCCTGAATGAACCTAGAAAGGATCTTCAGAACGTTATTCAGACTTGATTCAAACCATAAAGTTTAGACCTAAGCTTCTAAAAAGGTGAAAGTATGACAATAAAAGGCGACAAGGTTTCAAAAAGGTTCAATGATCAGCGAAAATTCGAAAACCTACAGAACATTTTCCTTTTCTCGAAGACTCCTAAGCCTAATAAGGCCTTCCGGAATAGTTGATTTTTTGTTGAAACTTCTTGAGATTCGCACGATTTCGGTGCTCAAATAGCTTCCTATTCATTCCATGGAAGACATTTGAAATCCACTAGGAGAATCTCCAAAAAAATATAACTTTTTCGCTTCCAGAATATTTCAAGATATCCACAAATTTTTCCTATCACCAAAAAAGCAAAAATACCTCAATCTGAGCAGGAGCCGATCCAAGTAGGACATCCCAGCAGCAACTCACCAGGCACTAATGACTATACAGCTCAGAAGCCAAAGCAAGTTGAGAGCGCAAAGGTGAAAGACCTTTAGAAATAATTCAGTGGAGGCCAGGTTGGACAAAGGACGAGGCCAAAATGGAAACTTCCCTTTCTAGGTTTCCAAAATGAGGAATTTTGACTGTGTACATGTAGGTCCTTAAATATGCGTCGGAAAACTGGTATTACCTCAAAAAAAATTAGACAAAAGGTTGGACGATTAGGAAACACAGATAAAAATTTCGCTGTTAGGTCTAAAAAAAAGGAACGTTTTGACTGCCTAAACTTGACAGCTGGTCATTTTTTGAGAAAAAAAATTATTGCAAACTCGTTAGGCAAAGGGAATTTCGAGAAAAAAAAATCCATGAGGAAAACTTCTTTTTGGGTATAGAAAAAGGAAAATTTTTGGCTTTCTCAATTCTAACAGCTGGACGATTGGAGCCAAAGTTGAAAAACGGACAAAACTCATAAAGAAATCTCCCTTTCGAAATTTGAGAAAAGGAAAGGGAAATCGTTGACTACATACACGTTGATCTTAACAACTGGTTACTTTTTTTAAGGTCTCAGTTGAAAATTTGGATCAAATCCAAAAAAAGAAACTTCCCTCTCCAGGCCTAGAAAAAGGGGGCTTTCGACTGTATACATGAAGATCCATACAGATAAAACTGACAGCTGGCCACTTTTTTTTCTCCTGCTGGCCAACGCAACACGTGCGTATGTTTTTCGATCGCAATTTGTGCGCAATAAAAGTGGAAAAAAAGCGATGCACGTGGCCGATCCAACAGAAAAAAAGGCGCACAATGGAAAAGAGCCATAGACGGACGGGAAGCTGGTCAGAAGAACATCTGCGCGGCAGGAAAAAGTTTCAATGGCAGGTGGTCATAGAAAACGGAAATTAAAGATGGATTGAAGTCTTTCATATCAAATTCTCTAGCAAGATAAATTCGATCCAGCTTTTCAGAGAAATTTGTTCAAAACTGTCAAGAGAACTGAAAATTTCAAATTCGACGCTTCTGAAAAAATATTTCTTCTTGGGAAATTCTTCATTGTTAAAAAATGATTAGTAAAACAATAATTTTCAGTCTTGAGAATAAATAGATCAACTTTTTTTGGAAATTGATCTGAAGCGTCCAAAAAAAACGGCTTCAAGGAATGAATAAAATGTTTTATGGCGTGATAGATGGCCAAAAACGGAGCATTTCTCAAAATCCAAAAAAGAAATCTTAGAAACTGAAACCCAAGTCAGCTCAACCAAAAAAAAAAACCAAAAACCATCTAAACCGAAAAAAACTTTCAAAAAGAGAAACTCGGGAGAAAAAAAAAGGTGATCTTTCTCCAAACGACATGCGGTTTGGCGCAAAATCGAATGCAAATTGACCGCAGCCGTCGCTTGTTTATTTATTTTCGATGTACTTCGTGGTTGGCGTCAAGAGCCATTTGGTTTGGCTTGGAAGAAGTTGTTTTTGCGGGTCTCGGGTTCCAGAAATATGAGGCAAGACGATATGGCAAATGTGGTGCCACTTAACGAGGGTAATTGGAGTAAACTTGAGGAAAAAACACAGTTACCAGACTCTCTTGTCTGGAAAAAGGGTCTTATACGTGAAATTTCGCGGTTCTCGATCAAAATTAAAGCTACCAATCTTGAAAATTTCAAAAAACAAGTTCGAACAATTTTAGCCTATTGGAGGCTCAATTTTGTTTTTCAAAAGGTGACAATAAGTTATCGAAATCAATAAATTTTGAGAACAAAACTTCAAAATCGTTTGAAAAAAATTGGAGTAAGATTCGCTCCACGGAACAGCCTACCAAATTAATAAAAAAAAAGAAATTTTCGGAAACAAAATACCTCAAAAACTGAGTATTTTTACAACTTTCATGATCTTCATCAGATCAACCTAATTTCCGGCCATCTTTCCAAAAATCCAAAAGTTCCAGCTAGATACACCTTCCCCGTAGATTTTCAAGTCAAAACCAAAATCTTAGCCTTCCCTGAACTTGGCTCGGAATATTTAACCTGAATAATTACTCAGTGGAAGACGAAGAGCACAAAATTCAGGAAGCCTTCCAAAATTTCCAAAGAGCCGAACGATTATGAAATAATGAGTCAGGCGCCTCGGAGAACGTCTCCGCTGTGTGAAGTGAAGCTTTTGCCGGGGCTCATTTATAATTCCAACGGCATTTCGGCTGCGGCCCGATTTTATCGCCATATCTGATCGTTCCGTGGCTCTGAGCCAGCCTCGTTTCGGTTCGGGTTTCATTGGCCGGCCGGGGGGATGCCGCCAAAAGGCTCATGAAGAATTTTCATTTGATTTGAGCCGCGTCGTTCCACTCGAATATTGCGACAGATGATGATGAGGCAAAATCAAAGAGAATCGACGGAAACCTTTGACAGGCTTAAAAGCACAGCAGCTTTTGTCAGTTCCAGATTTCTGGCATTTTGTGAACTTCTCAGTGTATTTGAAGGCGCAAAAGTCTTGAATAATCTAAAACAGTCTGAAGACGACCTAGAGGCCTAGAGACTTTCAAAAAAATTTTCCTATGCTTCTTTAAATATCTTAGCAAAGATTTGTGACTTGAAGCAAGAAATCTCAAGTTCACAATCCGTAAATGAAGATTTTAAAGAAGAAAATTGTAGATTTCGACTTCTACTGAAAAACTAACAGCCTAGAAAACTCAAAAAAAGCTGAATTTTAAAGCTTTTTTGTCCAGATACCAAAAAGATTCATAAGATTGGCCTCTAAGGCGTAGAAAATTCCTAAAAATTTCCCTTTGTATCTAAACTTGACATTTCTGAAGTATTTTCGTCGTAAGGTCAGATGAAGATCCTTTTTGGTAATTTAAAGTAAGTAGAATTGAAAAATGATTACTCTTTTTGAAAATATTTATTAAAACTTTTTAAGTGGACGCCTTTTGTAAAAAATGTCTATTACTTTAAAGTTTTACTCTAACCTTCCCATTTGGAAAGGACACTGGAAACCCCTTAAAACTGTGGAAGACCTTGACAAAAAAAATGGCTACCTACTCGATACCCAAAAAATCAAACCATAAACTGTTTCGAACCATTTTTCTTCCAAAACGCTTCAAAATGTTCGAAAAGGCGTACCTATCCGGATAGTCGTGTGCTCGTCGCGCCACATCGCCATACTCTCTCATTTTCTCCTTCATTCGGGTGTACATGGCGACGCCGCCTTCCGAAGCGTATCCACTCGATTCTGCAAAATTCTAGAGTTGATCTGAGGTTCTGTTCTTCCTGGGAATTCAGTCACAGAAGTAGATTTGAAGATAATTGTATAGAGAATGGAATAAATTCTACAATTATGCCGCCGGAAACCCTAAAGTGGATTCTTTGATTGCATTCAGAAGTTTAATCTTTTTAAAATTTCATATTGATTGGCTAGAAAATTCATGATGTAACTTTTTAGAGAAATTGAATCCTTAAGTGATAACTTCAATCCTTGCTTCAGAGGAACACCTCTGTGGAAAAACAATTGAATCTTTAGTTTCAATCAAGCTTATTTAAAAAAAGGAAATTGTACCAGAAAGCTTCATTTTACTAGCTTTTCAACTCTCAATTTGTTTTTTACAATTTGAAAACTCTCTCCACTTTTTACACATCTCACGAAAAATATCCCTCCACGGAGCTGTCAATCTTTCAAACCTCTATTGAAGTTCAAATCGAACACCCTCTCTTTCAACTAATTATACCTGTTCAAAAATAGAAGAAAGGCGAGAAAATGACATGAATCAGTGGAGAGGAAACTTCACATGTTGCCGACAAGTTATCTTGACTACCGATCTAAGGCGTCACTCAGAAGTGACAACGAACTGAGGGAGAGGGACGAACCAGTCGTGTGGGAGCGGGAGGCGTCGAGCGACGTCCCCTCGGAGACGTAGCCACAGGCGGCCGACGTCGACGCCGACGGTTTCAGTCGGATCGTCGTCGACACCGAGTCCAGCGAGTCTTCGCTCGTCGATGAGTCGACGAAGCCTGAAACTTTTTCCTTTATTGAAGGAAAAGGATGAAAAACTCAAGTAAACGAAAAATGTACTCCACAAAAACTATCACCTTTCTTTTTTTGACAGATTTTTCAAAAAAGGCAAAACATTTGAGTAAATGAAAAACGAACCTCCAAGAAAAAAATAATAAGTTTTTTTCTTTTTCTGTTTCAATAAATCTGTGATTTATACATTGAAGGGTCGAATGTTTCAAAAAGTAAAAAATTTTCATAAAAAGTTGAATATTTTCTCAAATAAACTTCTAAAAAAGGCGCACCCGACCACTAAACAACTTAAGGCAATTGAAAAATTTGGAGCAAGCCGTTCAGTTTTTCAGTTTACGTGGACTCTGAGCCATTCCACGTGCGGCAATTTTAACAATTCACTTTGAAAAAAAGTGGAAATTCATTCAATAAGAACGCTTCTATGGAGAAAAAGGATCCAAAAGGCAAAAATGGAAATTCTGAAGCCTTCCTTCAGCCCAATATTATCTCGATAAAAATCGAGGACCATAAAAACGGTTCTCATAAGACTGCTTTCCCGGTTTCCTCGTCTCAAAAAGACGACAAATTGTGAGGGAAATTATTACATTCATTACGCGTGACGGCTAACAAGGGGAACCACAGGCGGTCATCATAAAGATGACGGCAGGCAGCTGTCCGGAAACCGCAGGACGTTTTGCCGGTGGTGGAAGGCACCAAGGGCACCAAAAAGGAGGCTTTCCTATGCATTAACCGAAACGAAAAGATCACAAAAAGATAGATATTTTATAAAGCTGTGGCTGGCTTGAGCTTTCGAGAAATGGGTCCTGACACGATAACAAAAGGGACAGTTCCTGGTTGTTGGAAAGCAAAGACAGGCCCCGCCTCTTTGCGTCTGAAGTCAGCCGTGAATCGGCTATATGTGTTATCCGAAACGAATAATCTCCTCAACCTTCGTTCAAAATAGGACATAAGCGTAAAAAGTGAGCACTAAATCAATAGTTCTTTGAAACATTTTGCCTTGGATGTTCATTTCATTTCTACTCCCTCTGAGGGTCGTGTCCCCTCTAGTGGTCACTAATAGCGTCCCATTGGAGGACCACTTCAGTTTTTTCTAGTGGTCCAATCAAAATAGTTTCGGCAAAATGAAAATGACCGTGTTTTGGAGGGTCATAAAGCATAAATTAAGTAATTGATACTCAAAAACAAGCGAAAATCATAAAATAAGTATACATCTCCAATTTTCTAGTCCAACAACCCTTCCTTCGGATCTTTCTGATCAAAATTGAGTGAAATCTCTTATTGATGTCTTATTTTTGTCATTACAACTTCTCTAGGAGTAGAAACTCATTTTTATACCCTTTTTTTCGAAACGTTTTTAAAGCCAAGCCCTCCTCTCTGAATTGAGTTATCTTTTTCACCTATGTTCGCGCCAGAACTATCTTCAGAAACTCATCTAACCTTTTTTGTTATAAATATTTTCGGCCTCTGAAAAAACTGACCCAGACGATTGCTTGGCGCACAGATTCGGCCTTGCTGCAACAGTTGGTTGTAGGTGGGGGGCTGTCGAATTGGCGGCATCGTCGGAACCTGCAAATCGAGAAAAAACAGTGGTATTTTCCCGATGGAAACGAGATTTCTGAAAATGTGAGAAAAAGGGGCTGAAAATCCTAGAAGCCTCTGAACATATGATAATTTTGAAAAAATTAGCGAGCCCGATGAAAACTTCTCTTTTAAAAATCAGAATCTAAAACCAAAAAGCCTCTGTGAATATGTTCTAATGATTTGGAAAGATCTAAAAAGCTCAAAAATGCCGATTCCTATGACTATTTTTTTTTGAATTCAGAGGCTGTATCATCGTAAAAAATACAGAAAAGAAAAAAGTGGGCGGAGCCTCGGATACTTCAGCCTTTCAAAAAGGCGTAAGAATTGAAAACCGTCTCACAATATCTAGGGAACACTTGCCTAGAGCAAAAAAAAAACTACACTACCATCTGGCCGAATAAAATTGATGAGCGGAAATAAGAAATCTATAAGTTCCAGCCTTTAGAAATAGTTTGGAGCTTTAAATAACTCTAGTTCTGGCACTACAAGAGCCTACCTACCGACAAGAAAACTACAGTAATTCCAAGAGAAGAACTCCATTTCAAAACCTGAAATTTCCAGCTTTTCCTATCTATCCGAAGCCTAATAGTTCATCTAGCCCTACCAAGGAACTACCCGCCAGCAAGAAAAACTACAGTAACGTCTGAGTTTCAGCCTCTGAAACTTAGTGGGCGGAGCTTGTAAGCAACAGTTTGGAGGGGAAAAACGGCACCTCGATGGTGTGGGGAGTGTCCTGGGCGTCGAAGGTGGTTTCGAGGCGCGACGCTTTCGACTGCTGCCTGCAAAAGACAAGGTTCACCACTTCAATTGGCCCTTCTTCATTCGAAGCCATTAATATGACGGGAAAATTGGTCGCGCACAAGGCGACTTGCAGAAACGAATTGAAAAAAAAAGAGAAGAACTACGGACGGTTTGGCAAGATCGTTGGGCTGCGGTGACGTCGTCGTCGATGTTGACGGCTTCTCCGGAACCTCTTCTGAATCCAGATGTGAAGCGTCGGTCAAAAAGACATGTCTATTTTAGTCACTGTTTGTCTAAGCTGAGTAAGAAATTTTTCCAAGCTTTTTCGGGTAGTAGACCAGTTAGTCGTGAACTGTAACCCTTGCACAGTTTAATTATTTTTTTTCAATTACTCGAAATTTGAAATAATAAGCCCTTCATTGGAACTTTGAATTATTCAACCAGATTTGAAGTTTGGAATTTTTTTATTTTCAACCGAGTAGGTTAAAATGAGGTGCAAAAACTTGACTTTAAAAAAGTTTCTATTATTTCTTTTAGTGTCGAACTTCAAACGGCTTAATGATTCAGGCAAATAAATATACCTTATATTAACTTAGAAGTATAAAATCAACCCATTCATTTGAGTCAATCAAAAAACCACGAACCTGCAAACTTGCGCTGATTCAACATGGGGCTGACGACGCCAACGACGGCCGGGGCCTTCTCTTTCTCTTTGGCATCAAAACGAGGTTCAAGAGTTTCTGTAGGCGAACTGTCCTCATCATCACCGTCATCTGTAGGACAGGGCTTAGGTCGTCTCAAAGGCTTCAACGACAGCTTCTCGCTCTTCGTGACGCCCTTCACCGCCAGCGTTGGCTTCTCCTAGAATTTCGAAATGATCCTTCTATTGTCAAACTGATTCATAAAGTTCGTGTTTACCTCCCATTAAATTACATCTATGGCTATTACAAAAGGAGATATTGATTGAATCTACGCCCCTAAAATAATTGAAGCGTCCATTTTCAGAGAAAATTTGAAGTGGCTACTAGAGGGTTTTTTGATTACTGAGGACCTCTGTAGTCCAATCAACGATATCGTGAGACAACATAACTACATAGACGTCTTAAACTCTTAATTTCGCACGATATTTCGCAGAGCGTGTATAGACCATCCTTCCATAATGTCTCAATTCAGTAATGAATATATCCAAGTGGTCACTAAAGAGTTTCAAACGGATATCTCACTTTTCACTGAAGCTTCTGAAGCTAACTGAATTTATTCATTTAGCGTCTTTGTAAAATGAAAACTCGCTGTCCACTAAAGTAGCCTCATGGCTAGAGGGCCGATTCTAAATAGTTCTCAATATCTTTTCAAACTTCTGAAACAAAAAATGCCAATAAAAAACCAACATCGACAGGTTTCGGCTTAGAACTCATCGATGTCGCGGAAGGTTCCTCAGAATTGGCGAAATTGGGAGGAAACCCCTTCTCGAGAGCTCTGTAAAATTGGGAAAAATGATCATTTTTTTTTTTTGAAGTCGAAACCTTGGACGAGGTTGAATGCATGCTGATGGATCCCTCGGTCGATGAAGCCGGCGACGTGCTGTTGAAACCGACGTACGCCGAGTCTTCCTCACTGCTTTTTGAGCATCTTGAAAGTGGAAATTGGAAGATTTCTGATTAAACATCCTTTCAACGGATCAACTGACCACATCTTGATAAAGTCACGTATTTAAGCAAGTTTAGAGCCTAACTATTTGGAGAGAAGGATTATTTATCACTCTCAAGGAAATAAGGATTTACATTACCCTCTAACCTCAGGTAGAATGAGGTACGAAGGTTTTTAAAAATCGTCTGCTTAGGTATGGACAGTCTGACCTGTGCTTTCTTTTCCTCAACACTCACAAAAACATAAGTACCTTTTTTCCTTTTTTTAAAAAGACCATTTTTTGTAAACTTTCTTATAACACCATAACTGTAATACACCAGCTAAACTGCCTTTTTTTATTACGGTTTTTTTAAATTTCTCTAATTTTTGAATAAAGTTGTTAATCTAGTCTTTCGAAAAGTTCTGATTTTTTTTAAAAGTCAATTTGCTTTTCATTTTTCAAATCATTAAGAAGCTTTTCTATATTCTAGATTTCTAAGCTTCCTCTTGATTCTATGAATACTTTCACGAACAAAATTAACCTAACTGGCTACATTGGGAAACCTCAATGTTTCTCCAGATCGTTTCAGGTCTTTGTTACTATCCCTCGATAACAATTTCCTTTTTGGATCTATTCCCAGCAGACTTCGTTGAACCAGGTACCCGTGCTTCAGCCCTACTCTAATCCATCTTATGCGCGTCTATATCATTACAAACGATTAAATTCCCCACTCACCTGTGCTACACTGTGTCATAACTTATACTTTCTTTTCTATTTACTTTTTACCTTTGTGCAATCCTCACCTCTTATTCTTTCATTACTGGCTCAGAGGCTCGTGAGGGCCTCAGGTGCCTTTTATTTATTTATTTCAGGCCTAATGCCAAATTTTTTTCTCTTTTTTTCTGTACATGTTATTTTTGTTCTGCCTGTAAATAAATAATATTATTGACCTATTTCTGTTACTACGGTACCCTGCTATTCGTGTCAAAACCACTTCTTCAAAGTTAAAAATCTACCTTTTCTCAATCGTGACAGTGTCGACCCGTTTCGGCGGCGTCGAGTTCCTCACTTGAATCGCAGTCTGAAAATTCCCTTTTTCAGTATTGAGACGAAACAAAAACAAAATCTTAGAATAGAAAGGTACTACTCGAAACTAGTGTAGACGTCAGAAAAGAAACGCGAAATGAAAGATGACGCGACAACCGGAAAAGGAGCATCAAGCTCGAAAAACTTCGCCTTTTTCATTAACGAAGGCCCCGGGGCGCACATAAAAAGCCTCCACCCTCACCACTCACAACTCGGCTTTCCCCGTGAAAAAAACGGAAAGAAAACGTGAGTTTTTATATACCAGCAGACTGTTACGTAAACGTATCGAATTTTATGACAAATCGGAAAAATTTGATAGCTTACTGACTAGCGCAAGAATATAATGGGAACGGAGGTCTTTTTTCTGTAAACACTATGGGAAATGAAAAGTTTTACGGCTCAAACAAACTGGAAAAAACTCTTTCCGTGGAAAAATACTTGAATATGGATGGTAGCGTCAGAGGGAACACTTTTCCATGTTTTGAGATGATTTTTGACAGTTTGTCATGAGTTTTGTTAGATTTGAAGAGCAACTGAAGTTAAATCCGCTCCGAAAAGTATAAATCCGGATCCCATTGGGAATGAGAAAAGTACAGAAGTTTTCAGGTAGAAAAAAATATCACCAAAATTCTGAAAAAAAAATCCTGTTTCAACATCGGTTTTCCAACCTAATCCTCCAATTTTTGTTAACCTCGCATAAGATATTTTTTTCAAAATCTATGAAAGAATATCTGGGAACCTATCGTGGAATTGTTTGTAAAAGAGACATTTCAAAAAAAAAAAATGAGCTTTGAAACCAAGTTATAAGTGTCAAAAATTCTCTCAAAGCTCATTTTGAAGCCCAAGTTTTATGAAATAATCTGAACAAAAAAATACGATAAATTTCCTTTAAAAAATGCAAAGTTGGAACGATTTCGAGAAATTTATTCAAAAAAGACGAATTTTAGAAAAGATCCATCAAACTGATATGAGCATTGGCGTTTTTCAACCATTCGTGAAGCTGTAAAACCGAAATTTCGCACGAATCCGAGACAAAAACCGATTGAAAAGTGTAAAATATACATACAGGAAAGAAAGAATGTCTCTCTTTTCCTCTCGGAGGCGACAGGAGCCAACTCGTTCCAGATGTACAACTTCCGTCCGCCTTCTCCGAAAGAAAACCCTCGTTTTTGCCTCATTTTCTGCCCATTTTTTTCTTTCGGTCGTGCTCCTCTCGCCGGGGGTCAATTATACAACGTTTTTATGACGCCTTGCGGATTCCGACGTCATAAACTTCATAAGAGATGGTCTTCAGGAAGTTTGAGTGCAATGGAGGCAGGAAAAAATTGCCAAAAAGCTTTTGGTAGTGAAACTAAATGTTTGCTCTCTAATCTTTTCCATCAGTTTCTTATAAATCGATGCTCGCTTATAACAATCCTGGTCATACAAAAAAATCTGAAAATTGAATTTTATCAATTTTAACGATAAACCGCACAAGACTTTCTCATTTTAGCTCTTATTCCCACCAGGAAAAAAAATCTTGCCTTAACGACAAAAAAAGTATATGAAAATACCTCAAAAAAATACAAAAACTGAGTTTAATTATAGTTGGAGCGCCTAGATCTGCTGAATTTCAGCCGTCTTTAAATTAAGTCTGTTCCACGAAAAAGAAAAGCAAAAAACTTCAAAAAAAAATCTCAAAAACATGGAAAAGTGTTCCCTCTGAGGCTACCATCCATATTTAAGTTTTTTTTCATGGTAAGAGTTTTTTCAATTTGTTTGAACCGTAAAACTTTTCATTTCCCATAGTGTTTACAGAAAAAAGACCTCCGTTCCCATTATATTCTTGCGCTAGTCAGTAAGCTATCAAATTTTACGAATTTATAATAAAACTCGTACGTTTACGTAACAATCGGCTGGTATATAAAAACTCACGTTTTCTTTTCTTTTTTCATTGGAAAATCCAAGTTATGAGGGGTAGAAGGCTTATCGGATCGATTGTGATAAAGCTGCATCCGACCGAGAAGCGACTTGACGGAAAAGCTTAGAGTAGGCTCCAAATCACGCCAAAACTTCGAACTTTTAATCTTAACCGCAGCGCGACCGTTTCGCGTTGAGCCATTCTAAATGCGTTCGGGAGAATCTTAGTAGTTTCTAGTACATTCTAAGTAAGTCAGAACACCCTGGAGACACCCTAGAAGAGCTCGATTCCATAGACATGCTCTGAATAATTTTCATAAACTCGAAGGATCTTCTTAATCTTGGTAAGACCTGAAAACAAGTCAAAAAAAAGCTTGAAAAGCTTAGAGTCGGCTGCACTTCCAAAAAAAAAAAAAAACACCGAGATTTTAATCTGAACCGCAGCGCGACCGCAACGCATTTAGCCATTGCAAATTCCTCGAGGGGAACCGAGATAAGCCCTGAAGCATCCTAAAGAGGCTTAGAGAATCCTATGAACATCATTTAACCTATAAAAAAAACTTTCAGAAACCAGAAAAAAGAGAGGAAAAGTAGTGTCGGGTTTGGAGACGAAGTAAAAGAAGTTTATCAGGAGGAAATCTGAACGAGGCCTCGAAACGACGGCATGATCTATTAGGTCCGGCGTTCCGTCGTCCCCTCAGGGCCAATTATCCGCCGCCAACTCTCGGCCACCCATTCAACTCTTCTTTCAGTTTTCTTCGTTTACTTTTTTTGTGAAAAAGGAAAACCTACCTCGGTAATGGGAATTTGTTGAGGCTGTTTCTTGTTGGCGAATTTGGTCGGAGCCTTCAGGACGCTTCTTGTCGTCGAAGCTGCTGCTGCAGGCGCCGCTTTTCGTGTCTGAAAGAACGGAAAATCATTCATTTAGTATGGCCTAGAAGGATTTCCGTCGATTTTTTCTTTTTCTTCGTGTTGAGTAGTGAGCAAACTGAGCTGAGAAATCTTTCTGAAGAACGGAGAGTATTCGAATCAGAGAGGTGAGGTTTACAGAAAAGTTTCAAAAATCTTGAGATCCGGTGAAGTTTTACACACAGTTCTGTGAGCTGAAAACCAAGAAAAATAACTATAAATAAACTATTCGAAAAGGGTTTTTTTCGCCAGTTTTTCGCCAAAAAAAAACCCAAGGCGTTTTAAGGAGACACCAGAGAACGAGATTTTCTCTATTTCTCTGGTGCCTTCAAGCCGTCACTGGTCTCTATTTTTTCTGAGTCGAGTTTCTTATCGCACTTGACCAAGCAGCTTTTTGCATGAAAGACGTATGATCTATTTTTCTGCATTAGAAAGTAAAACTTGACAATCTCTGGATGCCAGTTTTCAAGTTTTTGAGTTGCCTCACGTATCTGTGCATTTCTGGTTGCTTGATTCGAACTCTAAACTTTAATTCTGGTTCATTTTTTTCAAACTAAAAATTTTAGGTTTTACTAGGAAGTAAACCAACTAGGAAAAGCCTTTTCAATAATGCTGAACTCTTAGAAATAAGCTGAATCCAAAAATCTCTCGAGCTTCACTTTCTAGCCTCGATTTCAGTAGGAAAAGTAGATAATCTGACTTTATCATCCTCAAAACTTCGCTCACCGTGCTCGGCGACTGTTGAGGCGACGGCTGCTTCTTGTTGAACAGCTTCAACTTGAGCATGTTGTTGTCGTTCTTGTCGTTGGCCACAGTATTGGTTGTGATTCTGGCGGGTGCTATCCGCGTCGCAGTCGTCGTCTTTGGCGGTTGAAGCGCGCGTCGGTTGGTGGACGGTGTCTGAATCGCCTTGGGGACTGGCGACGGCGACGGGGAGATCGACGGGATCGAGGCGTAGGTCGCCGAAGAAGCTACGCTGCTACTGCTTCGCGTCGACGCTGCTGATGATCCATTGTTGTTTCTGGAAAAATGCTTATTTCAAGCAGCACAATTTTAAAAAATTAGCGAGTTTAGAATCGAAACATTATCTGTATTCACCCGTTACTCCTGCTCGGTGGCCGAATCGAAGAACCTGGCGGCTTCAGGCCCGAAGTTTTGATTGGAGTCGTGCAAGTCTTCACGTCTGAAAAAACTACATAAAACACCAAATTCAAAGCCATTTGAGAACAGAGGCAAATGAAAATGGAATGAGGTGGGGAGGAGTGGCTGGACCCATATTTTTCCTGCAGAATTCAAGGCTCTGGAAAAAAGGGCGATGCTTTTTTCCAGAGATTGATGAGCCGAATTTCGAGCGATTTCAGAATTTTTTTTTCTAGGAAAAAGAGAGTATTGTCTGTCAAAATTTTTGAGAATTTTTTCAGGGTTGGCTCAACCATAATTATTGTCTCAAGTAGAAATTATTGCCGAACTTTTTGAAGCTCTAACTTTTTTTCCACAGAACTTCAAGACATTTTTCAGAATTTAGGAGTTTCTGATACCTCCTAAAAAGTCATTCAATTCAGAGTTTCTTAAAAAAAAACAGCGAGAGTTTTTAAAAAGATGAAAAAGTCAGCTCGACCAATCGGTCATTAATATTGACACAGTATTTTATAGTTTTTTGTTCTTTTTTGTAACTGGATCGAAATTTCTGCCTAAAAAACGTTTACGTTCTTTTCTTTTACTTTAGCGCTCAAAGGCTTGAAACAGTCAAAAAAAATCTCTGAGATTTTTTCCAGCCGAATTAAGAAAATTTAAGAATTTCAAATTGATGAAACAGGTACTCCTGAACACTTCGACAAGAATATGTCAGTTAGAAATTTGAAAATAGTAAATTTCGAAGCATTTAAAAACGACAAAACAGGTCCTTAACACTTGAACGAAACTATGTCAAAAGATGCTACCCAAACGTGCGGCAATATATGGAAATGAGAAAGGGTACGAAAAGAGGAGGTGGAAGGCTTGATGCTTCTATGACGTTAATTGTGCTCAAATTGGCTGTCCGACTCGCCTTGGGAAGCTGCTGCAGCTCCTTCTCGACTCGCGCAACAAACGGTAATTAAGCAGATGGATTAGGTGCGAGTTGCCACCAGCTAAGTGAACGCAAAGTGAGCAGTTGAGAAATTGAATTCCCAATGAAAACTGAGAAAAATAATAATTAGAGCTACAGTCCTTTTCTGCCGACTTGAAAAATTTCTCTGCGCCCTTCTCTTCTCTCGGTGACCATCTCATTTTGAGATTGCTACTTTCATGTTTCTCTGACCTCGCCGGTGAGAGAACAGGGAGACGCAGACAGTTGAAAACTTCCAAGTCACGGTAAATAGACTACGGGGCTTTTTAAAATCTTTTTTTAACTTTAAAAAGTTTGATTTCGCAAAAAATATACTCTTGAAATATCAAGGAAACGCACAACTTTCCCAAAATTTCATGAAATATTCAACGAATAAAAAAGAAAGATTGTGTGGAAAAGTGAATAAAATTTGATTATTTTCAAAGTCAAAATGCTTAAAAAAATATCCAAATCAAGACAAAATTCCACAAAAAAAGATTGTTGAACTGCACCGGATATGAATAAAAAACAACCTAGATTCTAATAGTTGATACATAGTTATCCTATAAGACCAAAAAGTACTGATCATCGACTTTTAGAAAAAATTTCGCTTCTTCAAAACTTTTCCCTCCGAACACTACAGAAAGCAGTAATGAATGATCTAAACCCAAAAAAGGCGATCAAAACGTTCGGAACGTCGATCAGAAATGAAATAGGAAGGCAGCTGAGGCGAAAATCCACTAATACCCGCGCGGAACAAGCGCAGAGCTAAGCCAGTTACGGAGACCAACTGTGCTTCTCTAAAAGGCACAAGTGGAGACCGTCGAGGTCAATTCTTCAGTTCTCACCGTCACATGGACAGACATGAGGACACCCAAACAGGGTGGCTATTATAAGGCCTTGTGTAACTAACCTTCTCAAGCCAATTATTTACAGCTCATGTACCAGTTCCAACAAAAAAAAAACTACGAAGAGGGTTTTTTTCGGAAATCAAATAGAAGTAGCTTGATGGTCAGAGTGAAGGTTTTTGAAAAAAATTTTTTTCGTAATAAAACTCGATTTCTTCACGTTATCTGAAGATCTGAAGAATTTCCGTTTTTTCAACATTTTTTGTACCTGGTCAAAAAAATAACACGAATTTTCCATAATTTTCTTTCTGACGTATTTATTTTTCACAAACTGAGTCCTTACGTCCTTTGATTTCCCTGGCTCACGAACGATGTTAAAAAAACCTGATATTTGATTAACTTCTCAGAACTCGGGTTTTTTCTACAATTTCAAGTTGAGAATTTTTGATTTGTTCTTTTGAAAAAAAAATTATTTCGTTCTCCCAAACAAAAAAAAATCATTATCATCGCAGGGTTTAGGCTTCTCTATAAAACTAAAACTTCCTAAATGAGGGTAAAAAAACGAATTCTAAAAAAGCGAAAGCAAGAGAGCAGCGGCGGCCTGAAGAGACGCCAGGGAAACGAGAGTGCTTGAACTTCTCTGACCTCTCTTCAGGCTATAGTTGATCTCTCGCTCTTGCTCATATCGGACGGTGAAACATCCTATCAGTAGAAGATACAAATTTAAAAAGAATTCTGAGATCAAGTCTGCTCTCAAAGCTTTCGAGCATGGTAATTGAACATCTAAACGGACTTACATGGAAGGTTATTTTTGCGTGGGGTCTCAAACTTTCTATAAATTTGCTCAAATTTTTTTTTTGACGGACTGGGAATCATAGTCGCTATCTGCGCGAAATTCTGGTTTTGGAGATATGATTTTTCAAAGTTTTTATCCATGAACGGAATTCGTTAAATCGGAAATCGCTACTCCCTGACGTCATTTTAGGACTTCATTTATATCAAGAAATACGCGAAATCAAAATATTTGATTATATATATTCATTTAATTTACGTTAAACGGTTGAAGTATGGGAAGCCTTTTCTAGAAAATTCCGAACCCTACGCAAAAATGACCAATCACGTTAGCGTGAAAAAAAATTTATGAAAAGCGTAATATCCTCGAAAAAGGCTCAAAAGAAGCTTATAAAAATGGTATCCAGAAGAAAACAAAGAAGGAGGGTGTAGAGCCAATAAACGTGAAGGGTTGGTGAATTGTTTATTAGCCGACGTTCGGGTCGGTTTGTGGTGAAATTGCATCGGCATAATATAAAGGATTGGTCATGGAGACACGCGATATGTTCTGAAATTGGGCGGAAGTTCCCGAGGAAATGACTGACCAAAAGTCGAACTCTGCTCAAGTTCCCGTCGGCTAATTTTCGGATTAGAGAAAACCAGTCTCACACTACTTAAGGGACAACTAAGAGTCTTACGTTTTGCGGCAGGAGGCCGTAAATAAAAACAACTTGATTGTTTTGTGCTAGAAAGAATGAATACCTGGAAAAAAGGCTGCGAGAAAATTGAACGGAAATATTCAGCCGCCGAAAAAAATAAAGTATGGTTATTCATAGATTTTTATTTTCGCTTCAATGGGATAAAAACAAAAAGAATTATTTTTGTGAAATAGACGTAAAACTGTCGTTTTTCATGATAAACTTCCTTTGAAAAAAATGGTAATTCTCAATTTTATTAAAGATGCTTTCAAAGCCTCAGAAGTTCCTTTTTCTAATTTATTAAGTTTATCGTGATTCGATGATTGAAAAAGAAAAGTTTGAGTTCTGAAAAAAACCGAGTTTCTTCATTTTTTTCCAAATAAAAAATCGAATTATAAACTATTGAGAAAAATCTTCATTTCGTAAAAAAATATTTGAAATCATCGAAAATCAGTGGAGCGGATCAACTTGCAGGCAAATTCATTCATTTCGTAAAGGTAACTTCAAAGAATCCTGAAAATCTCGTTTTTCCTCGAAGAAAAGTTTAAAAAAATATGTCTTTGTTAAACTTTTGTGACGAAAAAGCTTACTTTTTTCGCTTCCATTACTATTTGGCGGAAAGTAGATTTTAACGGAAAATCAAAAATATTATTCGCGGTTATTTTTCTGTGTGGCATCTCTACTCAACTTCATCAAGCTCTAATGTCTCCTTCACATTTTTTGAGGTTCCAGCTTCCAGAACTCACAAAACTCTCACCATCTCCAGTGCCAGTGTAACTGTATGATTTTTCGCAGAAGACGAGCAAAAAAAGTTACCTTTATTAGGAGGGACGGCGATTCTGGTAGGAGGCTGGATTCGCGACATCGTCGTCGTCGTCGCCGAAGTCGCAGAAATCGAGGCGACCGCCGACGACTGCGGTCGAAGCGGCGAGGGCAACCTGAACGCGACGCGATGTCGATGCTTTTCACCAATACAATAACCGTCCCCACATTTTCTCTCGATACGAAAAGCCCTCGAGGCGTGTGAATAAAAAATCGCAAATGCATTCAAATTCGGCGACACCACAGAAAAAATTTATGTATGTTACGTTTTGCGTATGGAGACATTCGAGGCCTGGGACGGGTGTGTTTGGGAATTAATTTTTTATGTGGAGAACATCCGAAAGAATGTTCCGAGGTGCCATGGGAACAGGAGCAAAAACTTTTTGAGTGTATCAAGTTTTACAGCTTACTCAGTGAAACTTCAAAAACTCCGAATTCTCTGCGACCTCTCAAGTTCACGCTGTATCCACTTTTCTCTGACCCCAGAGAGATTCTTTAACGACTTGGAGAAAAAAAAATGAAATGAAAAAATCTAAAACCTTTGGAAAACATTTTTCAACCACCCGACCCATTAAAAAAATCTCAACTACGGTTATCAGTGGAGCGCATTTCGTAAATCAAGCTTTTGGTGAAAAAAATATTGCACTTCTTTCCTGAAACTTGAGAATAATTCAAGTTAGTCTTTTCACATTCAACCTTGATTTCCTCTGTTTGGATTTTCTCAGAAATCATTAATACATCAGAAACCTTCGAAATTAAAGAATCCAACTTCTATTAACAATGGCGGAAAATTTCTATTCATTGCACACGGCCTCAGAACCCAATTTCTCCAATGCCACAAAAAGTTAAGACAAACTTCGACACGGCTGGCGGCATTTCGAGCTTCTTGAGCTCGCGCTTCTGCTGCCTCAGTCGCTGTTTGAAGGTCGAGAGTAGGTAGAGGAGCTGGAGGACCGCCCCCAGATGACCGCCGTCGATATCTGCAACCATGATCTTGCTTTCTGAGTCAGCAAAGGAATCGGCAGAATCGGAAAAAAGGACAGTTTCCAAGATTGAACTTTCATTCAAAAAAAAGTTTAAGAAAAATCTCATGATTTTTAGGAACCATAAATGTGCTTCAGGACAGTTCCCAGCTATGAGGTGATCACTCCAGTAGTTAATATCCCTTTAGAGTTCCCTTTACAGAGAAACTTTCGGTTCCTTCCCACTGAGAACAATATTTGAAAAATTGACGAAAATCTCTGATTGGTTGGCCACGCCTTCATTTCAGTGGAGCTAATTAGTGAAAAGATTCATTAGAGCGCAAAAAATATATATGTCCAGGTTATCGCCAAAAGTTCAAAAATATTTTCTGAGCACCGGGCAAAACTACAAAATAAATTTTTAAAAAAATCAATCAAATACGAATCTCTTCAACAAGAATTTCGAAGAACTGAAAACTCAAGAAAAATCGGTTATGAAACTGTGCCAGAAAAAAAGAAGCCGGTCAAACACAGATGAGTCATTCGCCGCCCAAAAGAAATCATGCAAATCTCGTTTTTCCTACATTTTTTTTGCTCGCTTTTGGAAGCAGGAAAAGCCCCGAAATTGTTTGTAGTAAACGATTGGTGAGTACAAGTAAAAGTGGTAAGTAAACAAGAAAGATAAAAAAAAAATAGCAAGAAATGGGAAAAAAATAGGGCAAGCCTTCAACAAGAACGGAGGCACTTCTTTCAAAAATCTTCTAAAATTTATTATCTTTTCGAAAAGACAATCCACAACTCTTTTTCAATAAATTTTTCGCAGAAATTAGACAATTTCAACCTTGGTATTTCAAAAAAAAAAAACGGAAACTTGTCAATTTTCCTTCAAAAAGCTCAAAAATACACTTCCTTCGCTGTTACAACTCGAAAAAATAAAATGGCTATCTAAAAAAACAACAGCTACCGTTTAAAAATAGAAAAAATGATGGGATAAAAATATTTTCTTCTGTTCAAAAAAATTTTTGAAAAATAGCGTGAAAAGGAAAATGATGATGAAAGACGGGCGGAATATATATATTTTTAACGACTTTCCAAAACGATTCGGACGGAACGGCTTTTTGTACTGGAAAGGGCGGAAAGTCCATATTTCTCTATTTTCGAGCCTCGCAGATATTTTTATATTGATTATGTTAAGAACTCCCACTGGAATCATGGTTTAGATATCACCGTCAAGGAAGTTTTCCTACTTTCCATTTGGCAAGTTTCGGAAAATTGGTCAGGAGACACCCAGATATGCTGAAAGAGAAGTTTGAAAGTTTCAACCTAAGAAATTGAAGTTTTCGAGAAAAAAGGATAAAATATCTCAAAATGGTATTTCTGATGAATTTTCTTGGATAAGCTTTGAAATTTTCTTGATCGAAATTAGCGAGTTATGCAGGTTAAGCGTTTAGGATCTTTGAACAATACATCAAGGAACAATCTGGCCAAGGATCAGAAAATTCCGAATCGTTGAATGAATTAACCTCATTGTTGGAAATTCATCTGAATATCTAACTCCAGTAGAGGTTGCAAATATAAATAATTAAAAAAAATCAGTCCAAATTTGGAAAAAAAAATGAATAAAAAATGGACCACCTCCATACAAGTGCACAAATTGATCAGAGCCTGATTGTAAATTAAAAAAATTTCTGTCAAGAAATCAAAAAATGTTAAGTTCAAAAAGTTGCAAAGTTCAATGATCTCCCTAAAAAGACAAAAAAGTTCTTGGTTCCTAAAACTTTCTGGGCTCCACCTAATCAAATTTTCTCAATCAACTGAGAAAATGAAAAAAAAGGTATCATAAATTCGTAAAACATGAAAGATGGGACGGCTTGGAAGACATATCTTCGAGGCAAAATAAATAATATTCCAACGGGACGACGACGCACATGCGCCAAACTCGCACATGTGTTCCCCGAGTTCCGTTCCTACAATTTTATTTTTATTTTTATGCGATCAAAGAGAAAAAAATATGAATGAAGTTGACAGCATCATTTTTTGTTACTTTTGAAGAAACAAATTTTTTTCTCATTATTTGGGGAGCTTCTTGAAGTCAGAAATATTCAATAGCAGTTTATGGAAATAGCCAAACTCATTGAAAAGTTCTTCGCTCTGAAAATTACTCTAATTTTTTTAAGATGGCCATTTCTAAACTTTGGTCATTTTAACTTTCTCATGTCTAAATTTTAGTCAATGCTTTTTCGGTTGCCTTGGAAAGTCATCTCTGTGAGAAGGATTTCTGAGAAATCTTTTAAAATCAAAAAAAAGGATCTCCAGCTTCTACTTGAACAAACCTTCTTAAGTGATCACTGGATGGTTCCTAAAAGGACCACTCGAAACTTGAACATCATTCAATCAAAAATTGGAAACTACAGGAAAGATTCCCCATCAAACATTTTTCGCAAAAAAACAACTGCCCTCAAAAAACTACATAATAAACTCCAAAAAAGCTCTCTCAAGAACCAATGAAAAATGAAAAAATGGAAGAAACTCAAGGATCTCTCATTTTTTTCAACATGCAAAAAAAGGTCGCGAAGAAATGTGCGAAAATGTGTGCTCGACAACATTCTCCTGGAAAAAAAAAGAAAAAAGTTTTACACGTTGCGCGTCCAATTTCCCAAAGGATCTCAATCTCATCTCATTTATTCGTAAGCTTCGAACAAAGTTTTTGAAAACTTGAGAAAAATGGGAAATAAAGCATCAAGTTGAAACTGATGTTAGAGCATCAGATGGAAGACGTTCGTACTTTCCAGATTTTCGCTTGAAAATGAAAAAAATAGCGCCTTAGTACAAAATTTTGCATATTCAAAATAAACGCACAGAGTTCCAAATAAATCGAAAATTATTAAAGAAATTAGAAAGCAAAATAAAGAAACTTTCGCGTCAAATTTACAGTAAGGCTGATAATTTTTTATATATAACCATCTTTCGATTTACAATCTTTCATAACAAATACGCTCGAAATTGAGAACAGAAGCTTATTGAAATCTTTCTAAAATAAATGAAAGTTTAAATTTCTGTTATTATGATCTTTTTCTGGATAAAGACAACACTAGGCAAGACGAAAAAATCAAACTTCAAACGAAGAAAAAAAAAATCTAAATGCTTTCTGATTCATCTTTCCAGAATAAACACGACACCAAAAAACAAGGGAAAAATCGTAAAAAAGAAACGGCGACAAGATGGAGATAAAACCACGGCGGAAAATTCAGAGTGGTTCAAGATACAATCGTAATCTCGTGGGGAAGTAATGAGTGGGGGGCGGTTGGCGGAGAAGGTTGTGGATGAACCGAAAAAACCGCCGATAACCATCTTCGAGTTGGGTTCTCCCGACCGACCGAAAAAGGAAGAAAAGTCCGACTGCGGTGGTGGTGGAACAGACTAGCTGGCAACAAATATCTTTTGGATTGACGAAAGCATTTTCTAAAAACTTTTCAATTCTGCAAAAGGTTCCTTTACCCTCACAGACTATAGTTTAAGAATCAAAAACCTTCGAAAAAGATTGTAAAAATATTTATAACAAGAGATCATCAGAGAAAAAGCATCGAAGAAACAAAAAAACTAAAACTTCTTCGGTTCCTTGAAGGCAACAAACCGTATAATCCATTCCAAACATTATGTGAACACAAAAAACCGCTCTTTTTTCTCACAGAACGGTCCGCCAAAGCCGGAACACGCCTGGCGAAAATTGAGGAAGCGACAAAAGCCGCGAGAAAAAAAAATGGACGGACAAACACAAACAGAACCCGAACAGAAGCCGAGGGAAAAAAGCCATAACGATTACAAGTAGAAGGGCCAGTTTTTCGTCACTTAAAAATTTTTCTACGAGTAAAGAAAAGTGAAGATTTTGTTGGGAGAAGCTGGGAAATTTGTATCGATCACGACGATAGGATTTTTGGAAGAGACTATTTTGCAAATAATTGATCAAAAAATTGGCGAAAGGGTCTTCGGAAGAAGTGATGAGAGCTCATAATTGGAATAATCAGTAGGAAATGGTCATCGATTACGACGGGATACTTGAAGGAGGCTATTTTGCAAATATGTGATCAAAAAATGACCGGGAAACTTTTTGAAAAAAGTGAGGATAGCTCAAAATTAGAAAAAAATCAGTCTAAGCCGAAAATTTGAGCAAAAGCCACTCATCGGAAAAAGAAATTCGGAGTTTATCGCCTTTTGAACCAATGAAACTATGTCCTCAAAGGCGAAAAAACAGGTAATTTGACTCTGTTCTGGGCAATGCCGTGGGTAATGGACACCCGGCGCGAAGCGGTAAAAATCGCCGCGCAAAAATGAGGCCAAACAGTGGCTTATCGGCTCGCCCAGAAAGTTGTTCTGAGTTTTCGACCTTCACTTTCATTCATTAGTAAAACACCACGAATTAGGTAAAATTGAAAGTTCAAGGTTCAAGGTGAAACCATATGAACTCAAAAGTACTGTATTTTTTGACTAGCTCAAAACTTTCAAAGAAAACTGTAGGGTTTCTGAAGGGTACTTTTAAGCCTAACAATGAGTTGATCATATCGAAATCAATTCGTGGGTCCTTTGAAAAAATAAATAAAATAAGCACTTGAAAACCTAGCTTCAAAATAAATATCCGATCCTTTCCACTAGTGATTTTTAAAAAAATGCCTTTAGAAAGTCCAAATTTTCAAAAATCTCAAATTAAGGTGCCTCGGCTCTTCTGGACTAAATCAAGCTTGAAGTTCAGTTACAAAAGTTCTAGGTTTGCAAAAAATCCTTGGAGAGTGTGTACATCATTTTGATGCAGTCACTTTATTTCTAGTTCGCTTCATATACGTTCAAAATGAAAAATTCGAAAGGAAAAAAAAATCATATAACTTAGTCACCACTTAAGCGGCTCCTTTTTGAACTTAAAACGGCTGCGCGGTGTTTATTACCTATTTTTAATCACTTTCCTCACATATTTTCCCATGTCTATTTTTTTTCTCGTTTTTTCATGGTACTCATTCATGATAAAAACAGAAGACTTTTCTCAAGTAATAACTACGATATTTAATTTCTAAGTCTGCTACATTCTGAGCTCGTCACCGCGCAACTGAACCAACTACCGGCAAAAAAAAAAAGAAAGGACCGTAAGACCATGCTTTCAAGTTGATCAACTACACAATGGGACTCCCAGTTCCCTAAAGTTCGATATGACTCCAAATGTTCTTGCCTAGTCATTTACATCTATGACTAAAAAAAGACTAATTGGAATAAAAGGAATAATGAGTTCAATGAGCGGGACGAAAAATGACTGGAAGAATAACCGTTTGAGGGACGATCTATTTGGGGACCTGCGGATTGGAGCAGACGTGCATGATGATTGATATGCGCGCCGCTGCAACGACGTCTTCTTCTTCTCTCCTTTTTTCCAGCCTACAGTCCCCCCGAAAACGGACGTTGACAAGGCGGCCATCTGATTTACAGCTGTCAATTACCTACTGGGCTTGCCCTCCTGCCCGCCTATCCAGTCATCTACCGCACGACGACCGCTTTTTGAATGAGATTCGATAAAGAAAATCAACACTGAAAATCTATTTCAACTTGAAATTTGTCTAACCTTACACTTGATATTGCAATTTTCTCAAAATCGGTAGCTTGAAAACTCAAAGTGAAGCTATCGGTGGAAAGAAGACTCCAAAGTTGTTGTGAAACCGCGAAATAGGGCAATTAAAAATGTTAAATGAGAATTTTCGCAGCTGACTCATTCTTATACTCCCCTGTAAGACACGAGTGTTGAAATTCCAACAAATGGTTAAAAATTTTTAGCTTTGATTTCGAAAATCACTCAAAATGTTTTTTCTAGAGAAAACAGTGACATTTCCATTCTTTAAAATCGACCAGAATGGTGCAAAACCCTTATTTTGATGTAAAATGATTTGGATCAACAATCTGATCAAAAAAAAAGTCTTGATTCATCTGAATTTCATTCTTTTTGCATCAAAACGTCAAATTCCAAGAAGATAGTTACCGAAAAAAGCGTGAAAATGGAAAAAAGTTTTTTTAACATTTTTCTAATCAACGAAGGTGACACTCAAACCATATTTTCAAGGAAAATGAATAAAATAGCCTCGATTCTTCCGACTTTCATACATCTTCTTTTTGCATCAGAATATCAAATTTTGAGAAAAAGTAATCAAAAAACAAGCGTAAAAAGTGGACAAAAGCCATGACGGAGGCGGGAAGATTGCCGGAAAATGTGTGGCCGACGAGGACCCCGTGGGACGCATCTAACGGAAGGAAAAGCAAGGATAAAACTGCGGGCCGAGAAATCAAAATCGGGCCGAGGTCCCTTTTGGGACATACGCTTCTCATAGCCGTCATGATCGGTTTGTTGGAGGATGAATAAAAAACCATAGTTTTTCTATTTTTGAGGTATTGAAAGCCTTGAAAAGGGACAAAATTTGCAAAAACAGCCGCCAATCAAAAAAATCAGCCGAAAAGTTTGGCCATGAGACCAAGCGAAAAAATACCTTTTTGATAAACTTTGGTCTAGTCTGTTCAAAAAAAACTTGGAGTTTCTAAAGGAGCATAGACACATAGAACAACACGAAAAATCGGAAAAAAGAAAAGAAAAATGAACCTCTGGAAGTTAATTTCGTGCACTCGACCCCGACGTCGTACAGGTAGTGAAGGCACGCCTCCAAGCCATCAATCTGCAAATTCCAAAATTGAAAATGAAATTTAAAAAGCTAATCTTTCATAATTCACGCAAATCACGAGGAAATCCGCTTCATTTTACTTCAAGTTTTGAAGTTACGGTGAAACTTGTAAAGGATTTCAAATGAAGCAAAAACGAAAACGAAAGTTAAAAAGAAAAAAGGAGTTGAACATTGCTAAAAGTAGAGGAACGAAGAAAAATGTTAAAACTTCTCAGAAATCCATTAAAATTTTCAAGCTTCAATCAAATAGTGCGAATGCTAATAATTTCATTAAAAACGTCTCGTGAAGTGAAAAGTTTAGTTTTAAAAGACTTCCTTTCAAAAAATTCAATACAAATCAGCTTATCTTTCTCAAATTTTAAAATTTCGATTAGAAAAGCAAAATTGAGTTCAAAAAGAAAGGAGAAAACTCAGAACTAGCGAAAAATAAATTTTAGTTCGAAATAGTATTCCCTCCAAGATCAATGGGATTCCGCTTATTTGATAACAAAACTTGAAGTTTTAGTAGAATATTGGAAAAAAAAAGGCGAAATCGAGCTCAATAAGAACAGGAGTAATCTCACCAGAGCTGGTCAGAGCTGACCAAAATAAGGTTTGCTTCGAAACCTCTTAGAAATCCGATGAAACCTTCCAAATGTGCAAATGCTAATAATTTCATTAAACACGTCTCTAGCCGTAAACAATTTGGCTGCGGAGGAAGTCGCCGTGAGATTTTCGGCGGCGACGGCAATAAGTGCAATTAAACCATATAAGGTAACCCGGTAATCATCATTCGAGCTCATATTCAAGGCTAATCTTGTTCTGATGATATAATTATCAAGTTACGGGTGGCAATTCAAGAGTACCTGATTTGGGAAGTACTTTGAAGCAATCTGACATGAATGTAATAGTTTTCTTCAAAGTCAAGTTAAAGCGCCTCAAAAACGTCAAAATTCTTTTTTTTTTCTCTGCAGAACTGACAGATAACGAACTTTAGCGCCGATTTCCCTCAACTAAACGCCAAAAATCGTGAAAAAATTTTTTGACCTGAAATCAAGATGCAGCCAATTTCAGCAAACTTCCTACAATTAAACTTTTGAAGTTCCTTCCGATAGAACATCGATCTTCTTTAGAAGATAAATCAAACGAAAAGATTGAATCTTTCAACCGTCAAGAAATCGTCGGCAAAAGCCCAAACTACTCAAAATTACTGATGAAAACGTCTAAATTTGAAGTTTTCAATAAAAAAATAACTTCAATATTTTGTACGATTGAATGCTAATTTTTAAAATTGCTGTGTTACTCTTTTGACCGATTGTTAGAGGCTTCTTTTTTTCAAAAATCAAAACCAACCGTTTACCATGCATTTCTTCAACAAAAAGTGAAACGAAATGGAAACTTTTTCAAAAATCACAAATCTCCTTATTTTTTTCGAAGCTCAAATATCCCAATAGTAACTCATGAAGAATTCAAAAGACAAATAAATAGACGACAGAAGGTGTCGGGGATTATATAGGGGAATAACCAGCTTGTTCCAATTTATAATGATAGTGTTCCGATTGGTAGCCGTCAACAACAATGAAACCAACAATCTCCGGTTTCACCTCATTTTTCGAGAATTTCAAAACTAAAAAAAAGATTTTTAACCAAAATTTCTCCTAGAAAAAAGTTTCCTATTCTGATTTCGTAAAACTATCTCAAGCGTATAGAATTTTTTCGATGACTTCACTGGTGTTTTTTTTTTCGAAACTCACATTAGTTGTTGTTTTGGAGAGCCGATGGTTGAACGCACTTGAATGATCGTTGACGGGTACTGAAATGCAAAAAATAAACAAAAAATAAAATCATTCCGAATTGAACGAGGAGGAGAAAAAAGGAGAATTTAATTCACAAAAGGTTCAGTGTGGATACAGAAAAACAAAGATACCAAGACCTCCCTTTGAAAATCCCCGAAAAAATTGGCTTACAAAAAAGTCAAACTTTTTAAAGAGGTGTGCCTTTTTATTGAACAGCTGGAACAAGAAGATCAAGCACTCTAGTAGGTAAGCATTTTTTGAATGAAGTTGAAAGACCTCTATAGAGACCACTTAAGCTTTAGGGGCTAAGGGGTCAGATCGTAAACCCATATGGAAACCACCTTAAATTTACCCCTATAGGGATCACTTTTTCGGCCCCTATAAGGGCTGTTTGTTCGCTCCACTCCTCTAGGGACCACTTTGGAATTCCTAAGTTCATTCAACTGCTTCAGAACTCTTGAGTGATTCTTTGAAATGTTCACAAAAGTCCGGGGCGCGCCCGGCTTACGTTACCGAAGACCGCGATTGTGTTTTGTTGTCATTTACTTCTTTATGTAGAGCTAAAGTGCAAAATAAAGCTATACTTTTAAAACGTGACCGTCTCGCGCAGGAAATATGGAAAACATTGAATGAATGAAATGAAAATATGTTTTTAAATTTTTCAAGAAACGGCAAATTTGTTGGTCAACACGATAGTAGCCGCGGAAAGTGCGGCAGGGAAAAAAAGGATAAAGAGCAGAGGAGCCGGGTGGCAGCAACTGTTTCGATGCGGACGGCCCTCCCCTAGGAACGCTCCTCGTTTGTAAACTATTATCACGTTTTTCTTACAAACGAGAAGAGAAGGATTACGTTTCACACACACCTAGTGTGTACAGCATACTCTATTCATCGTGAGCTTGGAAAAAATAAGTACAGAGAAGTCTAAAACTCCTCGTTTTGCGCACTGTTTTGCTAAATATCATCACAAGCCGGCGGTCAATGAACTATTTATATATAAAAGATATTGGCGCCAAAAAAAGTTTCCCCTTAATGACTTTTTTTATTAATTTACATTTTTTTGTTTTTCTGTTAATTTGTTTTTATAAAAAGTGTTTTTTTGACATGATGACACCAGCTTTCTCTTCAAAAAAATCATGAAAAAAAGTTACTCTTGAAACGAAATTAATAGTTCTTCTTAATCGAAAAGTAAAAAAATGTCAAGAATGAGCTCTTCCGGTGATGATAACAGATGTGGCAACAACCCGAAAAAAAACTACAAGCGATAAATCATAAGTTTAGCTTTTTCCGTGACAGGAACACATGTCGTTGAGAAAAAAAGACAACTTGTCTGAATGCTCAATTTTCGCCTATTAGTCATAAAAACTGAGAAAAAACGTTTTCTGCTGTCTTTTGAAGTTAAAATTTTCATAAAAATGCACAAATCGCGAGAAAATTCAGCTTCATTTCAAAGTTTTACGGTCTTTTCCTACATTCTCAACAGAAAAAAAAATCAAAAACTTAAAAAAAGTTGAAACCTCCATGTTTATCACGGAATTAAACGAAACATCTTTCTAACGAGAAAGTTCTGCAAAAACTTGGAAAAAAGCGTCCGCACAAATCAGCGAAGCGGCAGATTGATGGCCCCCACGTTACTCACCGATCATGTTGACGCGGCAGCAGAAAATGTTCTAATCGCTCAAAAATGAGGGCCGACGGGGAAGAAAAAAATGGAGATCTATTCGATTGAACTGATGATTTCAAATAATTCCAAAAAAACGTTTGATTTTTTTAAGAAAATTTGGAATTCCCGTGGGAGTCGCTTCCAGCTTCAGCCAAAATTTTAAAAAGTCCACCAGAAAAAGTCTCGAAAGAAGTTCTTTTTTTTGCAAATTAGGTTCACGATTTCTGCTAAATTTCACAGAAATTATTTTTTTCCGTATATAGAGCATGAAAACTGAAATTTACATCTTGAAATATTTAGAAAAATGCAAAAAAAGTATATCAAACTAGATTCTTTATATGCATATGGTCACTTGATGGCTCAAAATTCAACCTCTAAAAGTAAGCTGCTCGCCGCGCCCGACCTGGAACAGTCTGAGCTCGGCAATATCAATATGTACTTGAGCAGATTACCAAAAAAAAAAAGTTGCTACAAGACACGTCCGACCTGAAACGGCTTTAGCGCTGCGCTATAGATTAGTACTTAATAAAGCAACAAAAAAAATATTGGGCTCAACAATTACAGTCGAATAATGACAAAAAAAAAGCAGCCAACATATTCTCGCGTAAAATCACTAAAAGAACGCGTGTAGAATTGAAAGCCAACAGGAGGAGGACCAACAATTGAAATAAATCACACGAGCAAACACGGTGTGTGGAGTCGTTCGGTGGCTTTTTCGCGGATTTTCTTCGGCACCGCAACGCAAAACCCCTCAGGAATCTTTTGGAAAGTTTCTTTTTTCCAAGCGAATGACTACAGTTCGGTTGGCATTACAGAAAGCTCTTTGCTTCACAGAAATTTATAAAAAAAAATCGTGTTATTATCAGACAAATATACTCTATTATCCAAAAGCTCCTTCTCCAAGGACAGCAAAACTTGTCTGCGCCCTACCGAAGAGGTCATAGAAACTTGAGAAAAGCCCGTTAAAACAAGAGAAGACAGAAAGTAATTACTTCATCTTCATCTTTTGAATTTTTTTTTGAAACCACGCCGAACAGATCAAGAATTTGAAAAAAAAATTTGAAGATTTTTCGAAAATTTTTCTTGAAAAAAATAATTGAATAAGTTTCGGTCAATTGTCAGATTTTTAAAAAAAGACTGAGCTCAGAAACTTCTTTTTTGTTAGATTTGACAAATTGAATTGATTGATCTTCTTTTCGATTTTCTTATGCTCTAAAAAAAGGATTGGTCTTACAAAAAACTCATTTTTCTATTGCTCTTTTTGCAGCTAACACTTTTGTAAGCAAAACCTTATTTTTCATTTAGAGGTCCTTGAGATTTCAAAAAAGTGTAGGAGGATTAAGAGCAAATGCCTCCAAAGAAACTTGAAAAAAGAAACGAAAATCGCAGAAAATTATAAAAGAACATCTAAGCTCGAACTCGAAAAGTTATAAGATTGAAGCCAACTCGAGCCAAAACTGCTAAAACCAGTAGCGCCTGCCATGGACCACGATGCCGCGATTCAATTCCGAACACTGGCGGATCGGGTTACGTCGGCCCCAGACACCATGGATGATCAGCTTGCACCCGCAGCACGCTTCTACTATATCATGCGTTTGCTCTTCGCTTCTCAACTTGCAGCTTGACTCAACGCAGGAGTTCGTTTCTGGTTCTTTAATGGAGAGGCAACAGGAGAACAGCAAAAGTTCAATTTTTTGAGGATTTGCTGGAAGTTGGAGGCGAACTTTTGTCAGAAAACGTCAGCTTTCAGTTCAAAAAATTTTGAAGATCAGAATTCCGAAGACTTTTAAAAGTAGTTACGAATTTTGTCAAAAAGGCGTCATTCACAGAAACTCTGAAGATCTTAAAAAATAAAGACAAATTTTCGTCAAAAATTTCATTTTTCGGTTCACAAAAGAAGAACAAAATGTCAAGATTTGAGGATTTGCTGGAAGTTGGAGGCGAACTTTTATCAGAAAACGTCAGCTTTCCCTTCAAAAGAGTAGGGCAAAAAGAGAAGAATTGAAGATTTCTGAAAACAAAGGTAAAATTCAGCCAAAAAGTCAGCCTTCTGTTAAAAAATAAGGTAAAGTAGGACTCTTGAAAATGAAAGCGAACTTTTATTTTGTGAGTATTCACTTGAAATCGGAGGCGGATTTTTGTTAAAAACGTCAGGAATCCGTTCAAAAAAGTTCTGAGAATTCTTGAAAACGGGGACAAAGTTTTGTCAAAGGCTTAAGTCAAAAGAAAGGTGCAAAAGTTCAAATATTTTTCAGATCAGTTAGTTCATCAATAAACTCAAAATTATCATCTTTCAAAAACACCAATTCTTCGAATAATGACCAAAATCGAATGGGTATACGAATCAGTGACAATTGGCTCCACTCGGAACGCAATAAATCGAGAAATTTGAAAAGCGCGCCGATTCAAATGGAGTTTAAGAATTCAAGACGCGGCGTCTTCGAAAAGCTATTACGGCGGATCGTTTATCTCTCAACTACCATTTGACTTCGAAACGGCGGGCGGCTATCAACAGAACATTCGAAAATTTGATTTCCAGTGTTCAATGAGCCATGAAAAAGTGAGGGGAGACGGCAAAAAGTTTCGTTTGACAATGCGACCAGCCGATGAATGGACCCTTTTTCGCGCTTCAGAAGAATCACAAAAGGGAGGCGGCTTTGGGAAAGTTTGTCTTTTCGAATTTGGCGCCCAAAACTGTCTAGCAAGAAGATTTGAAACTCCAACTTTCTGTAGAGTTTTTCGAAGAAGAATAGAAAGCAACACTTTTCTAATTTTATCATTGGAGATCAGATCAAAATTTGAAACTTCGCCTCAATTAAATCTCGAAAGTTTTTCGAATGTAAAGGGCTCCGGTAAGGTCATAAACCTCCCGACATAGATTTAAAAAAAGAATTAGAAAACTCTTTTGAAAGTCAGTCTCTCCATACTTTTTGCCCTGAACTTTTGAAAATATACATTAGAAAGTCCTACGTTTACAATAAAGATCGGATCGAAATTTTAATATTTTCCTCAAAGATTAAAAGTTTTTCGAAATAATCAACTGTAAAAAGCTCCTCTTTTCGGAAGATCAAGCTCCTTACATGGAAATTCAAAAAAAAATGAGAAGATACTCTCAAAAGTTAATCATTTCATATTCTCAGGCCCTGAACTGTTCAAAATGAAGAATTGAAACGGTCCTCACGTGCAGATTAGAGAGATAAGAAAAAGGAACTTTTTTCACAAATGATAACATTATTAAGAAAATAATTCACCAATAACGTTGATCAACTGCGCAACGATTCGATAGTCCCTCAACTCGTTGGAAATGTCTCGAATCGGCTTATAGTTGTCTCCCTTGGCGAGGTACCGGTTCGCCCAATCCGTGTAGATCTGAAAAATCATGTATGAACTTATTTGAACTCAGAAAGAGTTTTGAGCTGTGAAAATGATCGCGAAATGAGGCAAACTTTTTTTTCTTTTCTTCAAATTTGAAGATTTTCCTTCGCCGTTAATTTAAGAAAGATTTTGAAAATTTGAACCTAGATTAAAAAAAAAGAAACTTGAGCTTAATAGAGCCTAAACCTTTAACGAAATCCCTATGCCTCTCAAAATTCTGCCGATATGCTTTGAAAAATCACCCAATAGCCTACTTTTTCCGCACGTTGTTCAATCAATCATTCCAGGACCACTTTCTTGAAATTTTCCTAGATCTTTCAGATGTTAAAAAAGCTCTTCTTTGGTTGAAAAGTCTCGAAATAACTGCGATTCCGCTCAAACTTATAAAAAATCCCCTCTTACAGCAATATCTCGTTTTTTCGGAAGGTATTTCCAGGATCTTTTTGTTCAGAAAACTTTCTGATTCTCCAAATTTCGGAACAAGACTACTTTTCTGCTTCTTAAGAAAGGAAAAGCTTCTTTGGAGATTGAATTCAATACAGGTATCCTTAACCAAATGTTCCTTCAAACTTTATTCATTTGAAAGTTTTTTCTTTTCCCACAAAAAATGTTGTTATAAAGAAAACAAAGGTGAATCCGTCTAATTGTTGAGCCAATGCCCCCAACATATGGACATTGCGCGCAAAAACATGTGCGAGATTTTTCAAGATGTCCTCCTCCTCCCGCAAATACTTGACCTTAAATGTATGGGGTCGTTAACGAATTGAAACATTGAGACGATCTCAGAGACGTCAAAAGGGCATTTTTCTTCACGTGGAGTGTTTTGTCAAAGTTTTTTTCAGCCATAGTTTGACCTTTGACTTTTGAGAAATAACGAAAATTGAATTAAATTTTAAAAGTTATCATGGCCACTAAACGTCTTTTCGATTCTTATTTTCCGATCCTAGTTACCTGAACAAAAAAAAGAGGAAAAACAAGGACATTTTTCTGTACTATAAAAACGAACTCATGTGTAAGTTGACTTTTTTTCGAATATAAAAATGTTTTTCCGACATAATAACACAAGGTTTCTGTGAAAAGCCGTTCTCATGTTATTTCAGGTCATTAAAAAAATATCTAGTTTGATAAAAAGTTGATGAGGATCTTTACACGGTCATCGAGGCAGTGTGCGGTAAAGAAATCGTTCAAAGATTTCTGCGGTTTTTCGATCATAATCCCTGTTAAATAATATATGAACTTTCTACTAAGAAAAAAATTTTAATTACTTCTTAAAAAATGATCTAAAACTTTTTAGAAGTCCCAGATAATTAGATTCTTCAAAAATTAGTTCGAAAAGCTTTCTAAAAGCTCAAAATATATAAAAAGACACGGCGCAACAACAGGAGAGCTCGTGTTGCCGGCAGACGGTGTGCCCAATTACAATATGCCGAGGACTGAAATTCGAGGAGGAGCAACCGTTTGGTGTTACTACCACGGCGAAGAGCCCTCTTCACAGGGCTCCTCCAAGTTCTGTTGGCTGATTGCTCGTCACGGTGATTGATGATTTCCTATAACTACTTTGCCGCCGGGAGGCCTTGCAAAAGGTTCATGTCAGAAAAGTATCGAGAAATTTCAGAGTATAAAACAAATTTAAAGCGGTTATGAAGGCAAAATGAACGATTTCGGCCCCAAGATTCAGCCTAGCCACTATGAAATCAGAAAAAGAAATTGATAAGAAAAAAACTCTGATTTCATCTATTCAGGAAACTGAAAAACAATTTTTCCTAAAAAAACGAGGAAAGCTAAAATTCCTGGTATAACCTTCTTTTTCCAAAACTCTCGGTGTGTTTGTGGATCCTTCGATTTCAAAAGGTTTTTATGGACTTTTCGTAATAATGTTTATTCAAATCAGAGAAAAAGAGAAAGAAATGACATAAGTAAAGTTTATGAAACGCACAGCTTCCTTGATACGTAGCGACCGCAAAGCCCCGCCCCTTTTCGCGAGGGAAAAAGGCCATTTTTTTGGTATTCCGTCTTTGATTGTTTCGTACAGCCGATAGAAACAATGAAAAATGATGAAAATTTCAGCATAAATGTAGAAAAGGTTCCTCTTTCCGTTGAAAAGGTTTTTAGGTGCTTTCCATGTGTTTCAACGGAGTGTCGTACGGAATAGTGACGCGAGTTCGAAAAATAAACTTAGTTTTGCTTTTTGATATTCATCTAGGTCGCGGACAAGGTTGATTTTTTTGAAAAACTACTTATAAACAGTAAATGCAATTTTTTTAAGCCAAAAAAATAAAAAAATTCTATGATCGCCGAAAAAATTGAGAGGCGCGCAAAGTCAAAAATTGTTTTTCTCAATTGCAATGCAGTATTGAAAGGTTTTCATGCTTTTTTTCATATTGAGAAAAAAACATTACTCAAATAATACTTGTTGACAACTACAAGCAAATGTACTGTTTTTGAGTGGTAAAAAAAGCTGGAGAATTTTTTTGCGAGTTGTTTTTGAAACATTTCCCGGTCGAGGACACGCGTTTCTTCCTACTCATTTATAAGAGTTTTTTTAATTTTTCAAACAAACAAAGCAATAAAAAGCAAAAAAATTCAAGATCGCCGAAAAAAATTTTTTTCTTAACAAAAAAAGGTGAATAAAAAGTAGGCGAAATAACATTTTTTTATGGGATTCAAAGAGCACAGTAGGCTGTATTTGTGCAGTCACTGAGACGAAAGTGATGGTAAAGTGGAATTACAGCTCGTAAAACCTTCTCTTTTGGCTCCTGAAACCGTGCCGACCTTGCAAATAAGGGTGCGCGCAGATTGCATGCGAATTCGCAAAACCAAAATTTCAGTGCAAAAAGTTTTGCTTTTCGATTACTTTTAAATATTGTTTTCTCCTCTTAATCTTAATATTTTTCGTTTTTCTTTTCTGTTTTCGCATACTACATGTTAAAATCATTATTTTTATAACAAAAACGAGGAGCTAGCTTAAGTTCGAAAAATAGGTCTGTGGTCCCTATTGATACGTTGCTTATATTACTTGATAAAAAAATGACATTTAAGTTATTTGAAAAAAAAAATGAAAACTTTGAAAATGACTTTCTTTCTCTGTAGTAAAGCAGCACAGAAATATATCTTTATGGACTTCAAAAGTAAGAAAAAATCAGAAGTTCTACAGGGAATTTTCAATCTGGGTGAGGAGTAGAAAAACTGTAACTGCCCACGTTTCTATCCATCAAAAATTTGCAGATAACGAGAACTTCAGCTTTTTTTTTGAATCTCGGAAACCTAAGAAGAACTCCGAAACAAGCAGAAATAAGAAGAAATCATTTTTGGTTAGGAAAATGAATGAAAAAATGCATGGAAACACTAAATACCTGATATTCTTCTGAACAAAAACTGCCAGGTCCTTCCTTTACGATGGTTTCAAAAAAGGAAATTCGCAACAAAAAGCTCTCTCCAGTTAGCCCAGACCTTGAAAGCTAACATAAAATGGCCGAAAACTGTGTCACCAAATACACTGAAAACAGCTCGTTAACGAGTCAATAAAACAATATGAGACCGTAAATGAATGCGCGAGAGGCCGTTTAACACGCCTGTCAACAATTGGCCACCGGGCGCCTTATCCAAATCTCCTCAACATTTGGGGGAAGGCTAAGTGATGGCCTCGAGGCCATTTTGACGTTTATCCGACACGTTCCCGAGTCGGAAGATTCGACGTCGTTTCTCAAATTTGAAGAAACTCGCTCTGACAAGCAGGATGGATTGAGATTGATAGAGTGCAATGAAATTGGGAAACTTTTTTTCCTCACTAACTTTTCCAGGATTTCATTCAGGTAAACTCTTCATTCAAACAAATTCTTGGCCTATTATTCTTGAGAACTAATACAGTCGTAAAAAAATACAAAATTATTTTGAAAGGCTTTTCCGCTAAAAACTGATCTTATCTACTCCTTATCAACATGAGCGCAAAATAGTAAAGTAACCACATGATATATAAATTTTAGGTCCTCTAAAAGGAAGCTCAAAAATGATTCAAAAACCCAAAGAAAAAATTTAATCAATTTCTTAGATCAACAGGGTCAGCTCTGCTCGCATGAATTTGAAAATCTCAAAATGTCACACTTTTTTATCAAGTGATTATTCTTGGAATATAAACTTCAAACTCTCCGATCGAGGCTTTCAGGTCCTCGATCTAGAAAAACACAAACGGGCCAGAAAAAAAAAATCGCTCCAGAAAGCCACGGTCAAGGATCTCCAAGACACCTCGTGCTTGAGGTGACTGATGCCCTGAGGGGGAAAACGGAACGCGAAAAGCCGAGATTCAAGAGTGATTGGAGTGGAATGGAAGATGGCATCGTTGCCGCCGACGCCAAGGATTCCTCTCGCCCCGTAATTAAAATCGCGAAAGGTTCGGAGCCGCCTAATCTGACCGCAAGGGTGTGTAAAATGCATAGTGAAAATGGATTATTTCTTAGAAAAAAATTATTGAAAACGGCAAACTCAGAGTTATTTGATGACTCTAGACCTTTCGATAGTTCGAAATCTACTCTGATTCGGAAATAGTAACTAAAAATATTTTTAAAAAACTAAGCGTAGTGACCTCTTTAGTGAAAATAATTAAAACTTTTTAAAAAAAAAGATTCTGATCAAAATTTCTACCGAGAGTCCATTTATGGGTTAACTCGATTTAACAAAAAAGTTCATAAATTTACGACAGAACGTGAGAAAAGAGATATTATCAGCGGAGTGGGCTCTTTAGTGACCATTAGAGAATGAAAATAAGAGAAAGATGGGAAGTGACTTTTTAAGTGACAAACGTAAAATGAAGGGAAAAGCTCTGACCTGATAAGATCTCTGCCGGATTATTAAATTATGGACAATCAAAAAATTGTAGAGAAAATGTGTACCAATCTCTGCCAGAATTTCCTCAATAGGTTAACTGAATAATTTCACAAAAAAGGCTCATTCATAAAATACAGGAAAAGATAAAAGCTCAGCGGAGTAACCTCTTATTTGGAAATCATTGGAATCTTTACAAAAAAGCTCAAATCTTGATGAAGTCTTATTCGAAAGTTCATTCATAGGTTAACTCTATAAAGATGTCACAACAAGAAGCTCATTCATTAGCGACAGAACGTGAGAAGGAGCTCACAGCGGAGTGACCTCTCTGTGGCGGGACAGCCGGCTGAGCCAAGGTGTACTCCCGCGGGGCGGCGATTGCCAGGGGCAGAAAGTAGCCTTGGCGGATTGATGGAATGAGCCGCGCGGAGATTCATTCTCGTCGTCCGCCGAACCAACTTCCAAAAGTCAATCATCTCTCGATAGCCGTCGCGGCTCATTTCATTCCATCGCATAACTCTTGATGGCTCACAATCGGACAAGACAAGTTTGGTTGGATTCTGGGGCATCAAGAGCTTCGAAATAATCAAATTCCGCCATTTTGGTGTAGCTTCATCATCAAGAAATTAATTGAAACGGTTCACGGAACAGCAAAATGAATCTTCCTTTTTGAACTACACGTGGCTAAATAGTGAAATATTATTAAATCGACGAAACTCCATGTTTTTACTTTCGATGTCCCTCATGTTCTAAGTTGTCCAAAGAGCTTCTGGAATTTTCTTAACTCCAAGAAACATGGAGAAGCAGTCGTCGGAACGCTCGAAACTCGTCTACTAAAAGTTAAAAAATGGCGAAAATTTTTAACCGCAGTTGATGATCAACGCCAGTTCCGCGAGCCGACAAGCTACTCTTCAAATATCTCCCGATTCAGATGAGAATCTTAGTTGAAAACTGAATAAATGAGTAAAAATCAGGAAAAAGTCAAAAAAAAAAAAGAAGCGAAATTAACACCAGCAATGAGCCTAAAAAGGGACACAAACCTTGACGGATGAACAATTAGAATTAGACGGTGCCGGGCTCATTTGAGCTTTTTACATTGGCTGCGCGCAGAATGTTATGCGGAGGCCATCGTGTTCATTTCGAGGCGACAGGGCTCTTCATAACACCCAGCTGGCTACAAAATTAGCATCCGAAACACACACAGACACTCACTGCGCGACCTTATAAGGACATGCAATGGTCCAAGCCACGCCCACTCCAAAAGTCCTGTAGTGTGCATCGTTGTGTGAAATATGATTTTTTTTTGAAAATTCAGAGCTTCGTTTTTTATTAGAATCTGAACGAGAATCCCTCCAAAGTTTTTTCAAAGGATGTAAGTTACTTTTCGGAAACCGCTAACTCACAAAGGGGGTCGTTTTATTTTGTGGTTGGGCATTTTTTCAAAATCGGCCAGAATACTTCTTAATGTACCAAAAGAATTCTGAGAGTCACAACCTGTTCAACTTCTCAGTTTTCGAGTAATAAGAGCTCAAAACCCAAAAAAAGCCTTCTTAAACAGATTATCAGAGTTTTTTTGACTTCATTTTTCAGAAAATGAAAATAGTGGAAATTGTAACTTTCAAAATGTTCATCGGTACGTTGAGGAATTTTCTGGCCAATTTTCAGAAAGATTCCAACCCCAAAGTGAAATTACTTTCTTTCTCAGGTGCTTTTTGATGTAAAAGAAGAGAATCCAGAAAGACTGAATCTTCGGAATTCCAAATCGCAACCAATGTTCGGCGAGAAAGACCAAGTATTTTCAAAAATTATTTCGAACTCTGTTCTTGATCATTCAAATTCAAGTATCAGGACAAAAAAACATAATAATTTCCATTTTTTTCCTCATTTTCCTTTCAAAAAAATTTTTTCACCCTACTTACCCACTAAAAATATTTCTTCAATATATCAACTTTTTGCAACAAAGCCGCCATAGAAAAAAGCTCATGGGGAATATTTCAAAGAGAGCCCGACGACGTTTATATCGCAGTGTCGACGGTGGAAATGGCAGCGGAAGCGCCGCCAAAAGCACTTGCGTCCATAGAATACCAGATGATTAGATGGGTCCATTTGAAATGAGCAAGCTGATGATGACCGCCTGTTTTAGAGTGAGAAATTGAATTTCACAGGTTTTGTGTGATGGGAAAATTGGAAAAATTCGTAATAGGACAACGCTGATGAACTCAGAGAAAAGTCCGGAAACATTTCAAGTTTATTATTTTTTAACTGTAAAGTTTTTTTTTCTTATACCCTTTTGTTCAATTTTTTGAAAGGGGTTTTTTCGGAAATCCTTCTCAATCCCCTTTTTTCAACGCTTTTTTCTACGAGATTAGGTTTTCACCTTGTTTGAATCTCATCATGAGAAAAAAGAACAAATAAAGAAATACTACGTGAGGAAAAAGTCATTATACAGATACCAAGCGCAGCAAGTGAAACCCCATTAACATCTAGAAACTATTTTCATTCATTTCTAGGAACGTATCGAGCTCAAATTTGAAATTTACGTCTTGATCGAAGGTGATTCCGCAAAACTAAAAAAAACAATCGAACAGTGGAAAAAATAACTAAAAATTGAAGAATCAAAAACTTTTAATTTTGTAATATTTTGATGGAATAAAATGAAATTTCAATTGGGGAAGATTAAGAAAAAATCAAAAACTTTCAAAAATATTTTTGAAGTTACCAGTTAACACAAAAAAAAAACTAGAGCCACTGGAGTGATCCCTGAAGGGGTCAGGAACTTTCAATAAGCGTGAGCGTCACTTGGTAACTCCCTAGAGCATTAAAAGAGTTAAAAACTTGAGAAAACGGTGAAAATCACTCGAAACCTACTAAAAAAAAACTCGAAAAGTTCCTAAGATCTTCTGACTCTTGACCAACTCCAAAAACATCGTTAAATATTCCAAGAATGTTTCCGGGGCTTCGGTGATCAAGGCAAGATGTTCAAACATGTAGGCATTTGCATGCGGCGGATGGCGCCATCCGAAACAAATGCATAGGCGATATGGAGAATGCGTGCAGAAGCCGTGGAAGAAGCGCTTCCGAAGCATATTAGCGGAAGTCACAAGTGCCGCAAAACCAGCGGAAGGACGGACCAGTAATTTCTTTGAATTCACTTGCCAAAATGCATTACTCGGGTGCCTCTGACTCATCGACAACACAACTTGAGTGCGGGGAAAAAAGTTCTTGTACTTTCAAGTTTGAGCCAGAAAGTAAACCTTTTTTTCTGTTCAACCCTAGATACAAACAAAAATTAGTTGTGAAATCTGAATTTAAAAAAAAACGTATCAAGGACTTAGATTGTGAGTCAGAGCAGAGTCTGATCCTGCAGCAGTAGTATAAAGACGAATAGGCTTTAAGATCGCTAACTTAAGAAAAATTCTGAGAAGCTCTCTTTCAATTCAAACTGGACTAAGACCTTAAAAACCTGAAGCAAACATTTTTTGTCATCAGATATTTTTGAGAATCTGGAATAGTTTTGAAGATATCAACTCAAAAGTTAGCGCTTACTCAGCACATATCGCTCAGAAAATGCTCAAAAAAGTGCTTTTTTGTTTTTCCGGGCGAAAGATTGAGGCTTGAAAATAGTTAATTTGACAAATTTGAGCTACCTGATAATCAGAGCTCCTCAAAAATATTTACTTTTTTTTCTATGAAAAAACTTTCACTTTCAAAAGTCTCCCCTAGAGTTTGTAAAATCATTTCCTGCAGCCTTTTTTATATGGAGCCGGCAGAATTTTTCAAGTTCATTAATAGGATTGTCGTTCCCAATCCAGTAAATGAGACTTAATTTTACTTTTTTTTTGATCCCAAAAATCCAGCACACCTATGGCGAGGTTTCCTCGAACTGAAGCCCTTATGAGTCATACTTTCCTTCGAGCCTAACCAGATGACGTTGCTGAATCGCGACGTTGATTGGAAGGACTGGGAAAGAAACGGCTCGAGGCCATTTTCCATCCACCGGTGCTCTTCAAAACTCGTTTTGAGCCGTGGGCAGAAGCGCCTTTTAATTGGGGCTCGGCGTTCACCGACGGCCATGAAATAATCCAATTCTTCGGCCACGTCGTCCAGCATTACGTGTCACAATTCTGCCTAATCAGACCAGTCCCCCGTTCATTGTCTTTGCGCCTAATTAGTTGGAGAAGGCTCTCAAGTGCATGTTCCAAACTCCGGTTCAACGAAAATCGAGAAGCTAACTTTCATTGAGTCGTTGATCAAATAATGGGTCAACGTGTTCAAATTGATCCTTGATTTTTTCATTTTTCAATTTCGTGCTTTTCGTTCATTTCCCATGTTTTTCTGGCTATGGCTATCATATTGCGAAAAATGAAAAAATCAAGCCAAAAAAGTCTTAAACAACTCCTTTTTCACTTTTTTCTCACTACAGACATTTATAAATTTTAAGGTTTTATATAAAATTACTCTGGAAAAGTAATAAAAAAATTGTTTTTTTAAAGCTATTGCTGAAAAACTTCAAAAAAAGGAAATTTTTTTAATAGTCTATAAAAAGAATACGAATTTAATCGTGAAGAGCGTGTATAGTCGCACAAAAAAACAGAGACTATTGCAAAAGATGTCAACTTTTTTTCGTTGATAAAACTCGCTTAAAAACTACGTAAAAATCAGGGGTCCAAAAGTACATAAAAACAGAACTAGAGCTAGAATCAAAGATTAATAGTTCTAGATCTGCAGGGCCCCCCCCTGAAAACCTAAAAATTTTTCGTTCACTCTGAATGTTTAGTAACTTTTCAAACCTTTTTTTTTCATATTCCAATCAATCAATGTTGTTTTCTGCTTCTTGCCCTCAAATTAACACGGAAAAAAAAATCTTTCTCGTTCCTTATCACGGAAATTTCGCGTGGCCTCCAACTCTCAAACACTTAATCCATTCCACTTCTTCTTTCAAAGGCCAAACAGAGAAAAAAGCCTTTAAGTGACCCCTTGAAAGTTCCCTGAGTAACCACACAACTCAGCAATGTTTTTCGATTCAAAAGCCGGAGAAAGATTGGAGATTCCAAATGGAGGCCGTTAAAAAGACGAGTTAAAGTATTCCCCGAGGAATCACACATCCAAAGTTACTTTTCAAAACTTTCCTTTCAGCTTAAATCATAGAAAAAGGAAGAAAAAAAACTGACTGGGATCAGTTCGACGTTGCTCGTCATTTTGGGGGTCGTCGTCTCTTCAGCTAGGTTTTCATCGTTCGTTTTGTATTCTGAAAAATTTTGGAGATTAAATTTCGATGTTTCGATCCAGAAAATGATAAAGAATGACATTTGAAGCATGAGTGTTCAGAAAACGTAAAAAAAAATGAACATTCGAAGAAGAAGAACGATTTTAAAGTCATAAACGTGCACAAAACAAAGACCAAAAACGATGGTAAGTGGTCGTTTTCGAACTAGAAAAAGTATGAAAGTTGGTTTTCCACTAATTATCGTTGAAATTATCAGAATATTCTTCAAGTTTTCAGAAGTAAGCCTTTAACAAATAGAACTTTTTAGATCCAGTATTAGACGTTTGGTTAAAATTTCAGTAAAATCCTAAAAACTGAACCAATCGATCATTTGCACCACTGAACATTTTCTCAGAAAACAATAAATTCCATGAAATCTTCAAAATTAAGTCCGAGGTTGAACATAATTCTTCAAAAATATCTTTTTTTGCCAAAATATTTTTTGAAAATCTAATGCACTAATTTTTGGCATTTCCAATGAATCGAACCGGTAGAAAAGAAAAAAAGTACAGGAAAAACAGAAAATCGGAGCCGGGGTATAGTCCAGGAGAGAGTTCCTCACTGCGGTGATAATAATAATGCAAAGGAGATTAGCCTCTCCGGATTACGAGGCCCTTCCAACTCGTTTTCCCATTGTTCAGTCAGTTGCAGCAACAACCATCAACAACACGCGAAATCAAAAAGCGACCAGGCTACTTTTTACTAGTGGACCTGAATCTGAAGGTAATTGGGACTTTTAGGGATTTTTCAAAAGTCATAACGTAGATTGAACTTTTTTTGTTGTGCTTCAACGAAGAGAACGGATTCAATCGGGTCAAAAAAGGCAAAGAAATAGTGACGGCATCTACCGCGTTCAAGAAGTGACGGTAAATGGCCCAATATTGCACATTATTTGAAACAATTCTCGTGACCTTCTATGAAAGAAACTCTTTGATAGCGGATATTTCCCTGATTGAAGGCGCGAGAAGAGGGGCCGAGTCTTTGCCGTTACCAAAACTTCTGGCTGGTTTGATTGTCGATTTCAAGCGCTTCATTTTGCGCTCTGCAAAAAAAATTTTCCGCGTTTTTCGGCCTGGGTCCACGCCAGCTCGTCAAAATTATTTTCTCCGAGCTACAGAACTTTTTCTTTCGGTGCGTGGAATTTAAATGAACAGATGCCAAGAGACAGGTTACGCGTATCGACAAAATTTTCTACAGAAACACACTCAAAGTTGACCGAAAAAAGTCTTTGTAACGTTGAAGGCTTGTGACCAGCCTCTGGTTGGCGATCGCTTCAAACTATTCAAAAAAAACATACCTTAAAATTTTTCAAGAATTTTTCCTCCGATTTACTATTTCCCAGTTTTTAAACTGAAAAAAAAAATACTTTTGCTCTTTAGGAGCCCCTGCCTTCAAGTAACTTCGAACCTACGCGTATTGCGTGAACCCATTTTTTTCAGAAAGCTTTGATTTTTTTAAACACTGGAAATCTCCCAAATAAAAGCGCGAAGTCTTAAATTTTCTCAAGATGTTTTTTTGTGAGTTTGCAATACCCTTCAAAAAAACGAATAGATAAGAAACTATAAACTAACAGTTTGCAGTGAATAAACCTATAATTATAAACTAAGTTTTTTTACATTGTCTATTTTTTGTGCAGTTCACCATTTGAAGAAGCCATGGCTAGGAGCATTTAAAAAATTCCTTTGAGTCCTTATAAGTTACAACGCTACCAAAAAGTTTCTAAACTTTTTCTCCAAAAAAAAAACCGCCCAGCTTCTTTCCGTTCAACTTGAAAGGGACATTAGTCAACACCAAGGAAATGATCGTCCATCCATCTATCCCAGAAGCGAAACGAATGTGGACAATTGGCAAAGTGTGTAAAGAGCCTCGTGGTGGAGAAATGACCAGCGGCGGCGTTTTTTTTTTCACGCGAGCTCGAGATGAAAATGGAGATCCAATGGGCTCCAATCCGAAGATGTGTTTGGAAAACGATGCCTCGAGGACAGAAGGCTCGGTTTTTGGCACCAAACGTGGGAAATTGGGAAGAGTGGATGAGAAAAAATGACGTTTGAGAAGTTAAACAAAAGTCTCTTTGAACTAATTTTCATTCCCTTGGCTACAACCAAACTCAAAAAAACAGACACTTTCAAAAAATGCCTTATTTTGTTCTCTAACCTCAATTTATATATAATTCGATACAAAAAATATAGTTTTCTCTTTAAAAACTACACCAAAGACGAGTTGAAACAAAGAAAAAAGGCTCGATAACCTGAAAACAACTTTTTTGATGTTTTCAACCCGAATTTCCAACTGATAAAGCCACACTATACCTAGATAGCTAGTGAAAACAATGACGAATCTTCAAAAGAAAGAAAAAACTAAGAATCCTCGATTGAAAAAAGGGGAAATGAACCGATTTGGCATCTGTCAGAAAAGTCAGCTGCGAGTTCGAAAGGAAAAAGCGATCTCTAAAAGGGCAAGCCTCTTTTTTTTTCGACGGTTTCCCGTTGAGAAAGTTCTGCAGAAATAAATTTAGAAGAATAAAAATATTACAAAAAAGTTTGAAACCAGGAGATGAAAAAAATTGGTTCCTGAGCATATGCTACCTACCATGTTTACAAAAAAAAAATCCAAAGGAAAGTTCCGAAAAACCGCTGGTTTGGGGCTCCAAATGATCTTGAAAAGTTTTCGTGAACCATTTATCGTGATAGTAAAAAGAATAAAAGGCTTTTAACCCTCTAAAATTAAAAAAAGATAAAAGTACAAAAAAAGCCTTCCTATCAATAGCTTTTAAGCGAACTTTTTAGCATTACCAAGCAAAAATGACCTCTACATGTTTCCAGTACAACAAAAAATTTTTATCTATCAAATTGAATGGATTTGAAAGGCTTTCAACTTTGAAGGAGGAAAAGGTACCGTTGAAAAAAGGATGAAAAAGTTTTTAGAGCTTGATCCTTGCAAAATTTATAAAGATGCTTTTTTTCTACGAACTGAAGTTCCATCAGTGTATTACAAAGAACAGTCAAGACAACTCCAGAATGTTTCAGAAAAATTAAACTCCATACGAGAAAGTTGTGATCAAAAAAGCGTTTTTTTCGTATCTTTTCTGACAGAATTGTACATGAAAGCCTGTGTATCTTATGAGTTCCGAAAAAAGCCGAAAAACGCTGAAAAAACCACGACTTCAGGCTCAAGTGCAGGAAATTCGGTCAACGAGAACAGGAGTATTGTTTTAGGCTGAGCCGGATGCAAAAGGAAGGACCACCATCGAAATTGAGTTACTTTCGGGGGGCCTGAAAACGGGGGGTCGCAGGCCATTTTGGCCCGGCTTCTTCTTTTCCAAGCGGCTCATCTCGTTTTCTGCGTCTGCCCTTGTGCCATTCTTCCACATCTTTTAATGCGGAAGCCGCCTCTCGTTCGTCTTCCAATTCTTTCATCACGTCACCAAATTCTCCAATTTTCGCCCGGTGACGACACACCGAAGCCGATGAATCATTAAGAAAAAAAAATTGAAAAATGTATAATATACTCGATTCCAAATTGATCATCTGAGCTCTCACAATGGAGGTTCTTTTAATTTGTGGTTGCGAATTCTTCGAAAAATGATCAGGAAACTCCTTGATAAACCAAAATGAGATTCTGGAAGTGTAGACCTGTACAACTTCCTAGTTCTTGAGAAAAGAGGGATCTAAGCCCCAATATGGCCTCTTTTTACCGGTTTTCAAGAGGTTTCAATGACTTAAGGTTTTCTTTCTCAAAAATAGGAAGTTTTGCAGGTTTAAACTTTTAAAATCTCCTTTGGTACTTCAAGGAATTGTCCAGTAGTTTTCAGAAAATAAAATGACCTTCCGTGTTAATCTCAACTCTAAGACAGCTGAAAGGAAACAAAAATTTTATTTAAAACAAACTGAGACTAATTTTCGAAAGCCTAAAATAATAACCAAAAAAAGTTAAAAAGCTGGAAAATCTTTGCAAGATAAGGTCGAGATGAAAAACAGTGGAAATACTGAAGACAACGCCTATAAACTTTACAAAAAACGATCGAAACGCACTTAGAATGGGAAAGATTCAAAAAAGGAATACTTCTATAGACCTCAACTCAGTAAATTATGTTATTCAATACTAAATAGTAAATTGAAAAATAACCTCGAAGTGTGAATTTTAGAGATAGAAACTGATATAACGTTTAAGACTACTCTCAATAATTGTAATTGGAATAAATCGGAGACCGTGAAAAAAAAGTTAGATTTCAAAAAAAAATTGGAAATATTAAAAGTGTTCTGAATCGAAATATTTTCGGCTATCAGACTCAATTTTTCCTATTTAGTTGGGAGAATCTTCGTGAAGTTTGATCAGAAGGTAGAAGTCAAGCAAATTTTCAAAAAGCGCTAATACTGGGAGAAACACCAGTTCACGGAAAAATTCTCAACTTCGGCTGACGCAAAATAAAACCGAATAAAATAGTTCTAATTCCTTCTTTCAGTGTAATTGAAATTCCGCTAAGAGGTTTGTGGCCGAGAAACCGGTGATTTAACTGAACTGCTTGAAATTTAAAAAACGGTCCACAGAATCGCACAGAATAATGATCATGCCTAAAAAAATTTTTTTTAATAATCTCTAAACTGAAATTTTTTCCAGATGAACTTCATTAAAATAAGAAGTTAACAAAAAAGAAGCTATTGAAAAGCCATTGCAAATCCAAGAAAGTGGCCGAGCTCGAACTCACAGCTCGTTTTCATTTGACAAATCGCGCATCGGGGACATCCCTCCGAGGATTCCGAAGTCTTTGTCAGCGAAAAAAAAGAACTATCCGGCACGTGTTGCTGATTCCCACTGAAAAAAATTCAGCTCTCTGAAAAACTATACAACACGAAAATAAAGCGATTTACAACGGACTGCCCAATGCAAAATGCAATTCTAAAATTGGCCACGGTTTTCTGTGCCGCGAAATTCCAAAGCGTTTTCTTTACATCGTTCAAAACCGTTTTGCGACAACAAAATGCAGTGCGACTTATATATTGTACTTGAAACTTTTTAATTACAAATAAGACACTAAAAGAAAAAAAAGTACAACAAAAGCGATTTTTTTCACAATAAAACGTGATTGATTATGAAAAAAAGATAAACATAGATGATTAAAATTAAGAGAGATAATTCTTTTTCAAACATCCCCCTTTTTCTGTCTGAAAAGCAGAGAAAAATTAAGAGGAATCGAGGCGTTTTCACTCGTTCAAAATGGTTTACTTCAGCTACTTTGTCTTTTGAGTTGTAACTTTTTTTTCCAAAATTTTTAGACAGGAGTTTTTTTAGTGACTATTTTGCTACGTAAAAAAACTTAGGTTTACAGAAATGAGGTTTTCTTATAAAGCAAAGGATGAAAAGATCAGTTCATTCATTGAAGCATGGAATTCGAAACTGAAAAAGTCGATAGGGAGTAAAAAAAAAGCGCGGGGGTTTTTCGACTCAGGCACTGGTGCGCGCACGCGCGGGGGTACTGATTCTTTTTTTCCCTTTTCCACTGAAATACGGTTTTGAAAAATATTTTTTATATTTTTGTGAAACTACCCAGTGCCCCTGCTCACTTTTAAAAGTTGTTCCGAGCATTTTCGAACAAATTTATGAAAAAAAATTGCCAAGTGAAACTTTGATATTTCATATTTTTGTGCAATCTAATTGTTATAAACTGGTGCAGAGCAATGATAAGAGATGAATAGACATGAAAAATATTAAATTTATAACTTTTCAATTAGTTAAAAAGCTAAAAAAACAAGAGAGACACCCCGCGCGTGCGCGCAGCAGGCGGCGCGCATTTTTGGCAACAAACACGCGCCGTCAGTGCCTGAGGATACGCAAGTCAAAACATTTCGTCAGTTATGGTGCTCAGGGTGTAAACACACCCAGACGCACTATAGCACAATCCAAGCTTTTTTTTCGATCCTAGAAGTTGCAATCTTAGGATGATAGTTTCGAAAATTTTCGAAATCTTATCAGTTTGAAGAAGTGATGCGAAAAAAATACAATTACGCTATTATGTTTAGGGAAAAGATCTTGAGAGAGAAAAAAATGTTGAAATACTTATTACAAAAATATAAAAACAAAAAAATTATTGTAAGTCACCTGCCTTCGAATTTTCATGAATATGAAAAAAAGATTGAAATGTAAAAGTTTCGAGGAGCAAAAATTTATATACCTTGAAATCATAAAGCATCAGAAAAATTATTATCAGGAAAAAAACAAATAAACGATTTGAAGAAGCAAATTGAAAAAATTTTATGGCGGAATGTGTAAATAAATTCGAAAAACCATCTAAATATTAGAATAATAATAATTTAATTCAGATTATTTATATAATAAAAAAATTTCTGACCGCATCAGCAAATTTCAAATTAGTTCTAAAGTTACACGAATTGTTTTTTTCTACATGAAGACAAAAAAAGATACAAAACCGCTAAAAACTATAAAACCCAAAAAAATTAAAAAAATTTTAAACTTTAAAAAAAGTTTTTTTAGTGTCTCCACTATCTCTACCTTTTTGCGTCATATGACCCAAAGTTTATGCAGAATTAAAATTTCATTCTCTTCAAAAAAAAAAAAACGTGAACTTCTTGGCAAGGCGTAATTTTCTTGATATCGAAAAAAATAACACGTACAAAAAACCACGTGGCAACGTGTCATTTCTACTTGTATGGCTTGGGTTCAAAGGTCGTTCTTGCTTCCCTCACGTTTCGTCTTGCTCCAGGATCCTGAAATCAACATAAAGATGAGTTTTTCTCTTCCATAAAACTTATAGTTTCCACAATAAGTTCCTTAATTGTAAGCGCTAGTAGACTAGGCCCGCGGGACTCCCGGAGTGCCGATCCTTTTTGCTTGCAAATTGGATACGCAAAGTCACGCCGAAGCCCATTCCTGTGGCCGAGGCATAAACTGTTGGCAGCGCGATGCTGACAAAGCGATGATGAGACCCCCGCGGAAAATGCCGTCACGGCCTTCGGCGTCTAGGAATCTTAGCTCTGACAAGGCCGAGCGGAGCTCTAGCGCACCGCCTAGTTAGTTCTTTTAACTGGA